ACCATTAGAGACCAAGTACTCCATAGTATAACACCTTATACTAAATAAACTGTAGCTATGGAGTAAACTGTACCCCGTAGTTATGGGGATCATACTTCACGATCTGATCAAGATGTATCAAAATGCCAAATGACCCACTATTAAAACTAGGTAGAGAGATGACTTGAATGACTAAATTCAGTCAGATAGAAAAGGTTTGAGACTCAAAAGACCACGATAACGTGCAGAGTGGTGTGATAACATTAAAGTTCCTACTTCGCTGGAGCCCGTCTTAAATAGCCCGAGGAATTGCCAGGCATCAAACTGCGAACACAACCAGATTACCAGCGGCCGCCATATAGACGCTGATACCAGAGCCACTAAGCCTATAACACTACGAGGTTCTATACATACGAACTTTCGCGGAAAAGTCCTTCAGATTGCTATACAGAGTGTCCTTCGATGAGTACCACAGCCTTGGGACACGTCGCCATGCATCGATATACTAGTGCACATCTTTAGTGTAATGGGGTGCATAAAGCATTTTGATTTATGACATCAGTCGAAAAAACATTTACTTGGGATTTTCAAGATCTTCAACAACGCTATTATTGAGTCTATTGACAAATAGCGGGCTCATGGAGGAGCTACTCTAGAGTATATGCACCGTACCCTCTAGGAACGCCTATCCCACTAGCTTCTTACGATTCATGTCTTCTTTTGTAATTGATTCTAGCCAAGAGGGCTTGAAATACCTATCTAATGCACAATGGAAGAAAGAATGTGAACGTACGGAGTACGCTTGTAGATCATGACCTGGGGATCCACTAAATAGTTTTGTTCACCGATCTTGACTCAAAAACAGGGAGGCGAACTGAATCGTATATTGTATGCACCAGAAAGTACTCCATACAATATAGGGCTTCGGTATGTCGCCCGCCTAGCCACCGCGGCATACATTGTCACTCTAGCGCCGCGCTTTATATTGTACCGCGACAATAATTTACAGATTGCCTGATATGTGGAGACCAAGAACATGGATACATATTATGCACATATATGGAGCTACGCCACTATTCCAGCTCAGCTGGAACGTGTTCCCGTCCCAGTTCGCAAGATAACACCCAGTATTCTAGAAGGCAAATCCTGACATCTCCGCCGATCCGCCATGTGCATTCTTCACCATGCAGGAGAAAACGCCTTCCCTGCTCAGCTGCCAAGCCGTCTCAGATGATCGTGCTAGGTGCATGACTATCGGTGCATTACGTACTCCATCATCGCCTTTGCCTTATGCAGACTACAGGAATCCATACAACATACATGTGCGGAGTACCTCCTGCAGGATACTCCTATCCATCTTGCTATACGCCCTGTACGGAATACTAGTCGGGACTATAGCAGCGCAAATCTGCATGGCCTCGATCTACCACGCAAAGAAGCGCGCTAGGAAGCAAGGAAGCATTGCCCCCTTACGACCCCCTCCAACCCCCCGATAACAATCACCCCTCAATACATGTACATGCTCCGAGGGGGAGAAAAAAGGATGATGTACAGCGCTTACCAAAAGAGCCAGGATGCATCAATTCGATAGATCGAACGCTCTCGCTGATCCACCATTCACGCTTTCAGCTAACCACCACAACGCCCCGCCCCTCCCCCGGGCTTACCGGCGATGTGATTTGTGATTTGGTACACCTCACAGTGTCGGAGGAGCGGAACACCAATGGAAACCACACAACAAGCGGTTCGCACAACCGTTTTCTTGGAAAGAAACAGGTGAGATCAGATCGCGGCCAACGGCTTATGCACGCCACCACATTTCCATTCCAATACTTTGTGCATCCATCAAACAAAGCACAAGGTTTCTCGAGTGGATTGGACGGGCTTGCAGAAGTCGTCATGTACGAGGCCTGATTCGGTAACTGTTGTTCGTCACGTCTGGACCAGGAAATGAGATTGGATACTGCGGATACGCGCTGCAATCAGGATCACCAGATGGTGGTCGGGGTGTGTGCGCTGCGCGGGTGGGTTTTTGCGCGAGAATCTCAGCACCGAGACTTTTTCTTTGAGCGCACCAATTTGTGTTGGATGGGCTAGAAGGATCGCTGGTTTTGGCTCTGGGCTGTCGTGTCCCAATTTGGTCGTAAGTATCTCGTCCCGGAGTTTGGGACATCCCTGTCGCGAGGAACTGATCGGTGTCTCCCCCTTGCTTGATTTTGGGTTTTCGGGTTTTCGGGTTGATGGTTTGATCGGACCCGGGGCTCGAGGGTACGTGGCTGTGATTATCCTTTTTCTTTTTGCTTTTTTTTGCCTTTTCTCGCGTGTTTTGTTCTGGGGGAGGTGGGGTCCAAGGTATGTTTCTGCGTTGGGTTAGGTGTGTTTTTAGGAGGGATGATTGTTGGGATGGTTGCTTAGGTTTGGGATGCTTGTTTTTGGTGGTTTATGCTTAGGGTTTACCAGTAGCTATGAGGTTCCAAGGTTGTTTGAGACCGTTTGCCCTATTTGGACAAATGGTACTTTGGCACTTTAGTGTGGCTTGGGTTGAGTAGATGATGATGGTTACTTGAAGAATTGTGATATTCCGTATGTTTGGATATCAATTGCAAATATGCACATCAGAGATCAAATAGTATACATGTAGATATTGTACAGTCAAAGCACATCCAGCGCCGAGTCGCTCCCGCTATGCCAAAATATTAAAGAAAAGAGTCCCATAGAGTCACGTCTAGATATTCAAGAATCAAGGCGACAAGCGGAGCACATCAGCAACAGCAGGGTCTTCTCCATCGATCTCCTTAGAAAACCCACTGCCCTTCCGCACATGCATCAGCAACCGCAAAGCGCCAACAGGCGTCACACCCTCAATGCGCTTTGCCATGCCAACACTGACAGGTCGCACACGCTGAAGGACCTGCCGCTCCTCATTGCTGATGCCGTGAACCTTACTGTAATCCAAATCCGCTGGCAGCAGCAAGTTCTCATCCTGCTGGAACCGCTCAGCCATCTTCTCCTGTCGCTTCAGGTACGGCGCATATCGGCCTTCAATGGCGACGCGGGTGAGGATATCCGGCGGAAACGAGGACGGAGTATATGCCGTCCCCGTAGGAGACTCGATGGTAGGGATCAGGGTGTTGATGTCGATGCCGTCCAGACACAAGATATCGAGCGCTGAGCGGATCGAGGTATCAGAGCGCACCTTGAAGCCCTTGCGGGACCAAGCAGACGACGAGAGCTTCGTGTTGCCAAGAAGAGTCTGCAGCTCCAGGATCTGCGCTTCGGTATCGGTGAAGTGGCTCCAACGCTTGTCGGAGACGATGCCGGCATCGCGGGCCATGCGAGTCAGACGCAGGTCGGCGTTGTCCGAGCGCGTGGAGATGCGGTACTCGCTTCGCGTCGTGAACATGCGGTAAGGCTCTGAGACACCCTTGGTGATGAGGTCGTCGATCATGATTCCGATGAAGCCGTCGGACCGAGTCAGGGTAAGGGGTGATCGGTTCTGTGACTCGAGGCCGGCGTTTGTGCCTGCGATGATGCCTTGTCCGGTTGCTTCTTCGTAGCCTGTTGTGCCGTTGATCTGACCGGCGAGGTATAGACCGTTGATCAGTTTTGTCTCTAGGGTTGGTCGAAGGTTGCGCGGGTCAATGTAGTCGTATTCGACGCCGTAGCCGGGCTGGAGCATGGTTACGTTCTCGAGACCGCGGATTACTCGCAACATGGCGTATTGGGCATCTGCAGGCACGGTCATTGAGATGCCATTAGGGTAAATAACGTCGTTTGGTGCGAAGCCTTCTGGCTCAAGCCATATCTGGTGCTGGGTCTTGTCCTTGAATCGGATGATCTTTGACTCCAGGGATGGGCAGTATCGTGGCCCGCGCACAGTCTCACGAATATGGATGGATTTGTCCAGATTGGCGCGGATGATTTCATGGGCAGCTTCGTTTGTATGGGTCATCCAGCAGGTAAGCTGGCCTTCGTCGCCCACTTCGACGGTTTTGTTGAGATAGGAGAAAGGATGAGGCGGCGAGTCGCCCTTTTGCACTTCAAGCGCGCTAAAATCAATGGTCTTCCTATCCAATCGAGGTGGTGTACCCGTCTTCAATCGTCCCAGTTGGAAGCCAGCTTCTCGGAGGGACTTGCTGAGACCGTATGTGGGGGCTTCACCCATGCGCCCCGAAGGGAACACATCCATTCCAATATGAATCTCACCACCCAGGAAAGTGCCCGTAGTGATAACCACACGACCGGTAGGAATGACCTCCCCTGATTCCAACCGCACGCCAACAATCTTGCCCTGAGCACCGGGGGTGTTCTCAATGCCTTCCGTGGAGAGCACAATATCAGCCACCTTGCCCTCCACAATGCTCAGATTTTCCGTGCCAACCAGCTCCTCGGACATATACCGCTTGTAGAGATCGCGATCGATCTGCGCACGCGGTCCCCAAACAGCCGGCCCTTTCGAACGGTTCAAGACTCGAAACATGACACCAGCCTTATCGATAATTCGACCCGCAACACCGTCCATTGCATCCACCTCGCGAATCATCGTTCCCTTTCCAATGCCGCCGAAACTGGGGTTGCACGAACAGACACCGATATTCTCCAGCGAGGGCGTGACCAATGCGGTGCGCGCGCCAGAACGAGCAGCAGCAGCGCATGCCTCAGATCCAGCATGGCCACCGCCAATAACAACAACGTCGTATGTCCTATAAACGAATCAATCAGCATAGCTCTCCAGTTGACAACAGGGAAAATCACGAACCGTGTATTATCCGTAACAGTCGCGAAACCACGACTCCGGCCCATAAATGAGCGGAGCCCGCGGCTCTGACGCATCAGAGCGACCGACCGTGCTCGAAAAGCCATGGCGGAATGCAATGCAAATGTTAAGCAAAAAAACAGGTATGTACAAACTTGAGGATCAAATCAAATCGATAAGGAAAATTGTATCTCATCACGTGACCGCACTTATAACCGTTAACACCGAGGGCGGTCACACAATGACATAAGCGCTTGCGCCATCGGCCAATTGCGGGGCTGCTGATGTTCAGCTGTAAGCTGATCTGGACGTTTTTTCTACGACTGACCCCTCTCTACATCTTTAAATCTACCAGCTCAATCAGCGAAAAAATCCCCAAAAATGAAGGCATACTGGTACGACAACATTGAGGTAAACACACGCCAATCGGGCCGTACCCAGCTTTCCAAGCATTTCCAGGTACAGCCCACCTGCGACTAGAACAAACGCTGATGTCATTTGTTTACAGGGCGACCAGCGCGAGCCGCACGACTCCGGCCGTGCCGTGTCAGAAGAGAAGCTCGCCTCGCTAGGCGTGCTATACAAGCACTGCCCGACGATCGCGGCGGTGGACACCATCGCGGCGGAGCGCGGATACCGTAACCGCGACGAGGTCTGCGTGTCGCCTGCGACTATGGGCGCCATCTACGAGGAGAAGGTTAAGTCGTTCTTCTCGGAGCATCTGCATGAGGATGAGGAGATTCGGTATATTCTCGATGGGGAGGGATACTTTGATGTGCGTGGACAGGAGGACGAGTGGATTCGTATCTGTCTTGTTAAGGAGGATATGATTATTCTTCCTGCGGGGATTTACCATCGGTTTACTACCAATGAGCAGAACGTATGTTTCTTTGGATTTTTGTGTTTCTGGACGATGGGACTGACCTTTTTTTTGCAGTACGTTAAGGCCATGCGTCTTTTCCAAGACGAGCCTAAGTGGACGCCGTTGAACCGTGGTGCGGAGGTTGATGTTAACCCGCACCGCAAGACTTATCTGGAAACTGTTGTCAGTCCTACTGCGGCTGTTTAGGATGGGTCACTTTGATATTGAGATGCGTTATGACTGAATTCTTTGCACATATACTACTGAACGGTGGAAATGGGATTTTTTGGATATTGTCTTATGGCATTTCCGTTGCATAGAGCCTGTAAATGTACATGGGGACAGCAAACCCACAGTGAATCAATCGAAACCATACCTAAGTGGGTAGGAGTAGTCAAACGACACTATTTACATATATCAATTGTCTGGAATGCCAGGCGTCCCCACTGGCGTACCCGCCGGCATGGCGCCAGGCATATCAAAATGGTCACTCGTAGCACCACCACTCTGTTGCCTCGTCATACTCGAACTGCGCAAGCCACCCATATCAACATTGAAATTACTTGTGCGCGAGCCTAACCGTGCATCCAGGCCTCCACGGAACCGCAGCCCCTCCGGCTCCCGACCATGATCATCAGAGAACCGGGGCGGCCCTGATGCCTCGGTAGAACCAGCGCTGCGCGGTGGTGCCGTTGACCCAGCATCCGAGTCCTCGCCGGGTCGGACGCCTGTCCTGCCCATGCGCGGCCACAGGTCTGGAAGTCCGACGACTTGCACTCGAGGCTCGACGACACGCTCCTCAAACCATGCGTGGACTCGCGCTTCGACGAGCTGGGCTATCTTCGGTACATCCTGCAGTCGGCTGCGGGATCCGATGAGTGAGCGCACGGAGAGGTCTAAGCGGTAATCTGGGAGGAAGGAGAAAGCGACGTTGCTTTTCGGGCTGCTTTTTGGTGGGAGGTGGTCTTGTGAGGTTGTCTGCTCTCCGGGACCAGATGATCGATTCCCTGCATTGTCCCTTGGATCTGATGTGGGGGGCGCTGGTGATCCGGAAGGCGTTTGAAGTGGTTCTGGCGGTTCGGTCGATGCTGGGATCAAGGATATGCAAAGTGTTCCTGAAAATCTCACAACCGAGACTGATAGCGCTACTGGTATGATGGCAGAGCGTGGTTTGGGGTAGTTCAGAACCATGGATGTCTCGACAGCAATGGAGAGGTTGTCATCGCTCAGGTCAACATCCAGTAGCGCCTGTAGCCGTCCACCGTCTGACATTGGGTCATCAACGGCGATGATGCGGCAGTTGCTGAAAATCGGAAACTCTTCGCCTAGTGAGATATCGGTGACGTTGATCTTGTCTATGAAGGATGGTTTCTTCTCCGGGTTGTTCATGGCCGCCGTTAGGGAGCTGAGGATTGATGAAGTCGGCGAGTCCTTGAGGGAATATGCTGTCTCCCTATACTGAGCAATTGTCTGCGCAATGAGCACATTGAACCAGTCCAGCGACTCAGGCTGATGTGAGGAGTGATGCATGCGGTGTCGGCCATGTTTGCTCGTAGGGTTGGTAGGAATGGCGCTGTAGTAGGTTTTGCGGAGGATAGAGCGGGTGTTTGTAGAGGTAGAAGGTACGGGACGAAGAACATTTGACGTGGATGGTTTTTCTCGTAATGATTTTGGGCTATCTTGAGGGGGGCTATAGACCGAGCTGTAGCGGCGGTGGGTTGTGCGGTTTGACATGCCCCGGGACGGAGGGGGTGGCGCTTCACCAAAAATGAAAAACTTGATAAAAGCGCCAATCAGAAGTACTACTGATAGCTGACCGAGAAGAAACCCTTGGGTAAAGGACAAGCTAAGAGGGTGTTAGCAAGATCATATAGCCCACTCCACGTGCAGAGGGCGTACGAGGATTGAGGCGCGACTGGCGCGGACTCATCTGCGTTATTGTCAGCATACCAATTCAAAAGCTTCGAGACAGCATCACTCACGTTGTTGGAGCGCCATTGTCAGCGGCTGTCGACAATCCTTGATCACGATACCATCCCCAGATGGAGAAGATGTTCCAACTTTCGAATCTCCAGGGCTGGCTTGGCCATATCTTATCGCTGATATGCCACCCTCGACCGCCTGCCTCTAACGATTTAAGGAAGCGGCTTTATCTAGTTCGGGACTAGCGTCACTAGCATCTATAAAATTATGTACGATGAACACCTGGCACTCGTTCCGCTTTAGTGCTCACCTCTTGCCGCTTTTTGACCTCAGAGTTAAATTAAGCCTCCGAGTACCCTGACCGGCCTACCCCTGGAGCTCCGGGGCTGTTCACTGAGTATTTCATGGCACAGAGTGATTACTCAGTGAGTGCTCAGGCGCTCAATGAACGCTCTGAGTATACCCAGGGTTGCTCAAGGAGCATTTAGGTGTGCTCATTGAACGGGCTTAGGGTATACTTAGTCAGCATCTAGGTCGTCCATCGAGATAAACAAACACCTGAGCATCGACGGTGAGAGAAAAACGATGCCCCGACAACTGCGATCGGGCCGCAAGGAGCCCCCTGCGTCTGAGACGGATGGGCTCAGCCTCCAGGATGAGATTCATGAACCGGTCCGTTTCATCACGTCCGCGGCAACCCCTGCCGAGCCAGCCATCGTCCGAAGCCTGGCACGTCTCCCAGGGCTGAACGGGCGCGATCTGCGAATTTTGCGTAAAAAACAGAATCGACTGCGAGAATCGGCTTTTCTGACCGCAAAGGCTACCTTGGACGTGAGCTGCCACGCAACACGAGCACTAGCATCGACGCTGATATTTGCTCAGCACGAAGCTGGCACCGCCGTATGTATCGACTCGCGCGGCTGGATTTTGACATGTGCGCACTGTTTCGGCGAGACCCCTGAAGAATGGAAAGCCGAGCGCCTGAAATGGCTGCTCTATTATAATGGGCTCGCCGTTCAAGTCGAATGTCGGGCGTGGGATGAGCGCCGTGATCTAGCTTTGGCTAAAATCGTCCGCATTGAGATCTTCGACGAACAGTGCAGAGGCTTGGTGAAACCCATTTTCACTTGTGTCCCTGTCGCTGAATCACTGTCTACCTACTCTCCAATATTCTGCATCGGGCAACCGGGGGCAGACGACCTGGAGTCGGTCTCTCCGCGCGAGACTGCCTATGATTTGGTCGAACTCTCTCGGGGTCGACTATGCGGCATGGTAGCCGGTACGGACCCACAGGACAACTCAGATATCGGCACTCTGAAACACAACGCCTGGACCTACTGGGGCCATTCTGGCGCGCCGCTCCTGCGGAGGTCGGATGGTGCTCTGCTGGGCCTACATTCCTCGTGGGATGATGCCACGGCGATGCGTCATGGGGTGCCCCTGATTGCGATCTGGGCATTTCTTAGAGAACATCTCCCGACTGAGCCGGTCGATCTCACGGCGCCCGTTTAGTGGTTCTGTAATGCTCACTGAGTAAAACCGAACACGCCCCTGAGTGTTACATACGGATTAAACTCGCTAACTGACCATCACGGGAGTAATGGGTGTTGTGGGAGGTGGTTATAAAAAGTCATGTCGCCCTATCCTTATTGGGAATATAGATTGTTGAGCCTGTCGAAACCATGGAAGTGCTGAGATATAACATTCGAACAGAAATATCAAATAGAAATTAAACTACTGATAGACATTGCACACGTGACAAATCTCGATCTTGAAATCTCCCCAAGCTCTTTCATCAACATGATCAGTGAGCCTAAAAGCATGTCTTGATCAATTTTTCCACCTGGCCCAGTCCTCCCTTCACTTCAACTCCCAATGCTTCAATATGGTCGGCAGACATCCCCCTCCTTGCTTTAGCTGCTACTCCAAGGCTCCCCGGGGCCTTCAACATGTTCAGAGCACCTAGTCCACCCAGTAAAGCGCCGAACACAGCAGCTGGTGCATTATCCTTAGCCTGGACAACGTCGTAAGCACTCATTCCCACATCTCCGATAGTGCCAATCATTCTGAGTATGTTTGCTATTTCCGCCAATTCCAAGGCCACAGCCCCTTCTTCAAGACCAGGAATGATGAAGAGGACCGCCGTGACGAACATGAGAATCATGTTCTTGACCTTGTCATCCTCATAATGCTGTCCAGTGTCTGCAACCTGCGACATACTTGTCACAGAGGTTGATATCATGAACACAGCCAACGATGCACCATCCACGGCATCACTCACGTCACCCATATACATTGACTCGTTGGCGAGGAAGGCCGTGAAATCCAAAGTCGACTGGAGCTCTGTGATGCTTGCCATTCTTTTTGAGATCGCATCCTTGGGATTGTTGATCTTGAAATCCTTCTTCAAATGCGGCTGGCCGTAATACTCGGCGTTCCATACGTCCCCAGTCCGAGCACCACGGATACCTGTATCCTCGTATGTCTCGTATGTGAACCAATCTGATGAAATGCCAGATACCTCAAAAAGGTCCTGTTCAAATAGTGTGCGGTTGTGTGCAGTCCAGTAGCAATCGGTCTTGAACTGGTCGACGGAAATGCAGCCTCTGTCGGTGTAATTCTTCCCCATGTCGGTTATAGTGCAATCGAAGTACTTGGTGGCATTTTTTGCCAAAAAGGATGCCAGAGAGATAGGGGCTGATCCTCGCACTGCTTCTTCGTACCAGCCAAACTTCTTATCATAGCCGTCGTCCAGCTCATTCTGATACTTGCTGAGCGATGCCGTGAGGTTTCCAGACAAGGCCTGAAGGATATATATGTTCATACAGTAATCATCAATACCAGACGCAGATTCCAAGTCATCGAGGTTGTCAAAAGACAGTGTGCAGTTGATCGGATAAATGGGCGATATACGCGTGCCGTCCGCATTTTCAGATACGAACTCCGTAAGGTCCAGTGCCCAGAGAGCAGTACCCTTGAAATGGCCGTTGATCCACCAATCCACAAGTCGTGAGGTTCTGTTCGCCTTATTATTATAGGAAACCCAATTACCGTCCTTAGAGTAAGAGATCAAAGATGCGCTTGTTTTGTCGTAGTAGGTGGTGATGTTGTCCCCGCCCTTAAGCCATTCGTTAATCTCTGCTTCTGCAATGTAACCCGCAGTTTTAGTGCATTCACCGGGTCTAGCTCCTGACTCGGGGCCGGTGAAGTGGCACTCCGGGCCATAGCAGGATGGGTCCTTCATTCCGAACGACCGGCCGTAGCTAGCAACCCCACCGAATATCTTGTTATTAGGGACACCGGCCTTAGTAATCATAGAGAATGCGAGCGCAATCTCAGTCTCATTGATATGAGATCGGAGGCAGGCGCTACCGTCACACCCGTCAGCGGCGTTGGTATTGTTCCAATCCCATTGACCGTGGAGGTCGTAGGTCATGAACACGATGTAGCTCACAACGTCCGAAATTTCCTTGATGGGGAATCCCTTCAGGTACCAGTAGGAGGAAGGAACAGCGACTGAGAGGGATTTTTCCAGTGGAAGCTTGTCTCGAACGTCCTTCAAAAACTCGAGATATCTCTGGCCATCGCCTGGGTCACCGGCGGGAATCCCTGGGATATCAGGCGCCCCAGGATATTCCCAATCAAAGTCCAAGCCATCGAGATTGTTATCATTGGCAAAGCTCACAACGTTGGTGGCGAAGAGTGAGCGCTGAGCATCCGTCACTCCCTTTCGGAAGATGGCGTATGAGTCGATGTCGGTCGAAAATGACCAACCACCGAAAGAGAGAATCTTTTGCTTGATGACACCTTCATAACCGGTGGGTGCCTTCAACTTCTTGAAACTGTCGAACTCATCTTGGACGCTGGATACGTCGGGCTTAAAGTCTTCCGTGATATTGGCGAAAGCGAAATGAATGTAGCTCCATGCAGAATCGATCTCAAGGGAGCCATTTTCACCGCCGGTCTTCATCACTTCGTCAATGGATTGGACATCTAGGTTTAAGCACGGTCGCTGGTTGTTGAATGCTTCATAGTATGCCATGATGGTAGGCCCGGATGGAGCATCACTATTCAGCTTTATGTGTGTTCCACAATTCGAGATGCATCCGTTCGTGCCGTTTTTGGCCGTTCCAGGTGCGCCAGTGGTAGACTATTCGGTGTAAGTATTGGTAAACCTTGAATCGTTTGACAAAGATGAAGGAGACAGAAAACCACAAAAAGCAAGTATAAAGGTACAAGTGCTGGGGTAACTGAATTCGAGAGCACCTACGTTTGTTGCGACGCAAAACTCGAGTGTAACTCCACATTGCCTGTCAATTGAATTAGAATTAGTCCGATGGTATAAATGCAAGAGATCAGTCCTGAATTACCCCCAAATATCACAACAAGCATTGAGTGGGCAAGAGTTCAGTCCCGCAATATCATCCCAATCAGCCGGTCTCTTGGTCCCGTCTTTTTGCGGTCCACAAACAGCGTTTCTGAGAACTGCAGGCATAGGCGGATCACCCTTACTAACGCACATCTTCCCTGTTTCCCCGTCAGAATCAGTTTTCTATCACATAGGTAATGAGTCTTGTTTTGAAATAGAATTCACAACTTACCGTTAGGTGGGAGGCTCTGGCAGCCCTGCCAACCCCAAGTCTTCGCATTCCAATTATTGATATCATCAACCGTGATAGCATGGGCAGCAGCAATAGTTAAGCAGTAATCACTATTTTGAATCGTGTACGTTGCGCAAGTTCCATCCGCGTTAGGCTTCGGAGAGAAATCAGGAAGCGTTCCAGCTGAGCAGCATACATGCTGGCCACCGACTAAACTGGAGCACAAAGTCTTGCTCGGATTGTACTTGGTGAAGTCGGCGGGCGAGATTCCACAGCGGCTCGCAAGCTCACTACAATCATCAACAGTCTTGACTATAATAGTTCTGCATTCTCCGCGGGGCTGGATTCCAAGGAATGATTTCTTAACATGTGCACGAGCATGGGAGCTGATATGGGAGCTATTGCCGTGGCTTGGAGCGATGGCTTCAGCCACTGCAACTTGCGACTTGCGACTTGCACTGTATCCCTCCACACAATCGCCTCGGTTCCATGTTGCGAGTGCTGCTTGTACGGTGGCTAGAGCTTCTTCGGGGTTTGCGCTTGCCTCGGATATGACACCAAGGTTGTAAGCTGCCGGGCGGTCTTTGTTGCAGACTTGCATCATAGAACCAGATGTGCTGAGTTCCCCTTGACGCAACTTCTCTAGAAAATATCCCAGTATGCTCTTGTCTTGGCTTTTATCCATCATAGAGCCAGCATAAACTCCCAAGACGACTCCACTCGAATACCCAAAGGCAATTGTGGCATTTTGCCCAGCAGGCTGATCAAACTGAGCTTGCACAAGTCGGGCTGCAGCTTCGGAATGAGGGGAGTATTGGTTTCCTTCCTCGCCACGCCACGCCATCTCCATCTCAACATCCTTGGCTGAGTATTTTGTGCTTGGTGTATTTGCGACTTGGGCCTTTGTAGACTTAAAGCTATTACCGCTGGGCAAGGAACAGGCGTACAGCTCCGGACGCATGCCGGAATTTGCGATGGGACTGTTCACGGCTATATTCAGCAGCATTGGCAAGTCGCATGATTTGAGAACGCGCAAGCCATTATAGTAATCCCAGTCCTTGGAGTCGGCGCTATCGCATGTTGATGGGCATCTGTTCCATTGGGTTGCGACATAAGGATCGGTCACAACATGGGAAGATGCTGCCGCGACCAGGACGGCCACTTGGCTTATGGCAGTGAGGTGTGCCAACAAGCCCATATTTGGGTTTGCCTAGCCCCTAAGGCTAGCTTTGGTAGGAGTGCTTAAAAAAGTAAAGGAAAAAGAGGGCGGAAAGAAAAACTCATAACAAAGTTGAAAGAATATAGTCAGGTCAGACAGGAAAGCAACCTGAACTAGGCGATAGCCTCAAAATAAATAATAAACGGAATGAATGAAAATAGGACTACCCGGTAGTCAGTAAGAGATTTAGGAGATTCCACCTAACATGTTCTTCTACCAACGCTTCCGAGATAAGAGGGAATCACTGGCCATCACATCCTAGTCGGCTGCATCTTTCGCCCTTCCAGCACTATACTACTCTGTAGCCATCCCAACAATACGACCCTAGGGCTCCACAAGTCGATTCACTACATCCGGCAATTGGATACTGCGTGTTTCTCGTTGATTTCAAGGGGCAAGCTAGCCTTGTTCAGCTACTAAAATCAGAGAGCACATGTCGAACTTGGCCAAAACGTCTCCCGTACAGGTTAAGCCCTGGCGATCAGTTTGCTTAAAATTAAATTTGCCAAGACGTTATCTTAGTTGCAACTCTCTGTCTCCTGCACCCATCTCGCAGTTCTTACCTATTATGTATAGAACGCGACGGCTAGGCAAAATTTGATGGAATTGGGGGCCTAGAAGCAACTAACAAGCCCCAGTGATATACGGAGTATGGTTTAGCCGATTAGGGGAATAGTGTTCAAAGTTGGCTTCCCTGTAGTCGTACACATTGCTCCTCCACTACCAAGACATTCCCAAAGCTTGTTCAGTACATCGCATAAGCACTGGATGTTGCTTTGCGGGTAGCCCCGGCTGTAGCTTCTTGGCTTGGAGGGCTATCCCGCTACTACTGTTCAAGTTTTGCATAGAGTACTCCGTAGTGGGGGGTTTTATTAAGATAGCCATTGTCTAGTACGATTTCAATGTAGGATCGACATTGGATAGAACGACTTTAGCCCCCGGGGGCCGGGGGCGGAGTCGGCTGTAGTAACCCGGGGTCCAGAGTATTGATCCATCCAGAGTATTGATCCACTTGAAAACAGCAGCTAGGAAAAGCTAGTAAATACAGTGAAACAACAACTAGAATATGCCAACATGCTAATTTCCGATGATCCAGAAATGTGCTGCGTTTCCGAGGCCGAAGAGACATACTACAGGGGCTCGGACGATTGTCGCAACAAAAACAATTACAAGAAGCGAGGAAGCTCGAAGTTAATCATAGACTTCCTCAGTCTTCGCTTTTACCTCGTTGTCTTTATTGGTTTTCTTTCCCGGCTTTATTTCCAAAATGAAGGTTCCAATCTTCTTTCTCCTAGTTCTATATACAACAAATGCCGCCGCCTTTGGCATTTCTGGTGCCTACGAACGCATGTTCTACTGGTATGCGTACCAGCTAGATCAGGCATCAGATGGCACTAAGACTATTGCGAAGATGTGCGGAAAAGAACTAGCTGGCGGCCAATCCTGCAATTTGAGGCAGTTCCTCACCTACATTGCAGCTAACGACGCGCAGAGAGCCAATGCTCGGGCGCTTCCTGATACCATCAATGCACACAATATAAATGCAGACACAGCCGCCGAAATTATTGACCATGGTCACGTCAATGGACTGTATACTGAGTATCATGTGTGCGAGAAAGCCTACAACGTACCGGATCTGTTTGTGAAAGTTTCGCAGTATGTTTCCCACTGCAGTCCGGTCTTCATAGACCAAATATAAGAAAGGCAAAGGCTAACAACGAACCCAAAAAGATTGATTCGCGACAAAGCCACCGGAAAGAGTGTGAACGACTACCCCTTGGATCAAATCTTGACTTCACGGAAACGAGTTGAGGCAATGCGTGCATCGGAATCTCAACGCTCCGCTGGCGACTGGCTTCGCGAAAAGTTTGATAAGGATCATGTTCCAACTGGTGATGTTCCTGAGGGCGGACGTGGCCCTGTAACAGAGGGGTTGGTCATTGAGACGAGCGAACGGGTCTGTACGGGCAATAACTTGGAATATGCCGCTGTGGATCTACAGGCAGCGGGTGATCGGATCCATGCGGCTAAACCCTCTAACGCTGGAGAATCTGGTTTCAATTTGAAGACTGAACTCAGGAATTGGAGGCAGGAGGAGCTGGGAAAGCAAAACAATCACATCGAGAACATCCAACAGATCATAAAGGCCAGGGGGACTATCTTGAAGTCATGCTCGAAATAAATGTGGTTGAATTATGCTGGGGTTTACAGGAGACATGTAAATATCACTAATTAGAAGAAAGATGTCTGTGGCCATTTGCCATGCTAGGTTTGAGCCACGCTTCGGTGAGAAACTTCAGCTGCTTCCAGCAATTCATAAACTTCGTCCAGTTCAAGACGGCCATCCTTTTCGTTCCTCCAAATATCATGGTCCACACCAACAGCATCCCTAGCAAATATAGCAAAATCTATACTCGGAATTCTAACAGATACCCCGTCATGTTCACCTTGGTCCCACAGCGCAATATGTACCGGATCATTTCTGTCGACCCATCTGTGCGTCCTGTCCGACCTTGGGAAATACCATTCTTTCGAGGTCATAAGAAACAGCGATCTCGAGACATAGCTGGATTCCCGTTCAAGTGACTCAAGTTTGTCCGGGACAGCCGCCGCAATGTCCTCCCGGTAGTGATTGTTATACGACGCCTTGGCTTCCATCCACATTGCGGGGCCAACAAGCCGAGAAAGTTGTTTAAGTTTCAACTCTTGGGTCTCGCTCTCTGCCGGTGCCGTCTGGCTATCAGCAGGCCCTGCGGAGGAAAGCAGTAGTACCTTGTCCCACATTTCCGGATAATCCGCAACAATACAGGCGTGAAGGCATTGCCGCAGCATATCTGGCCTAATGCGAGCCAGTCTCTCGTAGGTTTCTGCACAAGCTCGCCCTGGGAACCAGATGTTCATAGGGAGCAGATCTTTCGGCGTGTCCGCCGTGACCCATGTGACATCATCCGACATGATTCGTCGAGCGTTGATTGCACGCTGGATTTGTTTTGTCTCAAACTCACTAAACCTAGTGTTCGCGTCTTCGGTGACTTGTGTGCTCCACCATTTCGCCCAGAACGAATTATGGTAGATACCTCGGATTATGCAGAAGAATTCGCCACGAACCATTTGTGGTCTGTGTAGACGCGCGTAGCGATCGATATCGCCCAAATACGCGGCCATCACGATCAATTTATCCTTGTTGACAGGCGGGAGATCCACCGGCAGCGGCCCATATAGGAGTGGGAAATAGCTCTCGGGGGCGTCTAGCGCCTTATGGTTGTGGTCGTCTATACCCCAATCCTCTGTAATATTGAAGTAATTTGAGGTATAATGACGGTCCCCGTGCTCCCGGTAGAAATGTGAGATCTCCTTCGGATCTACATGTTCCCGTCCGCCCCCAAGACTTGAAAAAACAGCGGTATCACCATTCAGGAATGCAACTCGAGGGTTGGCAATATCCACCGTCCGCGTATAATCATCCATAATCGCGAATTTCACTTGCTGGGATATAATGCGTTGGTAAATTTCCTGACTGCCCTTATTGCCCCTCTCCGCGCTTGCATAAGACGCTTCTTCTGCGACGTGGACCTCTGGGAGTGGGTCGAGCTCCTTATACAGGTCAATATATCCAGCGACCGCACAGGCACGAGCAGCATGATATAGCATTTGCGGATATCGTTGTATCAGAGCTCGCAGGGTACCCTCATGCGGGACGTCTGGATGCCAAATGCAGTAAGGGGTTTCGTTGGGCTCAGATATGGTCGGGATAATACCGCTCATGATATCCCGGGCATTCAAGGCTCGGGTGAATTCTGGCGTCACTCCGTGGAGCTCCTGGGCGAAACCATGGTGGTGTCGGATGCCACGAATGACAGACAACCGAGTCAGTTCATAGCCCAGTGCGACTGGAAGTTGTTGCCCGTGAATTGCGGCATTGCACGCATCTGATGAGTACTTGTTGATCTTGAGTCTCGCTTCAATTGGCAGTTGGTCCAGTGGGGTCTGGGGCTTCTTTGGTTTGCCCATGATGACATACGAAGAAATTCAGAGAATGGTTTGAGTAATTGTTTGAGTAATCATTTGACAAGACGATAGTGGGCAGGATCCTTATATATGGTTCCTGGTGCAGTCAGTAGTCTCAATACCACTTCGTACCAGTGGGGCGGAGTCGGATCACCAGAACACCAAAGACCCCACTTCGGACCCTATTACCGGGTCTTTCCCCTTCTCCCCTTTCAATACAGTGAAACTCCGTTAATCATTTAAAAGATCGTCGTTCAAGCAATTTTAAAAAGGATTTTATACCTCGGCTTTCTTGGCAGTTTTATATAATAGGTATCAAGTATTATATTTATATTTCTCGTTACGCTAGGATCTGTATAGCTTGGATCCTAAAGACAAAAGCCTCCTTAATTAACATACTACATGGTGACCGGAGATAATCTGATTAGCACTTTACCCCCTCCCTATTCTAATAGTATACTACGGAAGAGAGAGAATAAGAGGACGCGGTAACTTTCGTGGGCTTTGAAGCCCACTTTGAAAAGAGTCACCAGCTTGTACTGAATCTAGAACAGCCGCCGTTAACGAACGATACGAGGAAAACGACTTTGTCAGTGTATATTAGACAGCTTGACCATTGAACTGGAATGATTAATTTGATTGTTAATTCAAGTGTAATAGAGCGTTCACATTCGTGCCTTATAAAGCGGCGGCACCCCAATGGGGCAAGTGGCGGCCGTGGCCGAGGACGGGCGCCCATGTTATGCACCACCTGGGCATCCATGGATGGTGAATTATAACGGCTGATGCGAATCTATAGACTCGATTTTATGTATGTTGCGCATATGGCGCTTCGGCAAGCGAGGAATGCTGCTCGGGCGGAGTTCGAGAATGAGTAGAAATGGTGTAAATTCTGATCGCGAGTATTATTTGGTCTTTCTCGTTTTGATGAAGTGGAAGTGACCAGTGGATACGAATCTCGATTAAAGGTTGTCTCCCATTCACGACCTTGTAACCTTTAAATTCAGTCTCACCATTCCCATCCTTCAGTCTCGAGCCACCATTCATCCTTTTCAGGTGGCTTGCCGAGTCCGAACAAGGCAAAGTTAGCAACGGACCACCCTTCAGTAGGCTCAATGAAGGCGGCTTGCGAAAACCCCGAGATGTGCCTAAAATACCTGAGTATAAGCTATTTAATCAAGGGGTACTGAGCATCACATACATTTCTCCGGTCGATGTATCAAGAATGAGCTTCGACATTGAAACCATGCATACCTGGACGCCGCAGCGTAAAAGCATTCTAATCGATGCGTTCAGGTTAGTTTCAGACACGACAAATAGAAAAAGTGGTTGGATGAACATACGAGTAGGCTTCACCGGAACTTCCTTTGAATAGAGTCACACATATAGTCGTTCATTTCCCAGAACTCCTCATAGTCGAGGGGCTCTCCAGGTACCTTTCCCAAACGACATATGTGATATAGCCCCCAGGAACAAAGCCACCGGGCCCTTGTTTTTCCTCTTGAAAACCGAGCAGGTCGGGGACAACATCACAACCCATCTTCAGTCTCTTCAAAGCCGCTAGCTCAGTGATTGATTTCGTCGGGACGGCCTGTTGTGCTCGAGTCTCGGGCTTAGAATACTCCGTGCCATAGATGGGGAGTTGGGCATAGATGCGCGTAAACGCGGGCTTCTTGCTCGGGTCATCGGCACGATTGCAAAGGAATTTACCCGCGGTGTATCCAATGCCACGACCATAGTTGATGCCTTCTTGGTTCATGACTATGGCTGTTTCGCCAAACTTCTTGCTGATGACCCAGGTTCGGCGGGGCAAGGCGGGGCAATCTTCGGCTTCGTTCTTCTCGTCGGTATTGACTGTGGTGTCTTCACGGTCAACAAGGAAATGAGGATCGTCGAGCTGCATTGTGAATCGGTGAAATGGTGGTAGATAAGAAAAAAATTTTGATAGATGGCAAAGGTAGAAAGGATGTTGCAGGAGAAAGAAAAAGGAAGTGTGACGAGTGCTTCCTGGCAGCTAGCAGTGAAGCCCTGGAGTAACTAGACCCATGCACCTGTCTGCGGGTGTATGTACCCGTGGACTGTCAAATAGTTGACAGGTAGGCGTCTTCTAATAAATACCCATCTTGACTGTTTCTCTGTTGTATCAATGAAGCACAGGGACTATGCTATATCAGTTGCCTAAGTCTGCCTTTGACTATCTCTTATTGACCACGAGGTTGCTCCTTTGGATATGGACTGGTGAGGACTGAGTGCTCAATAGTTAACTTAATCAACACTAACTACCTAGGTAGATCCACTGCCTCGGAGACAGAGTAATCGCAGAGCAGTGAACAGCCAATCATGCTCAGTGATTGCCACCTAGGTATACATCCACCATGCATGAACAACCTCATTGGCAATATGCGCCCCACTGGGCCGAACAAGGTAAAGAATGACACTTCATCCCCATTTTTTGATTGCAGACTTGTTAGCCCAAATCTTAGGCAATGATTCCTAAGAATTTTAATGATTCTAAACTTCTTCCTAGAATCACACCCCTAATCCCTCATCGCAACAAAATTCATTGAGGTGCAAACATACCAAAACTGCACCATGTCAGAGCCCGTAGAGAAGGGTTATCAACTCGGAGTTGATGTTGGCGGGACATTCACAGATGTTTACGTGTTCACCCCGCATGGACAGACAGTGCGAGCAAAAGTCCCAACAACCATCCCAGATCAAAGTATTGGGATCCAACAGGGCATTACGAAGGCCCGTGAATTACTCAATAAGCAGTTCGGTTGGTCGGGGACTTTCCAATTCATTCATCATGGCACAACGACCGCAACCAATGCAGTTCTCGAAGGGAAGGGCGCTCGCACTGCCTTAATTGTGACTGCTGGCCATAAGGATTTATTGGCTTTGCGCCGTTCCCAGATCCCAGGTGGATTGGGTGCGTGGCTGCACTGGACCCCACCCGATCCTATAGTGCCACTTGAGCGGGTCGTTCAATGTAAAGAACGCATGTCCGTTCAGGGAGAAACAGTTACGGCAGTTGATATCGAGGATCTGCGACAAAACTTGAAAGAGCTGGCGCGACAGAAGCCAGAAGCAATCGCTATCTCGCTATTGAACTCACATAGCAACGAGGCTCATGAACGGGTGGTTGCACAAACAGTCCGCGAGGAGCTTGGGGCCGATATCGCCATCACTTGTTCTGCAGATGTTCTGCGTGAAGTCGGAGAGTATGAGCGGACGGTCACAACCTGCACGAATACGCTGGTGAAGCCGGTTGTCGAGAAATATCTGTACAATCTGTCTAAGGCGCTTGCGGCGGAAAGTGAGGCCATTCGGGTCCTCAAGAGCGATGGTGGGTTGACCAGTCTGACTCTCGCTTCTGAGCTACCAGTCAACATTCTCATGTCGGGCCCTGCAGGAGGCGTCAAGGGAGTGGCAGATGTTGTGGCTCGGAGTACTCCGTACAAGAATCTGATTACCTTGGACATGGGAGGAACTTCTACCGACTGCGCATTAATTTACAATGGCCAGCCTCAGCTCCGACGAGAGACTGTTGTAGGGAGTCTTTCTGTTCGGGCGCCCGCGGTTGACATCAAGACTGTGGGGGCTGGGGGAGGATCGATCACAACGTACATGGAGCTCACGGAGACCTTGCGGGTAGGCCCCGAGAGCGCTGGCGCAGCACCCGGACCTGCATCCTATGGAAAAGGCGGAAAGCAAGCCACTGTCACGGATGCGAATTTGGTCCTGGGATATTTGCCCAAAACATTGTTGGGTGGCGAGTTCGCGTTGGATGTCCAAGCTGCTATAACTGCTGTCGAGGATATTGCGAACCAGATGAAGCTTCCGGTTATTCAAACAGCCGAAGATATCATCACAATCATCAACGAGACAATGTATGGTGCCTTGCGGCTTGTCTCTGTGGAGCAGGGCTATGACCCTCGTGAATTTGCACTGGTTGCTTTCGGTGGTGCCGGCCCTCTGCATGCAAACGCCGTGGGTCAACTTCTTGGGGCCTGGCCTGTGATCATCCCACCTTCTCCTGGAATCCTATGTGCACAGGGTGATGTGACCACTAAACTTAGACACGAGCAATCCGCCACCTTCATCCGTATTGTCTCCGGAACCCCTGTTTTCGAGGCACGGGAACAGTACCGAACACTAGAGCAAGAGTGTCGGGATACCTTGTCAAGGACGGCGGGCGATCTGTGGCCCTTGTCATGGAAAACAGCATATCAAGCAGATCTTCGGTACAAAGGCCAAGCTTTGATGATAACAATCGAGATCACCGAAGAAGACTTGGCCCTGACTACTGAGAAATGGCATGATGTGTTGCGACAAAAGTTCGACCAGCAGCACCAGCAGATGTTCACTTACTGCTTACCTGACTTTGAGCTTGAATTGATGAGACTGGGAGTTGTATTGGAAGACGCCTCGCCTGGGATTGACATTCCCCAAGTTGGCAAAGGGACAATTCCCCCTTCAGACGCAAAGATTGGCGAGCAGAATATCATCGTCCAAGGCGAAGAAAAATTGGCAACCCTGTGGGATCGTCAGAAGATTAGCAAGCAGGGTATCCAAGTAATGGGTCCGTGTATTATCTCCGAAATGGACAGCAACACACTCATCTTACCTGGCTACTACGGTGAGATCGATAGCATCGGAAATATTTTGATCAATCCTCTCGAAAAGAAGCCTGCCACGGCTACCACACACACTGTCGAGTCGGCCAAAGAGCTTGTCAAGAGCACTCCATTGATTCCTACGCTGATATCCTCGACACTGGCCTCCATTCGCGGCGAGATGGACAAAATGATGCTACGATGCAGCATGTCTCCTGCCATCCGAGAGCAGCAGGATGAATTCAATGTCATAACCGACTGCGAGGGCAAAATGCTGGTTGGTCAGTTTGGCAGTTTTATCACACAGTTCCTCGATGTTTGGGCCGGTACAATCGAGGAGGGCGATGTGTTTATTACCAACGACACCTACCAAGTGCAGGGTGCCATCAGCCACCTCAACGACATCATTGCCTTTTTGCCCATTTTCCACAACGGTCGGATCATTGGATTTGCATCGCAATTTGGCCACCTGACAGACGTTGGAGGTATTGTTCCGGGAAGCATGTCAATCAACGCGACATCCGTCTTTGATGACGGCGTGCAGATTCCCTGCATAAAGCTGTATACCCGTGGTGTTATGAATAAAGATATAGTCGATCTTCTTTGTCGAAACTCTCGCCAACCGGCATGGTATCGCTCTGACCTGACTGCCATTGTAGCATCCTGTTCTATGGCTGCCACCAGAGTTCGCGAGTTGGCCACCCGTTTCGGCAGTGAAGTATACCTGGCTGCGTGCTCGGAGCTGCTGTACCGGAACCGAAGTGGATTCGCGAAGATCATCGAACGCCAATTCGATGACCTGGAAAGCAAATTCACAGACTTCGTTGATGATGATGGCCACGGTGTGGGACCTTGGGCACTCACCTGCTCCATGAAAAAGGTGGACGGCAACCGGCTCCAATTTGACTGGAGTGGCACTTCTCCACAGAGCGAGCGTAGTATCAACTTCTATCTCTCGGAGACAATGTTCAGGATGTTCATTGGCTACTACCTCATTGCAGCCGCTGCCCCGGGCACAGTTATCAATGACGGCTTCCATGACTTGATTGATGTGCACATCCCTGAAGGATCAGTCCTCAAGCCTGTTCGCCCTGCGCCAATCTCATGCCGAACTCACTTCCTCGGACGGACCTTGGACATTGTACAAGCCCTGATTGGCCAAAAGCAAGACTCCTACCAGGCTGCAGCTGGATTTAGTGACTCACCTCACTTCTTTTACTCTGGATTCAAGCCGGACGGAGAATGGTACCAGCTCTACCAGATTGGATTTGGAGGTGTGCCTGCACGACAAGCCGGCGATGGCCCTGATTGCCACTGTCTCTTTCCCGCCATCAAGTCCATTCCCACCGAAATAATAGAGCTCAACTACCCGTTGCGTATTGAAGCAAACGAGAGCGTCGCCGACAGTGGTGGCGCCGGATTTTACCGCGGTGGTAATGCTCAGCGCACGCTATACCGATTCCTGGCCCGTGGGGAGTTCAGTCTCCACGATGATCGATGGTTCACCAAGCCATGGGGGTTGAAGGGCGGAAAGCCCGGACAGCGATCCCGCAAAATACTCTACCGGTACTCCAAGTCTGAGGACAGCCCTCCCACTGAGATTTTACCTTCCAAGTGTGATCATATTCGCGTTGACCCGGGTGACCTCCTCGAGTGGGTGACTTGGGGCGGAGGCGGATTGGGTGATCCTTTGACACGTCCGGCGGAAAAGGTTGCCCTGGAAGTACACCGAAAGCTTGTCACAGTTGAGGGAGCTCGAGTTGCGTATGGTACCGTTGTCAACGACGATTTCACTGTAAATGAGGCTGAGACCGAGGCATTGCGGACCCAGATGCGGATGGAACGTACCCAGCTGAGTGGGTCATCCATCTATGACCGCGGTGGAACCCTCGAGCAGTTACGAGAAACATGTCTGCAGGAGACTGGACTTGATGCCCCGTTACCTCAGTGGGAAACAGAAATTTATGGTCCTCACGCTGGGTTGGCATATGTGCAGGACTGGTTCACTGGGATGCGATCACGCAAAGGTTGGGAGCTTGATTAGTCTCTAATAGGATGCACTATTTATAGATCGTAGGCTAGATCCAACCTCGGACCTTTCTATCCTTCTAAAATAGCCAAATATTCTTCTCTACCCGCTCAATATGCGGATTAAGCTCCTCTATATCCTATTCCCGCTATTATTTAAACATAGACGATTATGTCTGCTTGGGTACTCCCAGCTCTGCCAGGGATTCCGTCAACCCCAGCCTGACCCAATTATCAATCTCCTTCATCGTAGCCACGGCGATCACCCCCAGCATACCCAACGAATTTACCCCAGCCTCCTTATTAATTGCGCCTCGTCTTCTCGGTAGCACAATCATCCACCTCTTGGTAAAAATCATATTATGCGGACAGACTGCCCCGGGCGGCGCACTCGTCGTATCGCCCCCGCCCACCTTTGTAGCCTCCTCCAGAAGGCCTTTGTAAACTCCGAACAATACAGCGGGGGTCACATCACCCTCAAAACGTCGATAGAACCACTGAAATGGAACCTTGGTTTCGGGCTCTTCGGAAGAATCCAGAAAGGCCGCAAAACTGTTTGCCGGCAAGGGCATCACCTGCAGATGCTTATGCAGCCGACTGCATCCGCCATTCTGGCCGCAGTTGTAAAAAGCAACGTAGTCGCTCTCCGCGGAGCTCAGGAGCTGCCATGTGTCGCTCAAATCAGCCTCGTCGAGCGCCTCGTACTGCCGTTTGTAACCATCAAACGTGAGAAGCATGAGGTGGGGCCGTGCGAAGCAGAACTTATTCACGATCACTAAGTGGCTATCTAGCGCGCCGAGTTCGAACCCCGTCGAGTTTATGTCGCTGCCTTCTCGCTTTTCTGGTTTTTGGGTGTCGGTATCGGGCTGGGACGGGGCCGTGGTTAGGGTGGGCTTTTTGACGAGAGCAGAAGTGAGAACAAATTGGAACTTGGTAATCGTGTTAGTAAATGTTTGATTTGGATTATGGTTGGGGATGTGATGAATACTTTGAGGTCGCCGTCAATGTGCTCGATGATTTGTTGTTTATCGTCGTATAGGACGAGGCCAGATTGGACGAGGTTGTCGAATTTAGAGAGGATGACGGATTCTTCCATTTTGGGATGACCTTCTTGTTTGTGGATTGTGTTAAACGTAAGTACGTATATGGTCAGCGGCTGGAGGTGGGATAGAAATTCCTTCGTAGGAGAGGGGGGCTCAGCTTATTTATAGTTTTCTATGTTAGATAGTGGCTTGCACTTCCGGAAGATCAATACTATTAGGAGACCACAGAGTTTCAATATTTAGAAATTACTGTAATAGAATATCTATGAAAGTACATAATCATCAAAACGGTACTGTCAGCCTTATCTGTACGACCAATAGGCCTCTTAACAGGGTGTAGAAGGAGCCATTTACTTTAATTGACTAAAGACTATCTAACACTCTTCTCGACACTTCCTGAATATATTAACCTATATTCAAGACTTCATTTCTAGCCATATTAAAAAAAAAAAGCAATAACCCTGTGCCTCCCACCGGCGACACACCTGCTTTAACGCAGTCCGTTCAGCCGTAGTCACGTGGGGCGCGATTTCCGGCAGTTTGCTGAAGCATCCGCTCGCAAAATCGTCGGGAGGAGAAGATGTCTAAAAAAAGGTCTACCCAAAAAGACTACCAAAAAGCCTTAAAAACAAGGCCGCATAACCGGCCGACTATTCTTGTTAATGCCGAAAAGGGAAATGTGGGACGTGTATCAACCTTGGAGATTGGAACCTCCCGTGGTCTCCACAACGCTTAACTATATTGAGTGGAGTCTCAGAACAACATTGGAACCCGTTGTCGATGCGCAGCTTCAATTCCTGCTAATGAATTCACCCCTCTTCACAGAGGGGCTCAATTAATTTTTTTTTTTTGTATAGCATTATCGCCATAGTACGCTATCTTGTGCTACCTTACGCCATAGGGATAGGGTGGTACTTTCAACCATCGCAGTGAAACACATGGCAATATATCATAGGTGTATTTTACAGCATTGCACTATACACCCCAAACACAGACCCAAATGAAAACACCCTTGTCTTGTTCGAGATGCGCAATGAGTGAGAGGCTGTGTAGGCTAGGGCTAGCAGTCGAATGATACCTTGCTTTCCCAGAGAATTGCAACAACTGTGGGTTTCTGTTCAATAAAACTGTCACACTGGACCGTTTTGCCCTTGGTCCCATGTCAAACGATATGTATACCCAAGCCACTGGACGTGAAAGACGGGATGCAACCGAGGACGAAGTCAAGACCCTACCCCATGTGGTGGACTTAATCCCGCTCATTGTTTAAATAGCTCTTGTAGCTGGTGCATTAGAAAGGTTCACGTACTATACAATCACCGCTCCATGGCGTAAGTATCTAACCCAACGTGGAATCAATGGATCTTAACCGCCTCAGAGAACTATATGCAAAATGACAGTGATAGTATTGAGGTCCCGGGAGTTTTGGGTCTTGGTCAAGCAACCGCAACCGAAATCTCTAATGCCTTCTCTTTCTTCTCTTTTATGGCCCCTCTACCTTTCGCTATTCTCTCAGATGCACGGATTGGGAGATACAAAACATTATGCATCTCTTGCATGTAGGTTACGCGTACCTTTCACAGACGAGTTGAAGCTGATCATCGCTAGCCTCCGTAAACGATATGGAATCTGAGCACATGTAGTATTACTCCTCGTAGACTCCGGTCTGATAGTTACAGTATAGTAATACTGGTACGTAATCAACATTTTCTGCCAAAATATCTATTTATCGTCCAAGGTTGACCATCAGCTCAAGCTACTTTATCCTATATCCTGTTCTCTGTACGTGAAGGAATACCAAGTGCACGGTCCCCTCCGCCCAGCTTACCAATAATGGGTTTGGTTATGATCAGGCACCAATACATTTTGTTTCTTCCTTCTTTTATCACCCCTTATACACATACATTTATGATGAGTTTTGTGGAAGCTAGTCCCCAGAATGAGATCGAGATGGTAAAATCACTCCAAGACTTGACTATAGTTGAGTCGTGGAGCGATGGAATGCTGAAATCCACTACCTTCTACCATGTCACGGAAGATGAGGAGGTTTTCTTCGGCTACACGTCAAAGAATACGCGCGAAATGACCATCGCAGGATTCAATTCATCTCTGCAACGCGTCCAGGACAAAGATATTTATCCAGAGATTCCCACGGACACCCATTTGACACTTGCACCGGAAGGGCTGGGCTCTTCTTTGGTTTACGTGAAAAGACTAGGCCTACAGTGGTACGAGGATATGATCGGCACAAACCATCTCCCTAAGGCCGTTCTTGATGAGACAATCATCATGGAGCAGATCTCAAACTCCCCTCACAAAAACATAATTCGATATTACGGCTGTCGTGTGAGGCGCGGTTACATCACCTCGATCGTTCTCGAGCGGCTTGATCAAAACCTGAACGAGTTTGTCTCGACATCAGATTTTCAACAGCTTGACAGAGTCAAGTTCTTCGAATCTCTTAAGTCAGCCGTGGAGCACCTACACACCTTGGGGCTAGCTCATAACGACATCAACCCGGATAACGTTATGGTGAAGAATGGATCGCCAGTGTTGATTGACTTTGATTCGTGTCAGCCTTTCGGAAAACACCTGCAGTCTTTGGGCACGGAGGGATGGTACGAAAAGGTGTTTTATACTTCTGAGAAGAAACATGACATATATTCTCTCGGAAAGGTACAGGAATGGCTCCAGGCTGCTAAGTGATTTAGATCAACGCCTTTAATTATATTGTATATTTGGGGGCTATATATTTTATCACGCTGGCTATAACACTGACACCGGAAAAAGACACCCAAAAAGACACCCAAAAAGACATGGTTAAATCCTCTGATCCCAATAGACTCTATAGGAACTATTTAACATTACATGAAAGGAAAATCTCAAGCTCGAACCATACACTCAACAAAGGAGGCCCTGAGTAAGCCTTGTTGTCATCACGTGAGGCAACCCAATACTAACCGCCTCAGCTGAACTACTATTATTGGATTGCACTGTTCTTGCTGCATTTGCAAAGCTACAGCCACATGGTATCCCATGATTGGCAAAGAACTAGACAGTAGATCCCCTGGGTGGAGTCATTTGGCCCACCGAGCATTCTATTGGCTGTTTGATCTTAGGCGCCGAGCTCAGCCCCGCGATCTCTTGCCCATATATTTTGTACGGAGTACCGCCTCCCCTAGCGAACTGTTTGCCTGGAAACATCCTTTGTTGACAAGCTCAGCATCCCATAACCCGAGGTCCTCATTCTATACCTTTAAACCTGAAAACCAAAGCGGAATATGGGTAGATTTAAGAAACACTTCGAGAATCTAACACAACGGACAAAGAAGAATACCAAGACTGATGGAGCACATGGAGACTTCCATGATGTCTCTTCGACCGCAGAGTCAAATGTGTCTGACCCTTCTGAATTATCGATTGCGGCAAACCATGTAAATCCTTCTGGCCCTGCTGAAAACCTTGACAAGCTCTCCAAGCCTGCTTCACTGAATTGCAATGCCACTACGGTCTCAAGTCTTCCTGAATCCCGCCAGCCCGAGCAGAGCATACCTGACTTATCGTCTTCTGAGACGACTCCAACCTCGTTAATTGACAGCCAAGATCCCTGGGCTTTGGCATATGAAATCTTGCAGAAACGAGAGCCGAAGTTGGTCGAAGATTACCAGACGCACTTGAGTTTCGTGCAGTGCAACAGCTCAGTGGAAGCAGTGGAAGTGGGCGCAGATCTTTCGAATCCGCGGTCAGTCGAGTCAGTGATGACGCAGTTGCTGGAAGACCGGGAGAAGAAGCAGTGGCAAGTCTCACTTCTGGGAAAGGATGTGAAGATACGAGAACAAACCGAAAAACTGGCTAAGTTTCTCCTCTGGGCCGACCCAGTCGTGAAGAACGCCGTTAGTACTCAACCATATGCAGCGTTGGCATGGGCTGGTGTCTCGTTGCTTTTACCTGTAAGGCAAGACAACCCCCTATGGTCTATCAATGCTGACCCAGATAGCTACTTTCAAGCAGTACCACTGCCAATCTGGCGATGCTCAAAGGCTTTGATTCAATCCACGATATTCAGATGCTCTGGAACATCTGCGAGAAGAGATACCTACAGTCCGAGCATAGGGATGAGTATCAAGATCTCATCACCCCCCTTGCTACACTCTACTCTCATATCATCGAATACCAAGCACGTGCTATCTGTCATTCCTCTAAAGCCCAACTCTCCCGCGCATGGAAGAACATAGCCGGTGAAAGCGATTGGGATGAAATGATATCAAAAATCAAGCAATCAAGCGAGACTTGTAGCTCCCATCTCCCTTATCTCGAATTAGAGGAGAATCGCAATCACCGAGATCGTCAGCTGCAGGAGATGAGAGAGTCTCGGACTATTCTTGATGAGATTTGCAATGTCCTAAAAGCGGACACAAGTCGGACCCAGAAGAATTATGAAGACCAGAACGAGCGAGATCTTCTTCAAACACTTACGTCCGACTACGAAGATGACAAGAGTTATAATCCACTGAGAGTCCCAGGCACATGCGAATGGTTCTTTCAGGGTAACGAATTTCGAAACTGGCGCGACAGCGACAGTTCTAGTCTTCTGTGGATTTCCGCCGGCCCTGGTTGTGGAAAGTCGGTATTATCGCGGACTCTTATCGATGAGAACCGGCTTTCTACAAACATCACGACATCAACAATCTGCTATTTCTTTTTCAAGGATGGAGATGAGCGTCGTGTGTCAGCTACCAATGCTTTGTGCGCATTGCTTCACCAGCTTTTCACCCACGATCCGACGGGCACACTGATCCAAAATGCAGTCATCAGCCACAAAAATCACGGTACGAATCTAGCACAGAACTTCTCCGAACTGTGGCGTCTTTTTATCCAATGTGTCAGCTCGCCAGAGCTTGGAGAGGTGGTTTGTGTCCTTGATGCCCTGGATGAGTGCAATGTTGATAGCATGCGGCAATTACTCGGTAATCTGAAGGAGCTCTACTCGAAACGCCAACTTTCATCCTCAACCTCAAAACTGAAGTTCCTGATCACGAGTCGCCCTTATGATAGTTTGGAGGCGTCGTTTCATGATTTCCCTGATACAAATGCTTTTTTGCATTTTGACGGAGATGATAGGTCTGCCGACATCAGCAACGACATAGGTCTGGTTATCGATGCAAAACTACAGAACTTCGCCCGAAACTTTCGGGAGAGCGACCGTCAAATGATTTCCAATCAGATCAAGGGCATGAAGAATCGCACTTACCTCTGGCTACACCTCACATTCGACATCATTGAGCAGAGCCCAAGTGAGTATAAGCGACGATCCGATATCAAAGAACTCCTCTCCGAGCTACCTTCGGAGGTCTCAGACGCATATGAAAAGATCCTAGACCGGAGCAGGAACGAGGTTCAGACAAAAACTCTTCTTGAAATTGTTTTGGCTGCAGCACGACCTCTATCACTTGATGAAGCCAATATAGCCCTGACGATGGCTTTGGAAAAGGATGGTTTCGATTCTTACGACGATCTGGAGGCAGATTTATGGCCAAGAGATGACTTCAAAAGCGTCGTGAAAAATCTATGCGGTCTCTTCATCAATGTGTACGATTCGAAGTTGTTTTTCATTCATTTGACAGCGAGAGAGTTTCTCACTGATCCCCTTCAAAGTGGAAAGTGGAAGGGACGGCTGAGTATGACACAGTCACACACGAAGATGGCGCTGCTGTGTCTATCATACTTGCCACATCTAGATTGGCAAGGATCGGCGAAGGAAACCAGGGCGAAGTTTCCGTTGGCTCAGTACTCAGCCCAGCATTGGATGGATCATTCACGACCTACGGAGACAGAGGAGGAAGTTCTGGCAAGTGTCGAGAGGTTTTTCGTTCAACAAAATACAGCATACGCAGATTGGTTGAACCTCTTTGACCCAGATATCCCTTCAAAAAAGGAGCCGCAGCAAGCTCGAAGCTACAAAATAGGGACTCCACTATATTATGCATCATTTTTCGGTCTCCAACAAACAGCACAACGCCTATTAGCCAAGGGCGCGGAAATCAACGCACCGGGCGGCCTATATGGAAATGCACTCCATAGGGCTTCCGCTGCCGGCCACGAAGGGATTGTGCAGCTGCTATTAGCCAAGGGCGCGGACATCAACGCGCCGGGCTTTTTTGGAAATGCACTCCAGAGGGCTTCCTCTGCCGGCCACGAAGGGATTGTGCAGCTTCTATTAGCCAAGGGCGCGGACGTCAACACACTGGACGGATTTAATGGAAATGCACTCCAGCAAGCTTCCGCTGAAGGCCACGAAGGGATTGTGCAGCTACTATTAGCCAACGGCGCAGACATCAACGCGCCGGGCTTTTTTGGAAATGCACTCCAGAGGGCTTCCGCTGCCGGCCACGAAGGGATTGTGCAGCTTCTATTAGCCAAGGGCGCGGACGTCAACGCACCGGACGGACTTAATGGAAATGCACTCCAGCAAGCTTCCGCTGAAGGCCACGAAGGGATTGTGCAGCTACTATTAGCCAACGGCGCAGACATCACCGCGCCGGGCTTTTTTGGAAACGCACTCCAGAGGGCTTCCGCTGCCGGCCACGAAGGGATTGTGCAGCTGCTATTAGCCAAGGGCGCAGACGTCAACGTACCGGGTAAGTATGGAAGTGAACTCCAGCGAGCTTCCGCTGAAGGCCACGAAGGGATTGTGCAGCTGCTATTAGCCAAGGGCGCGGACATCAACGGGCAGGGTGGCGAGTATGGAAATGCACTCCAGAATGCTTCCGCTAGAGGCCACGAAGGGATTGTGCAGCTGCTATTAGCCAAGGGCGCGAACATCAACGGGCAGGGTGGCGAGTATAAAAATGCACTCCAGGATGCTTCCGCTGAAGGCCACGAAGGGATTGTGCAGCTACTATTAGCCAAGGGCGCGGATATCAACGCGCAGGGCGACTTTTATGGAAATGCACTCCAGGCTGCTTCCGCTAGAGGCCACGAAGAGATTGTGCAGCTGCTATTAGCCAAGGGCGCGGACATCAACGCCCAGGGTGGCGAGTATAGAAATGCACTCCAGGCTGCTTCCGCTGGAGGCCACAAAGGGATTGTGCAGCTGCTATTAGCCAAGGGCGCGGACATCAACGCCCAGGGTGGCGAGTATGGAAATGCACTCCAGGCTGCTTCCGTTGGAGGCCACAAAGGGATTGTGCAGCTGCTATTAGCCAAGGGCGCGGACATCAACGCGCAGTCCATCGTCAACCCCCAAGCGCCTCTCTACTTGACACGCCATCCTCACCAGCGCCTCTCTCCACGACGCGCCAACCGGCCAGGCCAGACACCCATCTACAAACGGTACCACCTACGCAGTTTCTAAACAAGCACACGGCCTCAACATGCCCCCTCTCTCTTCGGCAGTCACCTCGACACGCGGAATTTTCGCTCCGTCACGCGCTATCATCCCAACAACGTGCCCTTCCTTCGACGGTCACCCCCCTCAGTACCTCTCCATCGACGTACACCTTCGTCAGTGCCTCTAATATTTAACTCACCTCACCTTCACCCGCTTCATACGCGCAGCATATCTCCCAGCAGCAGTTTCGCAGAGCCTAAGCTCTTAGAGCTCGTTCCAATCCTTACCGGCGAAACTAACTTCGCATCGTGGTCAACTGCACTTAAGTACGCTCCCGGCACTCGGGATCCTACTTTTTTGAGATGCTCACCGGCAAACAACCTCAATCCCGTCAACGCCAAATCAGCGAGCGCGGTCAACGTTCTGGCCCCAGTTCCGGCCACCAACCCCGCTACAACCAATGCCGTCACCGGCAACCCCTTCATACGTTACAACAACCTTTTCAACAACCGAGGTTCAACAAGAACATTTTAGCATCTATATGAAAACAAAGTCTAAAGCTCGAACTATATATTCTAAACAAATGCTAAAGCAGCAGCGACTGTCAAGCCATTTGGTCACCCCCCGAAACAGACCAGCTGTATTTGTCGCCTCTCTTCGTTCCTTTGCTCAAATTCGATTGTTCACGTAATTGTTCCATCTGCAATTTGGCCTGCTGGATGGTTGGCGGCTCAGCTGACGTATTTGTCACTATATTCCTCTTCTGGCTTTTCCTTCTGCCAAAGGCATATTCCTTTAGCGTGCTCGCATTGTAAGCGATGACTGCAAAGAATCCGGATATGAAAATAGAAACCCCAACTGAAACCATGGAAAAGCGAATTATCAGATAGTGCTCGATACCACAGATAGTAGATAGTAGGGTGAGAACTTGCAGATAATGGGGAATATCATGCGTCCTTGGAAGCGGACGTCACCACCTACGTGGGGGAAATCGGATATGTCCAACGCGAGCAGACTGGTTATGAAAGAGGCGGGGAGCTGCGAATATATCAGATATGAACATGTGAGGACCAGCAGGAATATGCACTTACGAAGAGAATTGTCACCACCGTGAAAATCATAATCGTCTCACCCTGCTTTGAAGTATCTTCACTTTGCTTTCGTGCAAACTGGGCTTTGACGATATTGGCTTGCTTCTGTTTTAGGTCGAGCAGCATGTCAATGGCCTTTTGCACAAACTCGGCCTCATTGACCATTTCCGTAAGCTCTTTCTTGACCTCGGAGGGTGTGTTACAGGTAAACGTGGCATCTGGGTTGGATCCGTCGTTCCAGATTTGCTTCCAAACACTTTCTTGGTCTAGGGCCAGAAATTTTAGCATGTTGAGCTCATCATAAATATCCTTGACCTCTCGGAGTATCTCTGTCTCGCCGGCGATGTCGCCATAAGAGTTTTTTGTCTCTCTTCCTTGCCAAGATCCATGATTTCTTTTGAACAAGCGACCAATGAGTCCGATCTCCTTCTTGGCATTCTGGTTTCCATCCGGTCCCTTGTTCTCTGCTGGCGGCTTGCTGGAGCATTCGTTGGCGTTTACTTGATCCTCATCGTCTGTCGCTATACCATCAAGTGACTTTTGAAATTCATCGAATAAGTGCGCTTCCTTGTCACGCTTTTTTTGCAATTGTTAGTCCAAACCCACACTTTCTGAGATTCCTGGCTCTGCTTACCACGTTCAAGATAGCCGCCCGATAGACGCCCAAAGGCGATTTATTGTTCCCCAATACTTCAACATATTGCTTGTTGAAAAAGCTCGTAGCCGTACTGAGGATCAGTTCTTGAATGTTCTCAACTGATATTGAAGAGTTCTTTTCCTGGGCTCGCAGATCGTTCAAGCCCCGTTGAAGAAAACTGCTTTCTTTCTCGTCTATCTCGTTTGTTGTGCTTGTGATAATGGTCTCTAGTGTAACGGAAACTTAGACAGACAGCTGTATTGAAAATAAGGCATCCGAAGGCCATACTTCGTCAAGTATCCAAAGCCAGAGCTGATTCACGATGAAAATCTTCCGTATATCATCTTTTGTTTGAGCTTGATCGTTCGGTTTTCGGTTCTCCACCACCTCTGATTTTGCGTCGCTCTCGCTTTATGTCTGTTTGAGCTTTGGGTCTGTGCTACGCCACAGCACTTGATCCTTGTCTCTTGTCGTGGTGTCTTCAAGGGATGAATAGTAATACTGATCGAGGGTCATGGAGTCATGGAAAAGTTGTTGTCCTTGGGTATTCTGAGCAGTGTGGGTCTTCTTGGTCTGGGTAGCAGTCGCGCTCTTAGTCTGTTGGACTGAGCCTGTGTCTGTATTGTGAGCGAGTTCGACTGGACACTTCTTCCAAAACAGATAGGGCATCTACCGAGAAATATCAGTCATATGAAAAAGAGAGAAACGAAAAAGGAAAAGGTTATAAGGGACAAAATAATGACCCACATATAAAGCACTTCTGCCGAGTTTCGAAATCTGGTCAGATCGATTATTGGTCTCAGTCACGGTAGCCTGATTATCGCCAGCTGTCTTAGACCGCTGATAATGCTGATTTTGAGGTTAGTATACTGACATTGAAGATCGGGTGATTTATCCCAGCCAGCGCAATGATTTGCTGGTCTCTACTTACAAGACACTGTGGTTTCATGTAGGACATGCTTCCACCGGCAGGTAGTTCAGCCCAACTTTTGCGCACAAATTGAGCCCAGGGGCGGTGATCTTTATTCTTGATCTGTTGATCTTGGGAAATTCGAATCATGAGTTCCTAATTCGAGTTAGCACCGAATCTGACCAGCAGTGGCAGCAGTACTTCGACACAGCGCAGCTAATAGAAAGACGGTCAGCGAATAAACAATAATAAGCGTGACGATTCCCTTCATGCTACTAACATTGTTTGCAGGGATGTGAATCTATCTCAAGTCTGGCACTCTCTGTTTTTCGGAACCGGATTTGTCCTGCCTACCCAACGCAGCAGTGGTCTCTCGCTTTTGGGGTATATATTTCGAGGACTCTCTCGGGCTAGAAACCACTGCCTTGAGCAAACTGAGATCGAGATATCGACCGGGCTTCATAATTTTCTGAGGACCTTCGTCATATATAATAGCGGCCATTGAGCGCTTGAGCTGGATGGAGGCCTGGTGCTCTTCATGGTAGAAGTCCAGCACTGTCCCCTCTAGCAAGCCGTGATCCTGGCGCGAAAATTGAAACTTCGGTAGGTGTTCTTCGTATCTCGAAGCATGATCCTTCCGGAGAGGAGGGGGATTCTCGAGGGCCTCCTTAATGATGTTACCGACTGGACCACCCTGTTCTCACTTGGAGATGATTTCCTGTCCCTTTTCAATGTGATTTCCGCTGAGGTACCACCAGTTGGAAACAAGCCACCAAACAACAACAGGCAACTTGTGGTACATAGCCAAGTGAAACACATCCAACCCACTTGTTTCAGAGGAATCAGGGCGTGGTATCGATTTGAGAAAGCGTGCGAAGTAAGTTTCCTCCCCTAGGGCCTCGAATTGCGCAGCCAGCTCCAGGACAAGGTTTGCATCATCGTGTAATATGTTGGAAAAGAAGCTGGTCTTGTCGATGTTCTTACCTAATCTCTTCCATAGAAAGCGCTCCATTTGACAATGAGTTTCCGTGGTTCTCAATACTGCCAGGGAGATTGGGGTTTAGCCATCACGTTGCTACCGAATAATGGCACTCATACACCGTCTTCTTCGTGGAGAATATCAGGTAAGACAGCGATCTTCTCAGTCTCCGTTCCTAGGATAACAGGCAGATAGGCTGTAGGGGATGCACCGAGCCAGACCACAATATTTCTCACCAACTCGATATGATTATATTTAACGGCCAAGTGCAAAGGGGCAATGTTCTGCTCGGTTGGGGCTAGTGTGCAAAGTCCGTTCAAGAGCAGTTGCTCTAAGATTGTAGTATGCCCACCTAGCGCCGCCACGTGCGCCTAAGAAGCTCCTCCTCTTTCCCACGTCGGAGTTTACAGACTCGGTATTTTGCTTATGCATTTGCTAACCAGTTCATCTTATCCATTCAAGATAGCCCAGTATAGGATTGCCTCTTCATACTCATTAATCTCGTCAGAATTCCCATCCTCGATCGCTCCATCGGCCAGTTCCGAAAGAAAACGCCCAACAACTCTAATCCCCTCAATTCCAGAACAAAAAAGGTCAACTCTAGCCTTTGAGGTTATTCTACAATTTATTGTTAGATGTCTTGTTCTATTTGTGCTGTGACTCCATACCTAGAAGGACGAAAAGAATTAACCACAAAATATAATATACGTGCAGCGAAAAGGGCGTATTTCGATACAGTCCAGATGTCATTTCCGAAATATATATCCATAATCTAGTCTCAACGTCCCAGATAGATACCAATGAGACTGCCATAGCGGCAGTATATATAAAGCCTGGACGTTATCAAATTAACTAAAAAGACCATCATAGTTATGTGTTTTATATGCCTTACCACCAGGCCTTCGGTACTAGACACATCTTGACTAACGAAAGGTCTAACTAGCTAGAACAGAACAAAAAAATATAAAAATATAAAAACATACAACAGTGAGGATTCGCTGGTGGTCACCCACCCAACTACTAACTCACCGGCGTGTGGCTTAAGTACGGCTGAGCGGACGGGAAGCCCTGTTTTCCACACCCTATGGTCGTATGTATCGTTTTATGTGTAGGAAAGAATCATACCTAGATTGGGGGCGAGGCTGAACTGAACTGTAGGTGGTTTGGTGATACGAGGGTGAAAATGGAGGTAGTGTAGATAGTGCGAGGAAGATGCGACCACACTAACCTCCTTAAATAAATTAGAATGTATTGAAAGAAAGTGAAAGGGAAAGACACCTATAGATTAAGCTAAGCTAGCGAGAGAGAGAGAGATTAATCGTAGAGGAGTAAGGTCCTATCTGCCCGAGGTAGAGCCGTAAAATTAACTCTATATGATCGTGCCTTAACTAACTGAGTGAGCTATAACTATATATGGATCAATTAAATTATCTAACCAGCTTATCTTATCTATTTAAGATAGCCTAGGTAGTATAGGATTGCCTCTCCATGCTTATTGATCTCGTTAGACTTCCTATCCTCGATCTCTCTATCGGCCAGTTCCGAAAGAAAACGCTCAACAGATCTGAGCTCCTCGATTCCGGAAAAAGGCTCAACTCTGGCAGGAAACTGAGGGAAATAGATCTCCGCTTCTAACAATTGATCAATATGAAACCAAGATGGCTCACCTCAAAGAATCCAACTCCTAGCTCGTAGTATCACCAGAGCTCTTCTGCTCAAAGCCTTTTATAGCCACCTGTAGCTTATTATTCTGACTAGAAACCACAGACTTTCGTTCATCAAGTAAGTTATCCAAACTTTCATGTGTCCGATACAGGGTCAAGACATACCTCTTCAACTGTCCCCCTCATGATATAACGAGTTATAGTCACATCCTTGGTCTGCCCAAGACGAACCACTCGGCCAATTGCTTGCCGCTCAACCATAGGGTTCCATTGTGGCTCCATTATGTGTACCCTGGTTGCACTTGTGAGGTTCAATCTGTGCATATGTCAGCATCCGACGGAGCGACTAGATTTTCACCTCATGTACTCACCCAACAGCTCCTGTACCAACAGTGATAAGTAATACATTCACTTGAGTGTCGTCGTTGAAGATAGTGAGGGCGCTTCGGCGGTCAGCGCTTGAAATTGAGCCATCGACTCGAGTATAGCCAATTTGGTTATCCCGTAGCATTGCAGCGGCAAGGTCCAAGCTTTTTTTCCAAGCCGAGAACACGATGCTAAGAACGTTGTGAGACCATAGTCCGCCTTCATGTTGTTCAATATTAAGATTACCATTTTTCTTGTGAGGGTTGCGCCATAATTCTGTTCAGCAGAGCATGAAGCTTGGTAGAATACAATGGTTCTGAAACATGCATCGAATCTAGAATTCTGTTCGAGGCGAGGGCTGTTGGTCGGTCTTCATGGTGAGAAGAGTTGGTGGCGGGGATGAGCGGCAGGGTGTTGTCTTTGCATCCCGGACAGATGATGACGCTACTTTTTGATAGAGTAACACAGAGACTGCATAGCAAATGCCGGCACTGTGCAAAAGCTCCCGAGGTGGGGATATTGAGGTCACTGAGAAGTTGAATTTCTCTATTGCAAGATGCACACTGGGCTTCGTTATTCTGTTGGAGAAAAAGGAAGTATTCGTCTAGATCGAGGTCCTGACTTCCCGGGGTTTCGCAGTCTTCGCTTCCACATATTCCATTATTACAGTAGATCCTCAATTGCATTAGCGCCTGGAAAACACTATTCTTGGTGTTTATAGAGGAGCCACTGCTGACAGCCTTATCGAGAGCTGTTCTGTGGTGTTCCACGATATAACTATACCCTTGAGCCTCTGTGGGTGAGAGATCGAGGTAAAGAATTTCGGCTCTCGGTTCCGCAAGGTGGCCGACCTTCTTGGTCCTGCGAAGACAAATACATCCAAGTAATAGACGGAGATTGTCGAAACGCGTCGGGCTATTGCGATAGGATTGGTTGACGATGTATACTCGGAACATTTCCTTATCCCCAAGTAAGGGAAATTGAAGGAAGGAAACCAGGGCACCCAGATCCTCTAGCTTGTTTTGTATTGGAGTGCCAGTCAGGCACCAGCGTCGACTTGCCGATATCCCACACACTGCAGCGTATTGAATTCCAGATCTCGACCGTATGTGGTGAGCTGGACATGAGCGTTAGTTCTGTCGATCCATTCATAAGATTCTCAGTGCAGTGAGCTCAGAAGCTACAAACCCTCATCTAGTACCACACGGAAAAAGTCGGTTTTGTGAAGTAGACCTCTCTTTAGGCGAAACTCAGAAGTCACAGTACCGTATGTTGTCAGCACTATGTCTTTGTGTTCAAAGCTCAAATTTTGTGATTCGCGTGATTGGCCGTGATATCTGCAGGCCACCAGGGTCCCTGGTACGACTCGACTGTAATAGCAATCTCGCTGTTAGTGGCTATGGAAAATATGATAAAGGAAACTCACTCTTTTATCTCTTTAAGCCATTGATTCATAAGTGCTTTGGAAGTCAGCATGAGACCTGATGATTTATCATTTTATTCACGATTTCACCTTCTGAGGGGACAATGATCAATGTTGCCATGGTCTTTTGTTTTGGTGGCAACTCAGGAAATTCTTTATTGGACACCACTGTAGCCTCTGCATGGTTGAGAGTTGTAATAATTGTCGCTAGCGTTGTCAATGTCTTTCCCAAACCCATCTCATCTGCAATGATACCCCCAAAGGGTCCGGCTGATGGCTGTGGCATCTTTGATCCTGTTATGGCATGTCGATAACTAGGAGAAGACTCGATTAGTATACTATGGACTGCACTTCCCTGATATTTTGCCTTCGTCCAACCTACCAAGGCCCCGTAGGGTCGGTAATATCGAGGTTCCACAGAGACATTAAACTTGTGGATTGACCTGTTTCTCGGCGGATCATAAAATCGACACCTTCTCTTTGGTGACTGATCTGGAAAGTTAGCAGCTTTTCCTGCTGAGATAACATTTACCTACGGAAGAAGCGAAACATTCAATCGCTTGTCGGGCTCAATGGGACGGAGATGCTCATGTCCGCCTAGGTTGTTTAGAACGTTTAACAATTCTTCTGCCCGAGGCTGGCCACTAGATAGATTTGCATTCATCGAAATGGGTTGAACTTGGCCCCTCCTCATATCAGTAGCCTCGGTTTCCATGTCGACATCGGAGACATCTGAAAAGGAGATCATGTGGGGGTTGTGATAGGGAATGCCATTGTCAAATCTTGGACATTGAAGAAATAGCCTGGCTGTAGATAAGCATACACCCACACCGTCAATGTGACCGATACTCCCAAAAATGGAGATTTCCACTGTCTTGCTCGAGGACTTCTTGTAGCCCGACTCTGTTAGAGCCTTCCATTCCAAGCTGGTGAGGGCAATCTCTAGTCGTATATTGCCAATACACTGGAGATCCCTCAAAACGCGAGAAACTTCCAGATTTATGAAGCCAATCATTTCATCTGTTGATGGTACACAAACCACAAACTGCTCAGTGCCCGGGAGTACTTCGATGATATGGAAATCTTGACGGTGTTTTTTATAGTTTTGCCCCGAGCAAGGCGACATTAGATCCTCTGGTGGGCCTCCCCAAATTTCGACGTGGACATCACGAATCTGTGACGAGTCAGTTGTTATTTATAGGATTCAAGGTACTTGCAGCATACTGAGCCGTAGCAGACTTCTTCGGAGTTGAATCTGCTTCTATCTTCCTGGACTCGCTCTGCGTCTGATAAATCGGCACCTGGGGTGGAATCATTCTGGGGTTTTGATTCAAAGCCGCTACTTAGACTCGAGCATAGACTGGGTTGATGAATGTGAACAGATCGGCATCCGAGCGAAGACTGAACAGGGGAACAAAATTCTTCGTGGACCTTCAGGCGGGGCTTCTTAAAGCAAGGTTCAAACCTGTCACTTTCATGATGCTCATTCCGGTTTATCGGTCTTTTGTTGAATTTGGCAGGTTGATGGTTTGCCATATTGAGCGTTTTATGTGGAGGCAAATCCGTGTTACAGTAAAGGGGGATGGAGGGGGTATACAAGGAGGTCAGAGAAGGAAGTCTGCTTGTTCTTGCGCTAAGTGCCAGGGGCTGTGCAATCAGTGCCGCGCCCGAAGACTAAGGCGCAGGCAGTGCAGAATACATGTATTTTTCTTCGACCTAAACCTAGATGGTTCGACGAGAAACAATAACAATACACAATGTTATATTTGTAGGGCTGAGGAAGGAAAAAGAAGGGAAAACCAGCGAGACCACCTGACCTCAGTATGTACAACAGTTTTCTCATCCTCAGAACCTTTAACCTCGAGGCTAGATTGATCACTTCTAAATTGGGTCCTATTGGCTAACATCTTTTTCACCGCCACTTGACACGCAGACTGGCAGCTATGCTCAGCCACATATTAGGCCCCGGGGCGCCCGACCGATTACTACATAGGATTCAAGAATATCTCGGAAACATTCGTTCCTCACATATGCCGTCAGTAATTCAGGTGCAATATACGAATCGATGGCGGTAACTGGTGTTTCTTCTTTCCAGCATGTGTTGGCTTCTTTCAAGACCAAACTTGATCCAAAGCTTGTTTCCGAATTTGAGATGACCTCGCTCAAAGACTTGAAGCGCGCAATATCTGTCATCCAGAACAAACAAGCCTCGGAAAGGCGTGTGCAGAACATGCGACGTCTAAGTCGCTTCCTTGAAGGCATGGAACAATACGGAAAGGTTATTGAGGTGTTCCTCAATGTCACGGACTTTCTGGCATTTGTTTGGGTATCTTACTTCTCTTCCATCCCGAATAGTGTCTTACTTCAGTTACTGACCATCTAAAGGGACCGATGAAGTTTCTTCTCCAGGTGAGAAAATCGCTCGGCTTATTAAATGGCTTATCCAGTCAAAATTCCATCTGACAGACGCGACTAGGTCGCTAGTAACTTCACAGAGGCATTCAGCAAGTTGCTTGATACGTACGAGGTTATTGGAGAAAGCCTGCCATTACTCAACAAGTGTCAGGGGGTTCTGGAAAATACTCCTTACGTATATCAAGCATTGGAGTCTATCTATCTCGACATCCTTGAATTTCACGAGCATACGCTCCGCTATTTCACAAAGCCGAGTGAGTTGATGCGTCTCTGTTTGAACCCGAAACAGCTATTGACTCTCCTTGGCAGTGTGGAAGCAGATCTTCCAGGCAACTTGGCCCACTTACAAATCACGATTTGAGCGAATAGTGACCAATTTGAATCGACACAAACAGCTTCTAGAAGGGCGTGTGACATTCTCGCAGCTGGAGAGCGTAATCTCAACTGGATTCAAAACATTGGAAGAATTCGAAAAGCAAAGAGAAGATGAAAAAATATCAAAGCATCGAGCAGTGCAATGTTGGCTCAGAAGTGCCGATGTCGAAACTGACCAGGAAACTCTTGCACGCGTTCGATCTGGTAACCCAGAAACCGGAAATTGGTTGTTTTGCCACGGTCTATTTCAAACTTGGCAAGATTCAATTGCTCCGACCCCGCTCCTTTGGCTAAGTGGTATTCCAGGTGCTGGTATGTCTGAATGGAGTTTGATCAATGAGTTCCGAAAACAACTTTTTGTTAACAATCAAGGTCTGAATGACAGGAAAATCCGTACTCGCCTCATTGATCACCGAGAAATGCCGAAAAGCGACTTCTCAAACGACGGTTTGGTTTTATTGCAGACACGGCGATAAAGAAAGAAACACGTTCATTGCGTTAGCGAGAAGTCTGATCTCCCAGCTGCTACAAAACGATATGGACTTGTTGCCCTACATATACGAGAAGATGTGCTCCAGAGGAGAACAGATTCTTTCCTCGGAAGTGTTAGCAAAGGACTTGCTGGAAACACTTCTCAAAAACTGTCGCGGACTTTATATGATAATTGATGGCGTTGACGAATGTTCCCAGACAGAGGAGAAGAAAATCATTCAATTATTACGCTCTGCAATTGAGATTTCTAACAACGGAGCATGTCACACACGATCTGTCTTCATTTCACAACGCGACGCGGTCACAACAAAGCTTCTGCATGATCTTCCAACAATTGCCATAACATCATCCCATAACCGGACAGATATCATTGCCTTTGTATCATCGTGGGCATTGGAAATTCAGCACAAGTTCTGTATCACCGATGAAGTCAAGAAACGCATAATCGAGCTTGTGGTGGAGAAAGCACAAGGTAAGTTTCGACCTAACAAGTATAATTCCTACAAAACTGTAGAGTAACCTCTGGCTACTTGTACTAGGAATGTTTCTGTTTGCGAAGCTTGTGATGCCATCCTTATTCTCTCAAATTTCACGGGAGAGGTTATTTGAGGAGATTAATAATAAGGGAATCCCAAACGGACTTGAAGATGCGTGAGTAAATTGCTATTCGTCAATAATGTGCTAGAAGACCAGAGTTTTGACCCATTTCACAGTTATTCTCGCATCTTGAGTACTACTATACATCAAACTTCACAACCCGAAGCAATCCAGCTATTGGCATGGCTGGTATGTGCTAAACGCCAGTTAAAATGGCGTGAAATCCAAGCTGCAGTCTCAATCGACCTCGAGGATGAGACTGTAGATTTCCATGGCCGGCAGTGGATGCTGAACTCAAAGGATCTATGTGGTTCGCTTGTTGAAACAAGAACCGATGGCTCCCTCGAACTTGTCCATACGACTGCCAAGTTGTAGGTTTGCCGCTATCCTCTCCAACTCCTTGATATCATATAATCTAATAAATAGCCCTCGTAGCTATTTGATCAACCATGGCATTGTCAACGTCATGCAAGAAGAGCTCAAAATGGCATCTCTTTGTCTAGGTTATCTGGGTCTTCCTGGATTCGAAATGCTCCTCACGGACTCTTCGGTCGAGGATCTTTTGAAGATTGGATATTATGCTTTTCTTGATTATGCAGCTTGTTATTGGCCAGGTCATCTTGAAGCTTCTCTAGTAGGCTGTGTCGATGAGGAAACTGTCAATCCTATAGTTTGTGTTCTTCAAAGGTTTTTGGATTCGCACTACCGAGAACCCGGGGAAATGGTTGAAACTCAACTCCCCACAAATCAGATGCTCGATCAGCTCCAAGAACACAACATTTGGACATCATGGAGATCTTTTACAAAATTACGTCGGGCTTTTATATCTACGCAAAACCAGATCCAATCTTACGGAGAAGATGCAGCCCTAAATGATGCGCTCGACATCCCCGATATTGTCGCACGAGTTCGAGGGACTCTTGAATACGCTGCGTCAAGTTTACTAAATACATGGAACGATCACGATCAGAAAATGTTCAACTTCTTCTATGGAGACGAGGTGTACAAATGTCCTCGGATGAGCTGTGACTATTTTCACCGTGGCTTCAAGTCTCCCGAGGAAAGAGAGGTACACATCCAAAAGCATACTCGTCCGTTTTGCTGCTCCTACCCCGGATGTTTGAGAACAGCTCTTGGGTTCCTTTCCAAAGCTGAGCTACGGAAACATATTGCAAAGACACATGAAACAGCCATTCGAGAAGATCGCAATTTCTCTCCAAATCGGAAGAAGCCAGTTCTGCAATGTAGTGCTTGTCAGCAAGAATTTTTGCAGCCAGCAAAGTTTCGCAATCACCGCTGCGAAAACCGCCGGTCTCTTCAGCAGGTCACTGCCCAAAAACAGCCTGAAAATGGGATACCGATGGTCGACGACCTTAGCACGCTTTCAGCCCAAGATCTTGACCACGTCTCTCGACTGGCAAACGAGATGTTGAATAAAGCCAACCCGGAAGATATAAAGACAATTCAACTGAACCTGTCAAATATGACACCCGAGCAGCGCGATTACCTGGCACGGAAGAACCTCGAACCAATGACTTATTTCTTCCGCTCACAGGCGCTCAACCAGATCAGACGACATCGTCGCGCTCGTCTGGAAAGGGGGAAACTCTCCCAACCATAGACTCGGCTATGCGAGCGATCCACGACGAGTCCAATCCCAGATTAAGGTCAATAAGAGCGGGGGGGGAAACGTTCTCTGTTTCGAAATGGGAGCTGCCGGGCTGATGAACAGTTTTCCCTGTCTAGTTATCCAGGGCATCTATGACTAGTCGGACTCGCGCAAGAACAAAGAGTGGCAAGGGTATATAGCGATAGTGGCAGCTGCATACGCTAAAGACCTTCTATGGAGGATCTCTCTGAACAGAATGGAAGCCGAGAGGATTACTATCATTATATCTGATTAGTCTAGGGTTGTCTTGGGTATTATATTTGAATAGAGATTGACCTAGGGCATTGTATAGGTGTGCTGAAAAGCACTAACCAGCACCTAGACTGAACGTACGAATAATAATAACAACACTATAACGAATAGAAGACACGAGCTTTAACGGATCAGTAATAACGCTGTCGCTAAGCTTTTTATAATTTCGGGTTACACGGAGTAAAAGGATATTATTAATTTAAGACGAGCAGAAGGAACCTAGTTATCGCTAGGCTTTATAGATCGCCAATTACGGCTGAGCGGACGGGGAGCCCTGTTTCCCACACCCTATGGTCGTATATATCATCTTACCTGTGGGAAAATAATCATAGAATGGAGGCGAAATATAGACTATAGGTGGTTTAGTGATACGAGGGTGAAAATAGAGGGAGTATAGATAGTGTGAGAAAGACGCGACTGTACTAACCTCCTTATAAGAATTGGAATGTATAGAAGGAAAGCGAAAGGGAAAGACATATATAGATTAAGCTACGCTGGCGAGAGAGAGAGAGAGAGAGAGATTAATCCTATAGGAGTAAGGTTCTATCTACCTGAGGCAGAGCCGTAATATTAATTCGATATGGTCGTGCCTTAACTAAGTAAGTGAGCTATAAACATACGTGGAAGGTACGCATTTGCTGAGCAGCTTATCTTGTCCATTTAAGATAGCCTAGTGTAGGATTGCCTCTCTGTGTTTATTGATCTTGTCAGACTTTCCATTGCTGGCCATGACTTTTAGCTGAGGAATTATAGGTTTCAAACTTGAAATAACAAAGTGATAAACCTAGAGGATATCCTAATTCCTGAATCGGTCTAAGGATCTCATTGAAAGTGATGCTGGTATCGCCCTGACTAAAACTCTCTACGAACTAGTCGGTGTTTTGAGCTAATTTCCACTATTTTCCTTCCATCGTTATTGATTTTCTACCTGGTCCAGAAAGGTATCAATCTACGGATAGACTTTGAACAATTTTCCTCTGGCCAAATATTGTGGCGCCGTCGGCCCACATGATAGATGTCTGATTTTTACTTCAGCTTATGTCTTCGCAGAATTAGGTATAGATGATATATGCTAGTATTTATAGCGACAACCGAACCTACAGGTATTGAACAAAAGCACCCGTGGACCGTACATATAGGTCTCAGTTACAAGAATACATGTAATTAGTTCCAGATTGCTCTATGAAGTATGAGATATCAATATCGCCGCGGAGATGAATATAGTTTTAACCAGCAATATTTTCAACTGCATGAAAGATTATCGTCCCTTGTTTAACCGTATTTGTGAAGATATCCCGAAATTCTTTAACATTTACTTTTTACTTGAAGCAAAAAGACAAAAACAAAAAATGAAGAGGGCCCGAAGCGCGATTCGAACACGCGGCCTCTCCGAATTTGAGATGTGAACCCAAACGGAGAATCATACCACTAGACCATCCGGGCGGAGGATGAAAAATTATTGTCTCTTTTCAAACCATAATAGTAAATATTTTTCTTCGCTTTAAGAGTCCATAATGACTCCCCCACTCGGATAATCTAACATCTAACCCTCCTGCCTGAGTTTTTACTACCGCCTTCCTAATTATAATTTTGCCAGAATTTCTGCCACTTCAATTTCTTCTGTCATATGTTCTGCCCCCTATATTAATCCTGGTTTATATAGTAAAAAAACATGCATTTTAATCAGAAAATAAATTATATTCTATATGACATAGTGGCTAACTTGGTGCCTAGTGTGGTGCCCGGTGTGGTGCCTGGTGTGGCCGGCTCGGCACCTAATATGGTACTTAGTGTGGTGTCTGCTGTGTTGCTGGGTATGGCTGGGTAGTTATGGTGCTGGGTGTGGTGCCTTGGTGGTACCTAGGTGGGTATAGCGCCTAAGTGAGGTGTGATAAGTGACTTATTTTTATTAGCAGTTGACATATAAAGTGTAGGTACCTGCTGTCATGCTAAGTTTGATATAAAGGCGGTGTATAAAATCAGAAGGCGGTGAGGGGAATGGTGGAAAACTAGAGTCAAGGTAATAGCGGTACCCAGTTAGGAAGGTGCACCTAAAAATCCAGGCGGGGGTCGGTAAGATTATCAATACCCTACTTTTATTTGAATGAAGCAAAAATATAAAAACAAAAAGAAGACGGCCCGAAGCGCGATTCGAACACGCGGCCTCTCCGAATTTGAGATGTGAACCCAAACGGAGAATCATACCACTAGACCATCCGGGCGGAGGATATAATGTGGAGCTGAGTTGGATCTACGTGTCCATAGAGGTACTCTTGGGTATTCGTATAGCCCAATAGATCCTGAAACAATACCTTGTCTAAAAATGTAGAAGTAGAGCTGTGCAAATACACCACAACTTCTCATTTCCGGACTATTTGTAAACCCTCCGCCCATAACAAATATAGATCGGCCACATGTGCTGTTTATATATGTCATGGAAAAGCGGAAGAAATTTGGCGCCCCACTCTATTTGGATGGATCTTCAGAAGATTCCATGGATTCTGTATAAATTATAACAAATGCCTATGTTTTATACCTAGCACAAAGTGACGTACTTAGTGGCTGTTACCACATATGTATGTAGAGTAGATGTAGTAGACTCGTACAGTCTTCCTCTTCACCTCTTCCATAGTCCCAATAGATTCCCAAGGTCGTATTGCCTCATTATCTCATGGTCTCTACTAGCCCTAACAGCATTATCGTGTCGTTGATTGGAGCTAACTAGAACCTTATTTGCAATGTGATACAATGTGATAGTAATTTGGTTTTCGGATTCTTGCGAATCATAAAGAAATTCGTAGGGGTATATGTATAGATCATGCAAACGGAGCAAACATAGCTAGATTCCACGGTGGTTTGTTCTCCACTCCGTCTAAGCAAGTTTGAAGGACACGAAATCCTTAAAATAATCGCCACCCATTGACTCATAGCATTGGAGCCTAATCACCCGAAAAGCGACGCTAGCCACATAGCACATCGTGCTTACCACTAACCACGACCTCAGATCAACCTCAGCCAATACTCCAGGCACCACAAACCATACATAGACCACGAAACAGAGAGCCGTCCAGCTCTCCACCAACCAACCATGCACATTCTCACCAAACTGGCAATCACAGCTTTACTCCTTATCTCACCAGCAACATGCATCTCAACCCCCAAACCACCAGGCAAAGACGCCATCCTACTATCGAACGTTCAAACCCTAACACTCCGCGCCCACCGCATGACCAGCTCACGGCGCATCTCACCAATCCCGCAACTCAGCTGCGCAGGCCCATCAAAACAAATATGCAACCTCTACCAACCAGAAGTATTGCGCTGCACAAATCAAGGCTACGACTACGACGCCGAAGACGTCCAGTGGACATGCACCGCGGACCTGCCGGCGGAGTTCAAGTTCGGCGCAACAGATGTCATCTGTGAGGGATACCGGAATGCCGATGATAAGTGGGTGTTGAAGGGGAGTTGTGGGGTTGAGTACCGGCTGCTCTTGACCGAGGCTGGAGAGAAGAGGTTTGGGAAGAAAGGTGGTGATGCGGAGTGGGATTGGCCTGGGAAGAGCCGGTCCGGGACTGGGGTTCAAAAGATCATGGCCATGCTTGGGGATTTGATTTTCTTTGGGTTCATTGCTGCTGTGTTCGTTATGATCTTCTGGCCTATGCTGGCGCAATGTTTCGGGTGGGGGAATCGACGACGCAGGGGTGCGGGTCCGCGTCGGGCCCCGGGGTGGGGCGGGTTCTGGGGAGGAGGTGGCGGCGGAGGTGGAGGTGGTGGAAATGATCCCCCGCCTCCGTACAGCAGTTTCGATCCTCATAAATCTGCTGGTCGTCAGCAGGGCTGGACGCCGGGTTTCTGGACTGGTGCGCTAGGCGGTGCTGCGGCTGGTTATCAGATGGGGAGACGATCTGATAATGGATCGCGTGGCGGAATGCCAATGGGCAGGTCTGGTGGATATGACCCAGGTGAAGGCAGCTCGCGCTCGCCGCCGCAGTTTTCGTCTACGACTGCTAGTACTGGGTTCGGGTCAACGAAGCGCAGGTGATTTACGCATGTCTTGCTTCGCGAGTGTTTTGCTACCAACTTGAGGAAAAGAGAATGCCAAAGGAAGTGACAGGCCGTTAACCGGTGGCTGTAAATTATCCTGGCCATTATGAAACTGGTACATACCTAGGCATACAACGGGAGAAACGATGAAGTAACAAATCAATTAGCAAATCAAATAGCCTGAACCTCCTGGCTTTGATCAATGTGTATCCTGTAATCCCACAATTAGAACGCCGTAACCTATAATCTTTCGCCTCATAAGATGTCCATTAGAATCCCCGACTTAAGCCATGGGAAAGTCATCTATTGATCCCAGAACCTCCTCTGTTCCACCTCCCTGGTTCTTCACAGCCGCCTTCTTGCGCGACTTCTTGAGAACCGCCTTGTCGTTCTTGTCATCCTTGGCATCACCAGTCGGGTTGTGCAGCATTTCCTGTTGCATTTCTTTCTCCTTAGCGTGCTGGTCCTCGATCCGTTTCTTTTCATCGTCAAGTTCTTGCTGAACAATTTTGGGATCATCGTAAACAGTGTTCGTCATCTCTGAGTAGGTTGCGATGTCGATGGTCTCAGACGGGCCCATCAGAGTATCCTTGATTCGTTGCGGATCACGGCGCTCTTCGTTGTTGAACTTCAACTTGATCTGACGACGAGATCGGCCCGGGAACATTTTGCTGATAACCATGAAATCGGTACCGAACATGCGGAGCCCGCGATAAAACAGATCTGTCATCTCTTCATCCCATGTTTCGGTCTTTGTACGCTTGCCGTACGAGGCCTGATTGATCTTTCGGGTGAACGAGCTTTCCACCACATCTTCGAGGTCGCCGGCGGCTCGGGCCGCATCTGCATGACGATCGACCTGCAGGGAGGTATTATCCAGCACGATCTCGCCGTTAACGATTCGCATAATGGGGCCACTTTGGGGTTTCCAATCGACCGGTTGTTCGGTTTTCTCTTGTTCGCCATCAGTTTGCTTGACGGGCGTTCCTGTTCCTAGCCCAGGGGTTCCGCCCTGCTTCTTCTGTTCTTCTTCCGCCTTATCAATCTTGCGTAGCTCTGTCTCACGCTTGGACTTCTTTCCAGTTCTGAGATCTTTGCAAAGCTCGGACATTTTCACAACATTCGGCAAGATTTCTACGGTCTCTGCGCCTTCCGGGGTGGGTTCACGCTTCTTGCGAGTGCGCCTTGGTTTCTCGCTACCCTCAGGATCCGATGTACCGGCCTTCGAGTACTTTCGCTTCTTTGGCTTTGTTGGATCCGGAGTCGAAATGTTGGATTCAACGGGTGTCGCGCTTGAATCTTCGATGGTAGGCACGATCGACTGAGAGCCTCGACGGCTTGCCGCTGTGGATACGGATTTCTTTCGAGCTGCGACCGGAGTAGCTGTAGTTGATAAAGTTCGAGCGCGTTTTGCTGGTCGACCCTCGATTGGGGCAGTTTGTTCGATTTCAGGTTGAGATTGGGGTAGAGCTTCATTTGAATCTACAAGGTTTTCAGCGGCCCGCGCTGTTTCAATCCTGGCGTATTCTAAAAGAGCCGTCTCTGGTCCATGATCCCCAGAGGATGGAGGTTGTGCCTCACTAGTTGGGACAATGGCGGGAGATGGGGTGGGTTGAGCGGAAGGAGAGGTAGGCGGGGCAGTCAAGACAGGTGCAGGTTGCGATATAGAGATGGATGCTTTGCGTTTCCGTGGGAGAGGAATCGCAGCCGGCTTTGGGGTGGGAGTTGGCTTTGAGATGGGAGTTGGTTTTGAGATTGCAGTCGGCTTGGGGATCGGAGTCGGCTTGGCGATAGGTGTAGCGGTAGGTGTGACGATCTGAGTGGAAATGGGATCGATGGAGGCGTTGGTAGGAGTAACAATCGGAGGAGTAGGTGCAGAATTCAAAGCAATGGCTGTTTGTTCCGTGGTAGACGCAACGACTGATGCGGGTGAGGCCTCTGTGACTGCCCGTGATTCCAGCTCAGCAGCCACAGAAGGCGTTAGATCAGAGACAGCTACATCTTTAGCTTTGTCTTCCTGAACAGGCTCGGCTGGCGACTGTTGAACAACACTAGGTCGTCTCGCGGGCGCGGCGGCAGGCGCACGGCGGACAGGAGCCTTCGGGGCGAATTTTTTCCCGGTTTTATCTGTCAAACACACAGTCAGAGATTGCACAGTTATGATTCTCACTCAGATAATACTCACTGATTGCAGAACTGGAAAACGACTTCATGACTGCCCATTGCTGTAAGGTGTGGATTGATGAAGATCGTAAAAAGTTCCAGGCCGGGGAAGTGGGCGAGGATCACGTGATGACACTAGCGGACGCTAAACCTCGTTGAAAATCCTCCTGCCTTCAACTCCTCGATCTCTGCCATCCCACCCCTTCTATCGTCTGCTCGCCCACTCTTCCTTTACTTCCACCTCTTTCGCTTTCTTTTACTGGCTATTCATTCTTCTACCGGACTTTCCTTCGACAGGATTGGACACAGTCTCGAGATCTGCGTCTGGCTGACTGACGGACGGTCCGGTGGTGATAATAGCCCTCCCATGCCAGTCTAGCCACTGATGCCGGCCGTCGAACCCCCCGTCGTGTCTTCAGAGCCCGGTCTTGTCAAGATGGAAGACCGGAAGAGGCCCGCTGCGGACAACAATGAATCGGCTCCGCCGTTAAAGAAACAGGCTACCAGCGTTAACGGTAGTAGCAAGCCTCATCCTGATGCCGATATGCCATGGAAAGATGATTTGGAGGTAAGTTCATGTTTTGGATTTCGTCCGCGATCTGGAGGTTGGCTTTTGGTCTCCTGTGGGATATATGCTGATCGGGCTTTTTTTGCGACAGCGATTCCAAAAAGAAGCGATTTTGCGCCAGATGCAAGAATATAAGCGGGAGAAATCCTCACTGGAATCACGTTTGAGCCAGATGTCAAAGGCTGCCACGTTTCACAACGATCATCTTCGTGTTATCGATTTGTGGTTCAAACAGGTTTGTTTTCCCATTCTTTGTCCGGGTCGACTTGGCAGGAATTTGAGAGCAGGAACTAATCTCACAACAGTTAATTGATGAAGTGAAATTACTGCTTGGATCATCTGAAGCAGAAGGCCAAGGTCAGTACCATCCTTCTAGCCCCACATCACACCCACTATTCCAATATTGACAATATTCGCAGAAACCTCTTTTAAAAGCTCCTTACAGTTTGAAGACGTTGAAGAGTTCGAGACGCATCTGAAATCGCGGTCGGAGGATATTCGCGCAATAATTTCTCAAGTTCAGTCTAAGTCTAATGATGCGCCTACCGAGATTTCAGAGGTACAGACTCGCCTTGCAAAGAAGTTGGCCGAGGAAAAAGTAGCGATCGCCGAACTCGAAAAAACCCTAGCCGAAAAGCAACAGTTGGAGGAAAGCCTCGAGGAAGCCTCCCTGCGATATCTGGTAGCCGAAAAGAAACTCGATCGCGCGAAGAGTCTGACTGTTGCAAAATTGGAAAAGCAGCAGTCTATGGGTATTCAACGACCTGGGGAAACGGCACAATCCAAGCGCGAAGAATCGTCCCCCGCAAATGGAGGAACCCCCGCCGGAGACCGCAACCCCGAGTTGGAAGAAGCTAATAACAAGCTCACTGCAATTTCGGAGAAACAAAAGGAGCAAGTGCGGAAACTGGAAGCCGAAAATGCCAGCCTGCTAGGCCAAATTACCGAAATCAAAGTCAAGGTTGGACTCACCCCATCGTTATATTGTCGTTTTGTCGCTCACATCGGGATCCCAGTCTTCAAAGTTTACCGATGATGATTACGCCCACACGGATCTGTTTAAACACCTTCGATCACAATACGACGATGTAGTTAAGCGAATCAACCACCTGGAAGCGACAAATGTTCAACTTCGTGAGGAAGCAGAGAAATACCGATCGGAACGAACCGCATACAAAATCCAGGTGGAAGACGAAACACAAAGTACGATTGCCGAGAAAGAAGCCCAGTTGATGAGGGCTGAAACGGACCTTGCCCGCATACGGAATGCCCGCGACGAACTTCTGGCCGACCAGCAGATGCGAAAGGCCGCGCAAGATCAGAAGAAGACTTCTAGTCTGAAATTGCAAGAACTGGCAGACGCTAGAGAGGCTCGAATCACAGCCTTAGAATCGGAAAGTCAAAGGTTGCGACTGCAGATTGAGGGCTCCAAGTCCGACGACAATATCAACGATATGCCGCTGGAGGAGCTTCGCGCCAAGTACACCAGCCTGGAACGCCAATACTCCATGCTCAACACCGAGTTGACGTCGATGCAGACGGCCTACACGAAGTTTGCTACTCTCGCATCGCAGAAAGTTACTGACTTTGGGGCTATGGAGGAGAAGGTTGCAAGACTGACGGCGGAGAAATCTAAAGCAGATCAAAAATTCTTTGCTGCAATGAAAAGCAAAGAAGCACGTGATGTCGAAGTCCGAACGCTCCGAATGCAAAGCTCCAAGACGTCAGATATTGTGGCCCAGCTGAAGGAATCCGAAGCAACCACCCGGTCATTGGTGTCCAACATGGACAAGCAAGCCAGTGAGACTAAGGAGGCACTAAATGCAGCCCTGAGCAAGCACCGCGCCATTCAGCAGCAGCTGACCGAGAGCAACATCCTCATGGAAGGCTTGAAGCACCAGGTTGCCGAGCTCAAAGGGCTTTCATCATCCAAGGACTCGACACTGGGAAGCACTACTTCTGCTTTGCGGCAAGCCGAGACAGAGGTCGCCGGTTTGAAACAGTCCCTTTCAGATACCAAGAAGAGTCTGGACAACTGGAAGAACAAGAGTCTTGGCAATTCGTCTTCGGAATATGAAATGCTACGGGTATGTTGAATCCCCACATTTGTTAATCGACCCAAGCTAACCTCATTCAGACACTTGCACTGTGCACGGTGTGTCGTCGCAATTTCAAAAACACAGCGATCAAAACATGCGGCCATGTATTCTGCAAAGATTGCGTCGAAGAACGTCTCACGTCTCGCTCCCGCAAGTGCCCTAACTGCGGCAAATCCTTCGGAAGCAACGACCACATGCATATTACCCTCTGATCGACCTTCAAATCTCCTGTATTATATCTTCCTTTCGATGCTTTCCTCTTTACGTCTATCTCTTTTTAGTGTGTCACATCCGGACAGGTTCATGGTGTGGTGTTTTTTGTGTGGTTTAGCAGGTCTGGTTTGGGCCGGCGTTTGACGAGTTATGCACGCTCAGCCTTAATTTGGGGCATGTTTTATTCTCTTTCTTCTTTTCCTCATTTTCCTGTTACAAACCAAAGCAATGGTGTGTTTCTCAAGGCGCAGGGGCGTCGTTCTTCATCCTCTCTGGACGAGAGGCCGGCGCACACTGATTTTCCTCAGAGGCTGAGTTGTTCTAGATTTCTGTGTCATGTAGGACTACCCGTGTACGGAGCAAAAAAAAAGTACAAAGGCCATGATGAATGCAATGTGAGGATTTTCCATGCCCCCATGACTTCAATGTCTTCAATTATAAAGGTTCTTGATTCTTAATTCTTAATATTCTCACGAGTTAAAGATCCGACTATACAACAACTCATGCCTCCCAACCCAAAGATCCAGCGCAGGGACAACCTGTCCAGCCTGCTCAACAGGCGTATTCCACTCCCGCGCAATGCGCTTCATCATCGTATCCTGCAGCGCCTGACCAGCCAACACATTCTGCGCCTGGTAAGGGCCCATGACACCCGCTCTGACAGCCGCACTCAGCACCGCCTTAGCATGATTCATAACAAAGACATAGGCTGTCTGCTGCAAGTCCAGACCCATAGCCCGACAGACCACACCCCACAGCGGGGCAAAGTGGCCCTTGGGGCCGAGATCCTCGTCTTCCTCGAGACAAGACTTCAACGCATCGGACAAATCATCAATAGCAGCGACGGCCGCATCGGTTTCCTCAGAAACCGGGCTGTCGGGGCCCGCGAAGCTGACTCTGAATGCACGCTCCCAGACGCCGATGAGCGCGCGGCCTTGGGCAATGCTTGCACGCTGCGCGACGATGCACGGCGTTGATGCGTCCAGGTCGTTGTCTAGTGTGTCGAGGGTTGAGGGTTCTCGATATCCGGCTAGCACGTAGGGGAGGGATGTGCTTGCGATTGAGGCGATGGAGAGTTTGAGGAAGCGGTGGAAGGAGGTTATTGGGGCAGTGCGCGAGGGTTTGTTGTGTGCTAGGTAGGACTCGAGTCCACTGGAGTAGGCGAAGGAGCCTAGTGGGAGGGCGGAGTCTGAGAGGAGGAGGAGGGCGTGAAGAGATGTGCGGATTGAGGTATTAGGTTTGTTATTATTGGTATTATATGGTTCTAAAAGGGGTTAGCCAAGGTATGCGACATTGGAGGTGTAGATTTGCCTACCTTTAACGGCCCATGAGGAGGGTGGGCTGGGGTATTCGGAGGCTGCTAGTTGAGTGCGGGCATCTTGGAGGCGCGACTCAAGGAGGGTGACCTCGGCTTCGAGATCTTGAGTGTCTTCAAGGAGCATTGTGTAGTTATCAAATATGTGGTAGAAGTATAGTATATGTAGTTTGTATAAAGTACAGATTTAATAAGTGAGAACTAATGTAGTATCTGGATCAGAGGGTGTTGCGGTCTTATAGAAAGAAGCTCGCCGATCGGCAAAAAAAAGTGGGCGGAGGCCGCATAAGTTCCGAGTGCTCCCTATCAGCTTGACTGTTTCGCATTATTAACGGTTTTTCAGACCTGTTAGACATTTATTACTATCTTGCTGATCTTTTCCCCCTATTTTCCCCGCGTCATGAACTAAAGTCAATCTCCACAACAATGTCAGGCAAGCGTCTGCTCGACGCCATCCAATTCCTCAATGTGTCCAAGACGGTCGCAGCCAAACATCTGGCCATCCGGCAACATCAGCTAGATGTCTATACGCGCACATCCTCCCTGACCAAGGGCATCAAGGCCCAAACAGAGGGCCTGATCCTGACCGCTCAAGCCGCCGCCGCATTGGCACGCCGATTTGACGAACCCTCGCCACCATCTTCGCCGAGCCCGGCAGACTTGCCCGACAAGTCAACATCGGCCGATAAGCCGCCCGCCAGAACTGCAACGTTACCACCTCCAGACCTCGCTCGCAAACTGCAACGTCAGGCCGAATCGCAGATCCCGGCTTCGGCAGCAACATATAGCGGAAATGAGAAACCGAGCGCTCTGGATGTGAACAAACAGCAGGATGTCTTCTATGAGCCATCGCTTCGGTCGGAGCCGGATCTCTCGGGGCTGCCGAGAGTGAAGGTACCCAAGGTCACAGGCGATGCTCAAGTTGGCAGTGATGGGTTGAACGCGGATGTCTTCCAATCGTCTGTTGAATCGGGTAAGCCTGCTCCGGTCGAGCAGGAAATGTCCGAGGAGATGATCCAAAGTCTTTTCCACAGCCCGAGAGTGTCGCGGATGATCTCCGGAAAGCCGCCGCCAAAGAGGGACTGGAAGCTGGCCGCGAAGCCTCAGCCGTCGATCGCGGATGTTGTGAAGCCCATCTCCCCGGTGGCTCCGAAATCCGAGGCTCAGGAGATGGAGGAGCTTGCGGCCAGCGTCGCCGAAGACGTGGTGCCCAGTGTGAACACCGTCGGCGAGGTTAAGGAGCAACAAGTGTACCAGATGCTGGAGTCACGCGTACCGTCCTCTCGGCTAGGCAGACTGTGGCAGTACGGTGGTCTAGCGACCTCAATGGCATTTGGCGCTGTCGGGGAGGGTTTACGGCGGGCTACTGGCAGCCAGGAGAATGGCTCGATTATGTTCAGCGCTGGTAACATGGAACGCATGGTAGCTAAGCTGTCAAAAATGCGCGGCGCAGCTCTCAAGCTGGGACAGATGCTGAGCATCCAAGGTATGTTGCATCGTCTAGCTCACTGGTATTTCTAATGCTCGTACTAATTTCTCTAGACTCCAACATGCTCCCCGAATCAATCCAGCAAGTACTCCAACGCGTGCAAGACCGCGCAGACTACATGCCCGCCTGGCAGCGCGACAAAGTCCTTACCGACAACCTTGGACCCAACTGGCGCGACCTCTTCACCACCTTCAACGAGGTCCCTATCGCAGCAGCCTCAATCGGCCAAGTGCACTCAGCCGTCCTCAAAAGCACCGGCCAACCTGTTGCCGTAAAAGTTCAATACCCAGGCGTCGCCGACTCAATCGACAGCGACCTAAACAACCTCTCAGTTCTCCTAACAGCCTCCCGCCTCCTCCCAAAGGGCCTGTACCTTGACAAAACAATTGCAAACGCACGCACCGAACTAGCCTGGGAATGCGACTACCTCCGCGAAGCCGAAGCCGCCAACCACTTCCGCGAGCTCCTAGCCAACGACCCGGTTTTCATCGTTCCCGAGATAATCGCCCACGCCTCCGGCAAACAAGTCCTAACAATGGAAATGCTGGACGGCGTAGCCGTAACCAAAGTAACCGATTTCACCCAAACCCAACGCGACTGGATCGGCACACAAATAATGCGCCTCTGCCTCCGCGAGATCGCCGAATTCCACTACATGCAAACCGACCCGAACTGGACAAACTTCCTCTACAACGCGTCGACGAACAAACTCGAACTCCTTGACTTCGGCGCCTCCCGCGCCTACCCCGAAAAATTCATAACAACCTACGTGCGCACTCTAATCGCCGCCTCCCGCAACGACCGCAAAACCTGCCACGACCTCTCCATCGAGCTGGGGTATCTGACGGGAATGGAATCGCAGGCGATGGTCGACGCGCACGTGAGCTCGATCACGACGATCGCGGAGCCGTTCATGCTTTCCTCGCCGGATCTGTATGACTTCAGTAACCAGACGATTACGGACCGCGTGCGCGCGCTTATTCCGGTTATGATTCGGGAGAGACTGGCGCCGCCCCCTGAGGAGACGTATTCGCTGCATCGGAAGTTGAGTGGGGCTTTCTTGCTTTGTGCGAGACTTGGTAGCTCGGTGCCTTGTAAAGCTTTGTTCATTGAGGCTGTTGAGACGGCGCGTCAAAATGGGTTGAAGGTGGAGTAGAGTAAGTAGAGGGATTTTGGATGTGGCTATGTACTATTATAGACTTTGTATACTGTGTACTATATATCAAGGAAATGATGTTTGGAACCTTTTGGTTTATATGTCAGGTTGGTTATCAAAATGACCTTCCAAGGAAGGTTGCCGCCTTGTACAATTAAACTCGCCCTAAGGAGTGCCAAGAGCGCCTCCCGTGGTATCACGGTTTCCCCGGCCCACGCATCCATGCGGCTCAATACAGGGTGGGTTTTGTCCCTCTGTGATCTCTGATGTATCTAGTCTACCTCCATAGCTTCGGAGTATTCAATATAAACAATATAACAATATACAGCATAGATCTGGAATCTAGAAAGCTGAGATTTGCTAATTATTTTAATGTTATATAGCTGAACTGGGCTGAACGTGTTGAAATGAGTCAAAGGATATACATAGGAAAGTCTCTTGCACAAAGTATGCTTTTTCCCCCTTTTTCTGTCGTCAAGCTAACAAACTGAGAAGAGGGAAACAACATCTACGAAAACAGACATCTGAAAAGACTGAATGAGAAGAATCCGAAAAGACCACCAAAACCGACCTCCAAAAAAGAGATCCAAAAAGACATCTAAAAGACCATCTGATAAGACTACCAAAAGAGACGGCTGCATAAGCGGCCGACTATTCTTGTATGTAATATATAAATATACTACTATATCTATTGCTTTCCTTCCACCACCTTCTTCTTCCTCCTTCCTCCATCCACCTCCCACCTCCTTCCCACCCCACCAACCTCAACACTAGTACATTAACCAACAAAATGAAGCTCACCTTTCCGCGAGTAATGGAATTGACGAAGACCCATATGGGTGCCTAGCAATCCGCGAGGCATGCACAAAATGCATCCTGGTTATATATCGAATTAAGAGACTAGTCACTGGCGGCCGCTTATACGGATTACAGCCCAAGGAAATGTCCTATGGCCCCCCATGATGTGCCTCCCGTGCCACCCCCCGCCTACAAAGACCACGCTGCTGAGGAGAAGAAAGAGCCATGGAGTATCAAAAGCGTGAGCATTTTTACGAGCCTCTTGACCTTCATCCACGCATGTTCTGTTACCATAGCAAAGCTGGTCGTCAAGGGCGCACGGAAGGCCCTGAATTGGCACTATGGTGACATAGTGAAGGACGCTCAAGGAGAGGATTCAAATGCTGGAGAACAACCTGTATAAATTGTGCTCGTGGTGGCCGTGGCCGTGGGGATTTCCCCTGCCCTAGTTGTGCAAATGGCACTCGAATGTTGGTAAGTGAAATACTATCAATCTACTCATTCGAAAGTCACTAACTGATCTTAGTATACGCAGAACCATGCAATCTACCGAGAGATTAGTCGAATCCAGCGAAACGGCCCCAAATCAACCTTAGCATCTCGAGGGTAGCTAATAAAGGATCGCTAGAGTGATAACCTGAGGTGGAGGCTTGAAAAGCTGGAGAAAGCCCACTCTAGGCCCGAGGAAAATAGAAAAGTCCTCCACAAGATGAAAAAGACCTTGAAAAGAAGGTCAAGTGTGAGATAGGGGAGGGGGTTTTGCGGCAGCGTTGGCAGCCGTAGAGAGCGTGTTGTTTGGGTATGTCAACCTTGGAAATGTCCTTTTTATCCATCCCCTCCATGACCCTTGATCCTCGGCTCTACGAAATCTTCCAAATCCAGATTAATATTGCGGGTTGACTAACGCTTTATAGATAACATCCGAATTCCCATTAACGGTTATCCGTGTGTCCACGCCAAACACCCACGATCAGTTCCGCAATGCCAAACAAGCCGTGAAGGAAAGCGTCTTGCCAAGAGCAAGATGCAAAATAATCATCTTCTCAAACAATATCTGGTGGCGTTCCTTCAGCAATGTCAAGAAGACCGTTAGAATGAACGAGCCAAGCGTCAGGGAAAACGACATGTGGCTTCTACCAAGTCTGAGACTGGGGATCAAAGCGACTCAGTTCACGAACGTGGCCGAAAAAGGCCACAAAATTACGCAATTGAAGACCCGTCTGATGACGATAGTAATGGTTCTCCTCCCCCTGCGGACGAGCCTAAAGACGAAGACTACGCAAGTGAGACCGCCCATAATATGAAAACGGCCCATAATATGAAAACGGGGGAAGCAAATTTCTTTCATTGCGGTGTTGTACTTTTCCGGGGCTATATGCCGGGGATTCTAGGGATACATATCTTTATCCAAGGAAAGTGGAAATGGTTCTAGCTAGGTACCGGAAATGCACATAGTAGAAGTCAGTGAGCACTGTCTTCGAATCATTTTTAAAAATTTGAAATCTTGCTTAAAAGCTCTTTTAGTGTTCACGTATTCGGAACCTCTACATGAGAAGAGTGCTGTTTTCTTGGAATATAGGGTTGCTGCTCTTAAAGGGGGAAAAATGACCTTATGCCAGCTGGAGGCTATCGCTGTGACAAGCCAAGTCTGACCACGGCTCTGGCTGGGGGGTATGCGCGCTGGAACGCAAGATGCACATTCCATGGCTATCTCACCACTGCCTTGCAGAAGCTAGTAAGTGAACACGAAACCAGCAACTGGGTGGAAGACACCCGCTTTGCATTCCGGCGAAGACGCATATAAAAATCAATAATAGCCGTGTCGGGGCATGTACTTCAATTCGCCATGCCGTCTGCTGGAGGGGCAGTTCAAAAGTACAATCAATCCTCCCCAAAGACAGCACCCCAGTACTCCTTCATCGCGTCACAAATCCCCTCATACTGAAGCCAACTGTGAAACTTATCCTCAAGCTCACAAGCAGTCCAAAGAATCTCCTCCCAAAATCCCTTCTCGACATCAACCCTGCTATTGAACCCCCGCACAACATCAACCGGCAGCGTCCAGGCCCGCGTATAATCACCCAAATCCGTAAACGCAGGATTAACCTCGTGGATCTCAAAGACAGTGGCAGGATTGAACTTGGGGAAGTTGGCATGTATGAAGAAGACGCCTGGCGCGGGTGCGTGGTCGCCTCTGACACGCCATATCCCACGACTGGTCAATGCAAAGTCCTGCACGGGATCGAACTGTGCCATTGCCGAGCCGGCTATGCCGCCGTGGGTTTCGTGGCCAAGGGCACAGATGGACTCGCTCACTTGGTGGAAGGATTCGCGCATGGCGGTCGCGGCTGCGACGAAGGTCTCCTTGTCGCCTTCGCCGGCAGCGCCCTGGGAGAGCAGAGGGTAGTAGTGTGAGGGGCCGTGATAGTTGTAGTATGTTGTGAGGAGAAGGGAGCGGAGATGAGATTTTTTGGAGAGGAGGACTTCGCCTGATTCTGTTGATTGGCGTAGGTCCATTGGTGGGGGTGGGTAGTTTGCGATATCGTAGAAGAGTGGGGAGACAGAGGAGGCCCAGAAATCGGGCCAGGTGACCATGCCTTTTGAAAGGAAGGGCTCGGTTGTGAAGAGATGTTCTGGTTTCTCAAGGGGGAAGGCGTCTGCGTCTAGGAAGAGGATTTCTTCGAAGGACGAGAAGAGCATTGCGAAGGGCTTGAATTGGTATTTCTGGATTCGGGCTGGGGCGGCAATGAGGATATGGGATAGAACTACGCACCGCGCATTCAGCGATGGTAGGACTACTTCGCATATGTAGTCTTCATACTCGTCGTCATCGGAGAGGAAGACTTCCATCGGGAGCGTTGAGCCGGTTCGGCGGAGCATCCGGAGGGATATCACTAGCACTGGGAGGTAGGTGCCCCCTGCTGTTGAGACTATGCCTTTTGTGCCGGGGAGGTAGGGGAGCTCGGGTGGGGAGTCGGTGATTGCATTGACGAACCCGGTATGCGCTTCTTTCATGGTTGTGATGTCTTCCTCTGGAACATCGAGGGTATCTGGGCGGGGTGGTGGATTGTGGGCATTGAAGCCTTCTGTGGATGCCTTTTCATATTCTATGATAGGCTCTGTGTCCGGCGCATATTTCCGTAGCAAGGCGTGGAATTCCCGCCAGAATTGGCGATGTGAAGGCGTCAGGTCTGTGGTGATGGCATGTGGAGATAAGAGAATGGGGATGTAGGCTTTGAACTGTCCCAATATTGCCCAGGTGAAAAAGATAGCGAGTACCAAGGCTGCCAACAGCGCTCGTATGCGCAGAAAGGATCGCGGGATCATAGTGGAGGGTCTCGGAGTTAAGTCTACTGTTTACCCCACAGAGGCAATGTTGATCGGATAAGATCGACGATGACGATCGTACTGATGACGTCGATAGTCAGGTACCCGTATAATGATCAGCTGGGCTATTGGAAGTCATATATAAACAAAGGTAATGTTAATGAAGGCCTGGCATTTCTGGAATGTCGGATTGGAAGGTTATCCCTTGGTTGCACAGACCGGTTTGATCTCGACAACCACAAGCCTCTATACTACCTCTATCTATAAAAGATAGGAGATTTGGAGAGTCCGTCCACGCAGAGAGCAAATATTTCTAGTAGGCTCTATATATGGTGCTTGGCAGGCTCCTTCCTAAATAGGTACATCGATGTTTTTCATACAAGCACCATATATGGTTAGTCCCCATCAATTACCCGTCTATTGATGTATGCGAGAGACTCTCTAGATATAAATATTGCTTAAAATGAGAGATTCGAGAAACAAAATAAGAGCTCGATCAATAATCCATTGAACAGTGGCCGTGTACTATATTGCCCGGCATATACCCTTCAAATCTGATAGGTGAAAGCAGGGAATCCCTGTGCTGGTCCATGCCTAACCTCCTCTCTCAAAGTCTTCAGCTCTTTATCTTTCTCCGCACTCTCTGCTTTCAACTCCTCATTCCTATGAGTAAGATATTCAACTCTCTTAAACGCCAATGCGATGGTTGTCAGCTTCCGAGCAAGCTTATGCGACAAATCGACCACAAACTCTCCTCCCTCTGTGATAAGTTCATCCAAATCCTCACCAACCAGCGTGGCGTACCGCAGCGCCACAAACTGAGATAGCAAGTTCCTCGCATTATCAACAGTACTGGTCGTTTTATAGATCAGTCGGATTGCATCCACCAAGTACGGGAATAGGACTTTGTCTGTTTGCTCCAGGGCAACAAGGACCTGTGCCAGACGGTTCAGGGCGAATTGTTCCAATTTCGCGAATTCGAGTTGGCGTGCGAAGGAATAGACTTTGGCGTGAAGATAAATCTCAGCAGCAGTGTTTCCCTCGGCTCCTTGTTCTGGCTCTTCTTCTTGGTCTTGGTCTTGCCTTCCGTTATCTGAGAGCTTTTGAGCCGAAGCATGCTCTGTGGCGAGAGTGACCCCATCGCAGTATTCTAAAGGAGTCAAGGGCCGGTCATTTAGGTCGAACTCTGATAGGGCTTGGGATGGTGGCGAGTCTGGAGCTATAGACGACTCTGCAACTGGTGACAGTGACCTTGCACGCGGAGGAAATATTGGAGTTGGTGAGTGTGGCCATGAAGGTTGTGACTGTGGGCTGTCAGGTGGGGATGTTGGCTCTGTATTGGTTGATGTGGTATTAGTGTCTGTCTCGTTATTTTTGATAATGAGATGGATGTAAGAAGTGGAGTTTATTACCGTTTTCTTCATCCGCTTCCTCCGCCTCATCTACTTCTTGTTCTTCTTGTTCTTCTTGTCCGTCTTGCGCTGGGGCCTCCTCCCCCGCATCTGCCTCATCTTCCTCAACTGCCACAGAAGTCGCTCGAGGTGCCTGATAGCCTCCAGTGTAAAGGAAGCCGAGTACACAATCAACGGTCTGCTCATCAAAACCGCTCCAATCAATCGCTTCTTCGTATTCGTCAGTTGACGCCTTTAGTCGGGCATCGAATGCGGGGTGGACCTCGAGTGTTCCACGGTGAACATAATAAACGCGCTCGTCACTGCCCACGTTGATCTTGACTGGCGGATTTGCGAAGATCGACCTGTTTGAGAATTAGCAAGGGCCAGCGAGGTGGTGAATGCACCGTGGCCTTGTGTGGATATACTTGGAAGGTGTCTTTGAGTCGGACGACATCGTTGGAAAATAAGAAGCGGAAAAAGGGGAAAGATAGAAGATGTTCCTCGGGAAAGTTGGGAGATCAGGATGCAATGTTATGATGGCTTAAGTAGAGAATCCCAGAGAACGGTCCTGGTGATAAAACAAGCCAAGAAGTACTTGGCAGGTGCTTTTGACAATGCAGTGAGACCCAATCTATTTTAAAAGTAGGGCGACCTCTAGCAGGGGTATACGTGGGCTAACTAGGCTGTTACATTTCTCTACCTGTGTACACTGTAAATCGGCATATATAAATCACATCTCTATTAATGTGGCCAGGGCTTTACTAATTACAGGACATCCGAGTACCTATAAACAGTGCTTCTTTCCAGCTGTCGGCGACGCTGCACATAATTCGAGACTGGGTAATATCTTTGCCTTGATATAAGAAGGGTAAGAAAATGAATTGTTTTGCATTTACCTCGGTATACATCCCACCGGTTCTGATAAATTGCATGGCCGTGTCCAAGATCCTGCCCATAGCAAACGCACGTGATCTAGAGATTACGTTAATTGATGTTTCTTAAACATCTGATATACCTACACCTACGTACCGGGTTTCCTTTGACGGTTCCTGGCTTCAAGAAACATCCCGAAGCAAGAATTCCCTGATGGCAATCCACCAAGAGCTTCGGCAGAACGAATCTCCTGTACCACAAAAGCTCACCACAAAAACGCTTATCTTCGCAGCCTGGTCTTTTGGGATCATGATGGCGATTGTCGGTGCTTATCTGAGTCTATCTCCATGAGAGCAAAGAGCGAGTAGCGCTAAAAGAAGCGTTTCTGTCATTATATTCGCCGCGAATAATTTTGAGATACTATCACTAGATAGGTATTCTTTTAAATTTTTGATTCGACTGTTCATGTCCCTAGACGAATGTAAAAGTATCGCTTTTCCGACACGATACTATCATTTGACTGGTACCCGATCTGTAAGGATTTTATAACGCGTTTACATCCACTCCAATCTGAATCAAGGCCTCAAGCACAAGATCATTCCCTCTCTCCGCAGCAATGTGTAACGGGCCCATCCCATTTTGATCCTTCAGTGTCGGGTTCGCCCCATTTTCAATCAGCAATTGAACCACGGAAACATGATCGGCCGTATTACCTGCCGCTGCACATGCATGGAGTGGCGTTCTGCCCAACGCATCGGTTGCGTTCATATCGGCATTATGGGTCAGTAATGCCCTGACGCATTCTGTGTTCCCCGACGCTGCAGCCAGATGCAGAGCGGATTGATTAGAGACGGAGGACTTTGATCTAGAATGGGGTTGATTTTGTGGTGTAGACTTTGCTCGATGGCGCCGCGACAGTCCGTGAATTGAGGATGCTGTTGTACCAATATAATCAAAACTGGTGTTTGGTGGAAGAGATTCGCGATGGGAGTACCATTGGTGTGAGTCCAAGACCAAACTCTCCTCGTTTGTTGGAAGGGCAAAATCGAACTCCTGGAAGTTTAGACCGGCTGGTGGTGGTTCGGAGGGGGTTTCGTTCAGACCACCGAGGGAGGCAGCTGCATTATGAAAGTTCGCCTGGTGACAATGCAAGCTTGGTAGGTCGAAACTTTGCTCGTACGTCGGGCCCCCGTGGTCATTACCACATCTCCCGCAGAACTGTCGCGATGGTGAGGTTTTCGTCTTGGACGCGGAAGCGTCCGGGTTACAGGCCGCTTGATAGGGACTCGAAGGCAAGAATGTATTCCTTGAATCTACCTGTGGCCTGAGACGCTCGAGCTCTGCGAGCTTCGCTTTCGTAGCCTCTCCTGGGAATTTTTATCAGCTTTTGCTTGAGTATTTTGAGTGGAGGGGTATGTTGAGAAGGAGAGAAGTACGGTGACGGCGTTGTGCTTGTCGGTTTTTGGCCCGACGGCGTGCAATCTTGGCTTCCTGATTGCTCGAACCCATGACAGGTCAGTGATGAGCCAGTCATGAAGGACTTGGTCTGCCTTATATTCAAAGCTGAGGCGCTACGATTGACTTGCAGAAGAGCTCAGAACCATGAAAATATAACCAACAAAATTGACTACTGAGAACGAGAGTTGATCGATGATCAGCAAAATTAGGACCCTGGAGCTTTGTATTGTTCCTAGATTGGTTTCGACAGAACCCAAAACCTGCCACGAAGATTACATGACAGTAATACCGTACAGTATAAGGTGGGTTATTCCGTAGTATATCTGCCCACGGGATCTTCGCGGATCATGGGGGGAATGGGTATCGAAACAAGCAATATGACGGGTCTTGGCTCGGCCGGGTAATTCCGTCAGCCCCGCCGGTCTGAAAAACCTTGGAAGTCTTGGTCTAGCCCGAGAGTTAGATCTGAATGGTCATGAAAGTCTGATTCCTTCTAACAGAACGCCACCGGCCCCTAAGTACAGTATCTGGTCACCTAACTTACGAAAACATTGCTCTCTTGCATGGGTAGTCAGTCTGTTTTAAATAACCAAATATGCCCTGTGGCCAACCACAACATAGATCATCGGATTTTATATCGTTAATGACAGTTTATTTTACGGTTAGTATAGTGATCAATTTTAGGGTGTGATGAAAAGTTCGTAAGCTGACTGGTCTGGATGCAACGGAAACTCGCGTTTTCTCTTTCGCAATAATGCCTTCCAATAACGTATTTCACAAGCGGGTCGCCAGGCTTAAAACCTAGCGTACTACCAAATGGATACACTAATGGATTTCCCGTGTTTTTCATAGCTCCGTCTTCTCCAGCAAAAACAAAGAGCAATCGTCGGGTTGGTTGACCCACTCGTACCGGACGGTGAGCCCCGACATGTCGAACACGCCGAGGGCATCCTGCCGTGTGTATTTGTATGATTGCGCCAAAAGCACGTGTTCGCGGGCAGAGATCTCGATATCTGGCGAAACGGTCCGATGTCGGTCGCTGCGAACGAATCTCTGTGCAAATAGGGGTAGTGGTTAGCGTGATAGGCAGACACTAGCGTCGGAAATGGGATAATGGTGATTAACCAGGAAGGGCAAAGCTTAGGGGGAGCGAAGTCGACGGACCAAATGGCGGCCCTCCTTGGCATCCCACCGTGCAACATATGTCCAGTTCTCCGCAAGCGATTCGTCGCCCACAGTGTGGGCGGCAGTGTATAGTCCGTTTTGTATATATTGCTGCCACCGTTCGGACGTGTCGCTATATGCCGCCGTCACTTTCCCCACATCCCTGCAGCGGTCAATACCGACCAGCATGAAATCTCCCGCCTGCAGCACGCCTTCCTGGGTGAACTGCCGAAGGAATTTGGCGGCCTGGACAGGCTTCAGATTCGTGAACGAAGAACCTAGCCACATCAGACATTTCCGAAACTGCGTATTGTGCAGATATATCGGGGGGCGCGATGAATCGTCAACCAGCCCGCCGTCACGGAGGAATCCGATTGCATCGTAGTATGATCCGCACACTCCCCGCACGGACACGCCGCTATGAGGCTGGAGCTCCAGCTGACCGTTGGCTAGATTGGGCTTTTCCCGAAGTAACTGCTCGATTCGTGATTGAAGCTGCTCGTATTGGAGATCCAACTACGGGTAATTTCTGTATCAGTATGGTTGCTGTATTTGGGGCCTAGCGTCGTCAGTAGTCATTTATCTATACATACTGCGCAATATGTTGCAGAAATTGCTCGTGACCCCTTCATGAGTGTTTGATCAAGTTCAATCTGCTTGCAGATACCATCGAGCAAGCACGATGATTTGTCAAGACGTCTGGCATTGGTTCGGCGTTAATTAGATTTGGAATTAGAAGACTACCGGCGAACTTACCCAGCGCCTATGAGGTTGAGCTTGTCAGTTTCGAAAAAGAGAAAATGCTTTAATCACTGAAAGAGCGAAAAAGCTGTTCTTACCAAGATCGACGAGGCTGAGATGAATGTTCTTTGCATGTCTGGAACTACTAATCCTCTTTGTTCCCTTCCTAGTTGCAGCTGTACCTAATAACAGCATCGCCTGAATTGTGCATCAGTATATCAACTTTTGGTCACTCAAGTATGAACCGTACAATTTCGTGAGAATACTCTTGGAATATGGAGAGCTCATCACGATAAAGGTAATATGAAGGATCTCGAGTAATGTTTTCATAGAGATCAATTCCACATCCTTCGTATAGGATCCCTGGGTGGCGATTTTCTCAGGTTTTCCGCCATGTCTTGAACATATTTTGGAAAAAGACTGACCAGTGGGTATAGAGCGGCTCCACTCAATGAGGCCGCCCGATTCTTCAATAACGCAATGTTTATCGTCACCTCCTCGGATCGAGTCGAGGATCTCTTCTTTCATAGTCTTTCCAGTGGCAGTGCCACAGGAAGATCGTATGTCGATGACATCGACACCAAGGTGTGAGAGTTCTTGTGGGTGCATTTGGCAGTTTATGTGATGATACAACGAGGTGGTTACGGCAAGTCAGTCTAAAGGGGCGGATCTTTTTCAATTTAATCAATGTCCAGCATCCGAGGACAGTCACAGCGTAAGACACAGACAGTCATACATTCATCGTTGCTGTTACGGGTTGAGAGATTTGGTTGCATAAGCTTCAACGTCCCAGGCAGAAGGTCAGAGTCCAGCTCTACTTGGGTTTTTGGACATCAAACATGCAAAGACTGAAAATTGACATCTCCCTCTGGTCAGCAAGTCATTACTCCAATTCACAGTCATGAAGTGTACAGTCATGTTTTGGGCCCTGATAGGGATATTTGGGTGAGCATATCACCCAAGGGAGGCGCGAAGATGACTGTAGGTCCCTGTCATCAGGCTAGACCAGTTACGACCATCCATGCTGACAGAAACAAATTATAGCCTCAATTTAGAAGTTCATAAGAAAACAGTGACAAGGCCATTTGGCAACATTCCAGAGGTGCACACATTCCTATAGCTCAAGATGTCAAACCAGCTTAACCATTCCACCCCAATCATCATCGTGGGTGCCGGGGTCTTTGGTCTCTCTTCGGCATGGTGGCTCGCCCGTGCCGGCTATCATAACATCAAGGTCCTGGATCGGTGGCCTGTCCCATCTCCATCATCGGCAGGCTACGATCGGAACAAGATCATCCGCACTGAATACCCGGACGATATATACTCTGTTCTTTCCCAGGAAGCCATCCAACTCTGGCGCGATCCTCTCTGGAAAGATGTCTTCCACCCAACCGGCTGGATCTACGGCACAGACGGCTCAAAGGATCAGGACCGCGAAAAGACCTTCTTGACTGCGGTCTCTAACACACACTTGCTCGGGGATCCATCCAAGATCGTCGAGCTCCCAAACTGGGATGCTGCCATTCATCTCTACCCGTCTCTAGCCTTCGCACACGACCGTCGCCAGGCCCAGGTAGGGATCTACGCTGATGGCCAATCAACCCCGAAGGGCAGAACGCCCACCTTTCGCGGGATCTACAACGGAAACGCTGGCTGGGTCGAGTCCACGAACGCGATGCTGATTTTGAAGCGGGAGTGCGAGCGCTTGGGTGTGGAGTTTGTGGCAGGCGAGTCCGGCGCCGTCATCGAGTTCGTGCGTGATCCGGTCAACCCGGCCAAGGTTGTGGGTGTGCGCACCGCCAACGGGACCATCTGGCGCTCCGAAAAGGTTATCGTCGCAGTGGGCGCTTATTCCGAGACGCTACTCGATTTCAAGGGCCAGCTGCAAGCCTCAGGTTACTGCGTCTCGCATATTCGTATGACGGAGGAGCAGTACCAGCGGTACAAGGATCTGCCTGTGCTCAATATCGCACGTCGCGGGTACTGCTTCCCGCCGAACGAGGACCGTATCTTCAAGATCTGCAATCTGGATATCACCGTCGTGAACCGGGAGCGCTGGCCTGAGCCTAGCTGTGACTGGGGTGTGCGTAGTCTGCCGCGCGACCAGGCGTATCATCCTACTGATTCGCAGCCGCGGGTTGGTCGCGAGAAGACGTTGGAATTTGCAAGGTATATCTTGCCGGAGTTTGGGGATGCGGAGATTGAAAGTAGCAAGGTTTGTTGGGATGTAGAGACGCACGATGACAATTGGATTGTTGGGTATCATGATAGTGCGCCAGATTCGTTATTCATTGCTACCGGGGGCAGTGGGTATACCTTTAAAAATCTCACGAACATCGGGAAATATGTCGTGCAGGCACTTGAGGGGAAACTAGATCCGGAGTGGAAGGATCAGTGGCGTTGGCGACCGGATCGTGTGGGATTGTTTCCGGACAGAGAAGAGAGGAATGCGAGGTTCAAGTTTGATTTGAGGGATTGTGACGGCTGGAAACACAATGCGCCCAGGCTGTGATTATCTAGTCGATGACATATAGTGAATGACTTTTGCCATCTATTTTGGATTCCGGATGATATTGTGCATTGGGTTTGGTTTCGGTCTTCAGTAGAGAGTTGGTCAATGCAAAGTGAATCTATTCCTTGGTAAAGGATGGTTAAAAGTTCAAGAAAGAAAAACAACACCGCATTGATTCAAAGTATCATTAATCTATCTCCATACGAAACTCTTTCCGGACCCGATCTCCCAGATGAAGTGTTTCCTCACGCCTACAATCCTCACCCCTCGCAAAAACAAGATACGTTGCCAACCAACCTAAACTCGGATCCTGTGGTCCAGATACTTTTTCTCCACGCCGATACCAGCAACGAGACCGTAACACATGTTTCATTAGATCCGGTGCATGTGCTAGCGTGTCTTCGCAGGGCGAATTGGCCAACGTACCTGAGCGCTCGGGACTGAGGTAGACCAACATGCAGTGAAATTGAGGTTCTGGGCAAGCTGTTGCCGCGCCATGTTGTTGAAACGGGGTAGCCAGCGCCTTGAAACGTTCTTTGTCGCCGACGGCGGCCAGAATCGCTTGCGCATGATAACACACGCCATGTATGTAGGCCGTGGCCCAGTCCGAGAATCCTCCCGGGGGCCGAGAGTTGATTTCAATCAGCCAGCAATTGGGCTGCTCAGCTTGGAGATCCGACTGATCTGAGCCAACGCGGAGATCAAACAGCCCCGATTCATCGGTTGCATAACTAGCAACGGAATTGCGAACCCTAGCCTCAACGTGGAAAACACCTGTGTTAAGTCCTAACCGAATCAGACTGTTCCGGATGCTATCTCGTAGGGTCATTTGTTCGGCTTCAGGGAGGGCTGTGGGGTACATGATCTGAGTCTCTTGAAAGTTGCTCGTCTGGGCATTTGCGTCGGGTGCGTCTCCAGTGCAAGGGAAATCATCGGAGATTTCAAAAAACAGACACTCTCCGTCGAGCAGGATTATATTGGTATCTACTTCAGGTCCGTCAATATAGGGCTCGATAACCACACCGGTACTGGTGGAAATTGACCCTAAGTGACGGACAGAGGCGCGGTGTACAGCGTCACGGAGTTCGCCGATGGTCGTCACCCGTGTGACGCAGTCGCTCGACCAGCCTAGACAAGGCTTCACAATCAGCGGGAATGTGAGTGGTGGTGCATTGGGCCGTGTTACGAGATCGTCGAGCTCTTCTATACTTTGAACCCGGAAGCTTGCTGGGACTGGGGTGTCAGCCTCCTCGGCGGCTCTAGTTGCGTACTTGTCTGTTGCGACTTTCAGGCCCTCTGAAGGCATGGTGGGCAATCCGAGCATTTCGGCTGCTTCAGCTACTCCAACTAGATGTCGGTCGTTGGAGGTGATGATTCCATCTAGGTTGCGATCTTTGAGTGCGTGGTACAGTCGAATAGAGAAGGTCTCATCAACGGTCATGTCGAAGGCAATGAACTCCTCTCGCATTGAGGCACTCGGTCCACCATCGGCTTCTAGCCAGTGGCCAGGCGAGTCGACGGCTATTAAGTTGATGTTTAATGACTTTGCAGCCATGTAGAAACGCTCAATCGTGTGATACTCCTTCCGAGCCTGGACGACGGCGAGCCGCTTGCGCCGAACTGGTTCGGACGATAGCCATTGGAATGATAGGCGACGTCGGATCTCGCTTTCTACTTGTTTGAGAACAGAATAGATCGTGGTTCCGGTCTGTGGCGCTCTGACGATGATGCCTCCGCACGCGGACAATAAGATATCCGATAGCCACCAACCTTCGTTGCAAGGATTCAGACGCTGCTCGGTGGACACTGCAAAGCCATTGACACATTCCACTTGATCGCAGCCCCGGAAGCGTTCTTCGAGAATATCCGCACGGCGCAAATATCCTGAGTTCACAGGCAGGATGAACTTGAGACCAGACTGGGTGTTGGACCTTGAGGCAGCTAGCCGAACCAATGCAATGGCTGGATTGGCTGCACTGATCTGATAATACTGCGTAACCGTTCCATCTGGACCCTTCTCACACACAAATGCATGTTGTTCCTCAGTGGATGCAAGACACAACCCCGGCAAAAAGGTATGCGGGTTGCCCTCCAAGAGAACATCGATCGTTCGGTACCAGTGACATGTCACAGAGACACAATACTGTACTGACAGACGAACTTGAGAATATCCTGCGTTGAGTATAATCTCCGCATGTCGGTATTTTCGGGGATCGGGGTCGATAATCGAGCCAGGACCCAAGTGGGGATTACATTGTTCTGTAAACGGAGCCATCGCGGTACACTTAATTGAAACAAGACAAAGAATTCGCTCGGAGACAAAACGACCTTAACTTGGGTTTCTCTTAAGATCTCTGCATTCTAAAGCAGCCGGCGCACGGGGCTATCTTAGCCTAGCACTATTGGGCATGACTATTGAGATCACATACCAATGATCCGTCATCCACCCAAGGACCAGTAATCCCAGCACAGTCATCACTACCTAACTTATTCAGTAAGCAAGCTGCGCAGCCCGGAACACCATAGTAGACGCGATAAATGATAACTTTATATCTAATCAACCACGAGTTTATTTTATTCCATTGCTGTAGATAGCTAGACTTCTCAGCACTAGATATCCATTTCAAGGAAATCTTAAAGCTACATTATTATGGTATCGAAAATTTCGTTGCTTTGAGCCAGAAATATAAATATCTTAACCACTAGGCTATAATAATTCTCCAGACTCCCTAAAGTGGCTAGATATCATGTGGAAAGCTTTAGGCTATAAGGAAAGGTCCTTATATAGGTATCTACGTTGTTGAGATATCGAGTTGTAATCTATCGCATTCCAATAATGAATTGGACCGTGCAGCTCGTTTACCAATTACGTTAAATCCACAATGATGGGCTCTGAGTCATCCCAATCGTACGGACCTGTATAATAATACAACGTATTTTCTTAGCACGCCTTTGCCCACCACTCTAAACCCTCGAAGGAACGCTAGTATGCCCTCCTTTCTTGACGCTTTTCTGAGAACACCCCTTACCATACTAAGTCAATGCATGCTTGTTACCGAACTGGTAAAAGTGTGTAAATATAATTAATTTTGAATTTTCTTTTTGGGAGGGGGAAAATGATCAATCTTAAAATTTACCTATTATGCTTAGTATGGGATTTTAGGCCCTGTTTGACTGAAAGATTTCGTTCTTCCCTTCATCATCCCACATTTCTGCCACGTGAGAGCTGAACATGGCTTCCCAGGTCAATGACAGCCAAGTGGAAAGCTCATCCCCTTCATTGACGGCGACAGGAAAGCAGGCAGGGGATATTGTTCCAATAAATATAACAGGCGATGAAACATCATGTCGGCCCACAAACCAAGATTTGAAAGAGCTTGTTCATGTCGCCGACAACGTTCCCTACCCAGTTTGGCTGGTCATTCTGGTCGGATCAGCCGAGAGATTCGTCTTCTATGGCGCCTCGACCTGCCTGCAAAACTACTTGCAGAACAGCCCAAATGATCTCATTCCTGGAGTTCTCGGGATCGGGCAGTCGGACGCCACTGCTGTGAACTATGCGTTCATGGTGTTGGTTAACTTTGCACCGGTGCCGCTGGCGGTGGTGGCCGATGGTTGGCTGGGGCGATATAAGCTGATTTTGCTAAGTACAGTGTAGGTGAAAATGATGTATTACTGCGCGTGGAGTGTATACACAAATCTCGCTTCTGTAATAGTTATACAGACGGACATTAGCAAGACATTAGCAAGATATCTGCTGACATTCCTTCTTCCGCAGCATCTACCTCGTTGGGTCTCTCATTCTTTTTACGACAGCTCTACCTTCGGCTGTACACCAAGCAGGCGTGTCCGCCGCAGGGCTTGGTGTGTCTCTTGTCTTGATCGCGCTTGGCATAGGCGGCGTGAAAGCCTCGATTTATCCCTTTATCGCGGATCAATACCCCCATCATGAGCCATTCATTCGTGAGCTCCCGTCCGGAGAACGGGTGGTTGTGGACCGATCTCTCACGATACAATACATGTACAATTGGTACTTCTGGTGCGTCCGAAAACCATATCTCCATGATTCCAGGCATACAAGCAGGAAGGCTAAGAATGGATATTCATTCAGGTTCATTAATGTCGCCTCTTTGTCCGGGATAGCCACCACCTTTATGGAAAAATATTCGAGCTTTTGGTCTGCCTTTTTACTCTGCTTCTGTTTTCTATGGGTGGGACTGGTTCTTATGTTGGTCTTCAAAAATAAATACTGTATGTGAAAGCACAACCTCCCTCCAATCACCTTATGTACTCATGGAAGACCACAGACAAAGCGCCTCCCGCAGGCTCAGTTGTTCCGAAAGTGTTGCGAGTCATTTGGCTCGGGATTCGAGGTGGTATGTCACTCAACGCCGCCCAGCCGGCGGTGCAACAGGAAAAGTACGGTCGCCAGGTTCCGTGGGATGATGAATTCTTGAAGGGAGTCCGCGATGCCCTCATAGCGTGTCAAATCTGGTGGGTTCCTAATTTGCAGCCCATTCTCCGCAAACTAACATTTCCCAGTCTCGCATTCCCAATTGTCTGGCTCTGCTGGGGACAAACATACAATAACTTGATCTCGCAAGCCGGTCAAATGGAAACTTACGGGATCCCCAACGACGTGATGCCTAATTTTAACCCTATTGCCTGCATCATCGCAGGACCACTGATCCAACAATACCTGTTTCCCTTTCTCAATCGCCGCAAAATTCCGTTTCGCCCCATTGCTCGTATTTCCGTCGGTTTCTTCCTCATGGGTGCCTCTTTGGCCTGGGCGACTGGCCTCCAGGCCTTTATCTACCGCGCTGGGCCGTGTCCTGACTATCCCCTGGCCTGTCCGGATTCGAAAAACGGCACCATCCCGCAGCATATCAGTGTGTTTCTGCAGGTGCCGTGTTACGTGCTTATGGCGATCGGGGAGATCTTCTGCGTGACGACTGGGTCAGAGTTCTGCTATTCGCGAGCCCCAAGGAGCATGAAGTCTATCGTGCAGGCATTATTTGTGGGAACGGCTTCGATCAGCTATGCATTGGGCATTGCGATCTCGCCGGCTGCAAAAGATCCTAATATGACTATTTTCTACGGGTGTTTGACAGGTGTGCAACTTGCTATTACGGCTGGTTTTTGGTTGATGTTTCGGAAGTTGGACAAGGATATTATTGTTTGATGTTTCTAAGGGTATACATACAGACAATAAATCCGTCAGTTCTGATTAAATACGTTGGAAAATAGCCTTGACTTTACGGAGTCCGTTTCTAGTGTCTCAAAGGCCACATTTACCAATGCAATGATCATTCTACACATAATCCCATCATTGGCGTGACTGTAAACTTCGGCGGGGTTAAAACCCCCTCATTAGCGATGCTTGGCCTACTTAACACGACACTAGCGATGGTGGCCTCGACCAAGTGCCCCATAGAGATAGTCATCACCTGTCATCATCTGTCATCATCTGTCATCGCCTGTCATCACCTGCAATCACCTGTAATAGCCTGTCATCACTAGGTGTGCACTCTGTCGAGTCATCTCGCGTTGCTAATGGTCTGCACTTCTCATTCTGTTCATATCCAGTGCTTCTCATACAGTAACAGTGAATCGGCACGGATCAAACTCAAGAAAATATCATTAAAATGCCTTCTGTAATCGGGAAGAAAGCCCTTCTTCTGGGTGCAGGCTTTGTTTGTGAGCCCGCCGTCCAAGCGCTCTCCGAAGCAGGCGTCAATGTCACTGTAGCCTGCCGCACTCTAATTGTCGCGCAGGCCCTCACCGCAAACTACAAGTCTACCACAGCTATCGCTCTCGATGTAGTCAACGAGCCGGAGAAACTCTGCGCGGCCATCTCCCAAACAGATATCGTCATCTCCCTCATCCCCTACGTTCATCACGCCCTCGTTGTCTCAGCCGCCATCAAATACAACAAACCAGTCGTGACAACGAGCTACATCTCGCCCGCCCTCTGGGCACTCGACGACCAAGCCAAGGCCGCAGGTATAACAGTCCTCAATGAGATCGGTCTCGACCCTGGCATCGACCACCTTTACGCCGTAAAGACGATTGACGAGGTCCACAAAGCAGGCGGACAAGTGGAAGCCTTCACGAGCTACTGTGGTGCTCTCCCTGCACCAGAGAACTCCGACAACCCGCTGGGTTACAAGTTCTCCTGGAGTCCTCGAGGAGGTCTCCTTGCCCTTCTCAACTCCGCACAATGGTACCGCGATAACGACATCGCAACCGTGGACGGAAAGAATCTGATGGCTGCTGCCTCACCACAGCGCATTTTCCCGGGGTTCAACCTGGTTGGATACCCCAACCGAGACTCAGTCGTTTTCCGCGATTTTTATAACATCCCCGAAGCACACACCGTCTTTCGGGGCACCCTACGATATGCCGGGTTCCCTGAGATAATCCGCGCGTTGGTGGCCATTGGGTACTTCTCGCAGGAGCGACTGGCTGTGCTGGAGAGATTGGGTACAACTTGGGTGCAATTGACTGTTTCCCTACTTGGACTTTCGGAGTCCTCGTCACCGAAGGAGGTTGAAAATGCAGTTAGGCAGAAAATTGAGGCGTTCGTCACGGACAAAGACGATGTCGATCGTGTATTGTCAGGTCTACGGTGGATTGGTCTCTTTGGTCCCACGCCTGTTGGTGGATATGGTACACCTCTTGACACGCTCTGTGCCGTGCTGGAGACCCGAATGGCCTACCAGCCTGGAGAACGAGATATGATTGTGTTGCAGCACATCTTTGATATCAAACATGCGGATGGTTCGGTGGAAAAGAGATCGAGTACTCTAGTTGAATATGGGGAGCCTCTTGGTCCGGGGTGTCGCAGTGCGATGGCGAAACTTGTAGGACTTCCCTGTGCTGTAGGGGTTCTGGCTGTGTTGGAGGGACGCATTCCGGCGACGGGTATGGTGGCGCCTTGGTCGAGTGCGGAAATTGCCAGGCTGTTGCGGGACGAACTAAAAGATAAATTTGGCATTGAGCTGAAGGAGCGGGTTATCACATGAGTCGTGGTGTGATACTCAGTATGCCATTCGATTCATTTCTAGAGGTGAAACTTAGACATAACTTTTCATACAAAATAAGAACAGTTCCGAAGTAATTATGCTCCATGAATAGGGTATCAGTGAGGCTTGAGTCTGAGCGCCCTTATAAAAGCAGCGGCAACCAGAATAGGAAATCCCCACCCGTCAAAGAAAATCCGATACGTATAGCTACCTATAGCAGGCTTGTTTAATCAACGTTCAACACTTCAACTAACCCCGGTAAACAATATAGCGAGATGGAAATTGATAACTCTTGGAATATACCTTCTATGACTTTGACCCTAGACATCTCAATCTTCAATTATGCCCTAAGATGTGCTGTCTAGTTTAAATAACTATGCTAAATGGCTCATCGCTGGAGCTGACTCCCAATCTGGTCTTAATCGGAGACGCCTGAGGAACTGCATGTTGACGCGATACGATCTCCCCATGGTCCGTAAGGAATCCCTGGAACTCTAGAATCTTCCAACATAGATTTCAAATCACCAAATCACGGACACGGTTCATGAGTTTACCACGTTGCCCGTACTAATATTGCCGACCACGGAGGACGGAACCGTCGAACAGCCCGCTCCGCGATTATGTAGTATTCCAGAAAATGGCAGCCCTAAGTATTTAAGCGGCAGAAAAGAAAGCCAATGCTATTGACTATCCATCAACAAACTTCATTTAACATTCATCCTTCGATACTCCTACAAAAATGGCTCCCATCCACGTTGGTGCTCTGCTCTTCGATTACCAGACGATCGACGTTATTGGACCATGCGATCTACTCAACTCCGCGAGTAAGATGCTTACGGAGGGTATCAATCTCTACACCCCCGTGGATCCGAAAGTTCTAGCAAAGGCGCCCGAATTTGTCTTCCACCATATCGGAGAGACCCTGGAGCCGGTGCGCCTACTTACAAGCTTTGTAACAATGGTGCCTACGGTTGCTGTGGATGACGTCCCCGAGCTGGATATCCTCATCGTTGGTGGGGATAGCCCTGCGAAGACGAATCTTCCTCCGAAATTGCAGGACCTGATTCGCCGCCATGCTGCCTCTGGAAAGCTACTTTTCACGACCTGCACCGGCGCCGCGGTTGTTGCAGCCACTGGTGTTCTAGATGGCAGGAGGGCCACAGTCAATAACCTCGAGTACAATTGGCTTAAGAAGAAATACCCGAATGTCAAGTGGACAAAGGAGAAGAAGTGGATTATTGACGGCAATATTTGGACTGGGAGTGGAGCTGTGGCCGGGATGGATATGGTTGCCCACTGGATCAAAGAGACTTTTGGGCTGGACACTCTTATACACGCGGCATTGTCGCTTGATTATGAACCACGGGATGTCGATGGACTTTTCAATGTGCTGCCCCAGCGATACGATTCGACCGGAAATAAGATTTCCACCCATGTCTTTCCCGACGAGATCTGAGCTATTGTTATGCTGAAGCTGCAGTTTGGCAGGGTTGAGGTCTGGAGCATGGATAACTTGTCAAAACTCTGCAGATGATGAACCTGTCATGCTAGAAAATGTATCCATCAACAGAAGATCACCCCAAAGCTTCTCATCTTCTATCTTCTGGACTTCCGTAGCAATGGCATTTTGTAGTGTGGGCTGATCCGGAGCCTGGGCGACGCGGCGGCTCGAATACCGCAACGCAGGGCAGCGGTGCAGCCGTTGAGCAGAGGCCCCAAGCTCGTGATGCGCATGGTGACTATCACGAACCTGTGTGAGATTCTCTTTTGCCAATGCATAGGAATTTCTCACACTTCCTATGATCTCAGGTAGCATTGAAAAGAGGCTCTTGGTGGGTATTTGCCTGTCTGGCGATGGCTTAATAGCCTGTAGATTAGACAGCAGTGTATCAAGGTATTCCTGTAAATTCACAGATTGCTGTGCAATCTCCCCGTTCCATTCAGGTACTTCTGGCAGTCCCACAGACAACCTGTACAGCACAAATACCGTAAAAAAAACCTGATACCAAGTGGAACATGGCAAGTTATTATGCTCCGCAGCGGGAATGGCGAAGAACAAATCCAGATACTCCTTGGTAGAGCTGACGCATTTGACTAAGTTGCTGATGACCATTGGAGGTGTGGATAGCATGGTGGAATCTTCCTGTGCCTTTGGAGATGGTGGCCTTCTCTGCCCGTAGCAATATACCAAGCCCATTTCTTGAATCCGGATCTTGACGGCATGATAGCCGTTGATCAGCAATACTAGGAATTCTCAATCAGCTAAATGGAAAGCCCGGAGTTTGGGAGTGTCCTACCCGTGCTGCGAAGATCCGTGGAGAGTGACGACCACCATTCTTCTAACCGCGTCGTGAATCGTTCAGCGTGGATGTACAGCCGAGTTCCGTGGACACCTTCAGACCGGTAGGTCTCGCAGACTTCCTCGGAAAACTGTAGCACTTTCGTCACTGGGTATATCAAGAGGTCCGTGTCGAATTCTGGGTGTTGTTGCAGCATCATAGCGCATCGAAGCATGGCCTCGTGAAATGGGAGATTGTTGGGCTTTCCCGAAGACATTGCTATTCTAAACAAGTCAGCTCAAGCCCATTGGCGCTTATCCGGGTGGAGAATGGCATCTTACATGCTAGACATGTAATAGGAACCCAGATAAGCACGGCATGCTTCCCGGATATAAGTATCACTCATCTCGGTTGGCTGCTCAAGAAAGTCGACAGCCTCTTGATCAAGGCGAAGGTCAATGACCATACTGATTCCGATTTGTAAGTACTGGTAGGCTTGCTGACTTCCTGGAACATAGTGGAAATGGAACCTGACATTGGTCAGCTTGTCAGTGCCTCCGATACCGACAAAATAGAAGGCAGTGTGGGGACTGAGATCTTACCAGGCAAGGTGGACAAGTAATCCCTGGAGCAGATCTAGATCTTTCTCGCCAGCTATGATGACCCGCTGACTGAGAGCTTCTTTAAATTTTCTCATCAGAGCGTCTTGGAGGTGACAGTACTGTGAGGAAGCAGCAGCAACAACTGCAAGCAATAGGAAGGGGCGATGTTCAGCCATCGACGTAGCAGTCCAGTCGGATGAGAGCCGCACAAATGGAAAGTAAGACGCCATAGCGCGGAACCTGTCTAGAAGATGCTCGAGGACGACAGGACCGAGTTCCAAGTCGGTGATCCACGCGGCGTCCATCGCAATGGATGCATCCCAAGACCTTTCTAGGGTGTTTCCTGTGGTATTCTGGTTTTCGCTCGACCCCAGCCCTTCGTCCAATTCAGGACCAGCCAGGCACCCTTGGCTCATCCATTCAGCTGTTGGATGTGGGCTGTCGCTAAAATATTCAGGAATTGCAGCCAGCCCATAATCCGGATCAACGGGGGGTTGGACTCCACTAAGGGGTGCGCTAGATCGTGACAGTAGACCGATGATATTGGTGAGCTTGGATTCAAGATCGACCAGTCTCCTTCATCCCGTCCCTGTCAGCAAAAGTGGGCTCTTGAGTGGAGCACCCTCCACGATCACGTACGGTTTCGCTCGTTGTGGAACTCGAGCTCGCTGTCTCGGCTCTGAAAATATGCATTGAGAGTTTGATCGGGCACATCTACTCAGATTAGCTAGAGGAGAAGTATACGGTTAGGGATGTGACACCCACTTGGTACAAGGCTGTCCTTCCTCGGGTCGAATACATTTGACCTTGAGAACACGGCATTTTTCGCACGCAGGTGTCGCTTTCTTCGGCTGACGAGGTGAGTCCGTCGAGATTGCGTTATCCATCGTCAGTCATATATATGTTCCGTGATCTGACTGTTGTGGGGCTCTTCAAATTTGAAGCATTTTAGCTGACAAATCCTCCTCCTGCCCGCCTGGCCACTCTCTGTGGATCATCATCAGGGGTCATCACGGCAAGTAGATAAGTAGACCATGCCATGCAAAACCGACTTATCAAGAAATAATCTAACACACCTATAGTGTAGATCGTAACGTGATTCAGGACGTATCATGTTCCATGGACATATCCCAAGACAAATGGGCGCACAAAAACGGGAATATATATAAGGTCTCACAGCCGCAGAAAGCCTAATTGGTGATAGCCTTATTTCGGAGACACCTTTAATTATTGAAAATATTGGTCTTTAAAAATCATAATAACCTTCTCAAGCGGTATAGAGTGATAGAGTGTTTCTCGCCGAAGTACTTCAATATTTCGGAAGCAGCCTCCGTGTGGAGATGACATACCACGCTTGCAGTACATGTTTCTAGGTGACACCGAAAATCCCATATTCGCACTGTCATCTGGTAAAGCTTCCGATTCGAGTCTTGTCATATCTTCCAACATAGTATGCCCCATTAATGGATCACATAAAACAAGGAAATCGTGGAAAACACCGTGCACTTTGTGAATCCACTCATTCGAATGAACCGAGACATGCTTTTCGTAACGTGGCACATTACATCGAAATCAGATTTGTGTGACGATGCTACCACATTGTAGAATAGTACAAAGTATGGAGTAAGGGGATAAAGCAAGACAGTCTTGGCTTGTTGGTAAATGTACGTTCATGGTGTGGAGATTCCTGGCTTAATAAGTCAAAAAAAGATGGATACTAATCTGCTGTATCCGATTGCTGATCTTCACGATCCAGCATAGCCGCCAGAACAGTAAGTGCTTTCCTAGAGCTCTCGAGACATCTATGTTGATAAACACTGCTCCACCGAGAGCACTTGAAGATATTGGCTAATACTGCAGCGTGTCCGAATTCGGGTGCGTCAAAGTCGAGTTGGAATTCTGCCGAAACGGATGACCGAGTTTTCAAAAGTCAGTTATCCCCGCGAACTTGGAAGGGACAAGGTAAAATTACCTCTTTGATCAGAGTTAAGAGAGAATCAGCGGAGATTATGATCGCATCGACCCGAGATTTGTCTGCGAGCTTCATGGCAGCTAGTAAGATTCATCATCATCATCTTTTCTCTTTAATCCTGATCACATTCTTCTTCTCCATTTTGTAGATCTGCATGCTCATGCGCTACAGACTCCATCATCTTATCCCTCAGACCTTTTCATGGCGGTAGCAACCTCCCGGTTCAAGTTTTGCGCAAAGATTTCTTCGTCTTTCATAGAAACAAAAGAGGCATTGTGAGGGTCCTTCTGGGCCGCATTCCATAAGTCCTCCATCGACCACTCGTCCGCGTGCCAGCGCCGGGCAACGTAGAAGTGATTGAGAAGTTGCTGAAGACGAACGCGAAGACAGCCTTGGTACCCACTCGAGCTAGAGTGCTGGCTTTTTGGGTCGTAGTCCGGGTCAACAGCCCAGATCCATACATCATCTGGTCCGCGAGAATCCAAGACTGACGCTGCGGCGCTGTGATCTAAGTATAAGAAAACGTTACGAAGAAGGCCTTCCGTAATTCCCTCCAGAATAGCGTTAATCTTGCCTTCAGCTATATCTATAGATAGATACGGTGCTTGCTTCTTAGGAGGCTGAGATCGGAGATAGTTGAATTGCCTCCGTAGTTGATTCAACGTTAATAAGAAAGACTCATCACTACCAATTCTAGAAGGCAAATCAAGGTCCTCAAGGTACCACCGGGATCCGATCTTTGTTCCAGAACCAATAGCGAGGTGCGCCCAATGGAACAAGTTAGATTGTTTTTGTTCATATGACTCCTGGCGTTCAGGATCCTCGAGCTTCCACTGAAGGCTTTGGAAGATTGCATAGCCCCATGGCTTTTTGCCCTCATCTTCCTGCCATAGCTGGCGTAGCCAGGGGTGGCCATGTTCGAGAATCTGCGCCAGATCTGCTCTATCCTCGGCTTCTCTTATTTCATCTTCTCGTCGGGAAGTCTCCGCCTCTACGTTTTTGAATGCATCCGCTTCGAATTCCGCGTAGAAAAACCTTCGCAATCTCTTGAGCCGCTCGAGTGTTTGAGAGTAGTGTTCATCAGAAACTAGCCTTAAATTCTCGAAACAATCGAAACGGATATCTTCTTCCGGGAAGCTAATTTGTCCCCAATAGCGGCTATAAAGTAATTCAACCTCAGACGAAGTAAGGTCTCTAGGTGATTCAGCAGCCTTTTTTAAAAGCTCTTCCTTATTAAGAGTCGTTGCAGCGGAAATGTTTGCCTCTTGAGTTGAGAAGTCAGGAAAGTCGAGAAACCGAACGCGATCCTCTGCACTAATGGCAGACGGGTTGCTTTCGAATTCTTGAAAAGTCGCGAGCAGCCTAGCAGCGTCATCGATATTACGTATGACGCGGATGAAAGATGGGAATAGGTGGTCCATGATTGGAAGGACAGAATTGTAGGAGATCGAGGGGCGGAAGTAGAGCTAAGAAGTGGGAAGAGTACCCGTGGACGCTGTAAGGGTGCGACCTTGGAACAGCCAATGACCACAACGAAATGATTGACTAAGCTAATTTGACTTACCGCCTTTTCTCTATGCCTTTTCAACTACGTTCGCAATAGGTAGTTTTCACTTGTTTCTTCATTATATCACTAACATGAACAGTGCAAGGCCATAAATTTTTCATTAATATATGCCTTTTCCCAATGCAAAGCGTTTAACAAAGACTACTAAAAAGACTATTCTTGTACCTTTATAACGGAAAGAATATTTAAGAATATTTAAACAACTCAAGTAGCTCAGCAATGCTGTAATATGATTGGATCGGATACTTACTCGGGAAATTGTGGGGTTGCTCTCTTTCCCCGACTTTCGTATTCTCTGCTTCTCTTCTCCCTCTTACCTGCAATTATCATAAATTCGGTTGGCTATGCCAAGCCATCGAATTGGCAAAGATAGCTCCATCCCCCAAAGAAGGCGAGATGGCTGCACAGAATGTCGACGCAAAAAAGTCAAAGTAAAGAACTTCTCGCTGGCCAACTGAACGTCGCTAATAAAATGTCTAGTGTGACCTGAAGAAACCTATCTGCTCGCGCTGCACGCGGTTTCCCAAAGAATGCAAATATGATATCAATATCATCAACCAGCATGTCATCACTCACACAAGGCCGAGTGAAGCGAATCGTCGCAATGAAAGCGTCAACCAGAGCCTGAACCCTATCGCTCATCAGCCTGCTCTAAAATTATCACCATTTCTATCATCAAAAGAATCTCAATTTTTCATGCACGTCTTTAACACCGAAACTGCCCCGCGGCTCTTCCCGGAAGCTCCAGCGCTATTCCTGCAAAGAATTATCGCAAGTTCCCTAGAGACACCCCATCTTCTCTATGCCCTCCTCGCATCTGCCTCCAGCCACCATAGCCGACTTGTCCAAGATACAGGACCAAAGTCAAGGGTGTCCTGCTTGAGGTTCACGAACTTGTCAATTTCTAGCCTGCGCTCGGCACTCAATGAAACGAATGCAACACTGACAGCTGAGACTGTCACGACGGCGATGGCTCTGTGCACTAATGATGTGTGCAATGGGAATATGCAGACATGGCGGACTCACCTTGGCGGGGTAATGCGTCTATTAGGTGCCTTTTTGGATAGTCAAGGAACATTACCCATTGCTGATCCTTACATTCAATGTTTGGTCAAATGGTTCACAACAATGGATGTTCTCGCGGGATTATCGGGATTGGGTACTAGTGGTGTGATGAGCTCTGATACTGGGCTACTGGATAGGTCATTTGATCTGTTAAACCCGCATGTTGACGATATATGTGGTTACGCCTTGAAGTTGGCCCCGCTGCTTGCGAGGCTATCTCAATTGATGCAACGCCAATATCACACTGAGCCAAGAATGCAACAAGACGCCTTGACAGAAGCTCGAGAGCTTGAGATTGAGATTCTCTGCCTTGTTGAGTGCAGTGTTTCTGGTGGAGATTCCCTTGAGCTGCAGAGTACCCATCGTGCCTTTGTACACTCTGCTTTATTACACCTCCACCGCCGAATCCAAAAACTCCCAAGAGACCATGAGACGGTGAAAGAAGACACCAGGAAAATTATAGCCGCAGTGGAAGACATCCCGCCGTTCTCCTCTGCGAATATATTGATCCTTTGGCCCATGTTCAGTGTTGGCTGTGAAATCGACGATATCAAGGAACGCGATTTTATCCACAACCGGATGGGTGACATGCAAAGTCTCGGGATGGGAAACTTTACAAGAGCACGAGAGCTTCTGAATAAGTTTTGGGCATCCGAGACATCCTTGTCCTGGGACATCTATTTTGCGAATCTTGGATTGGAATTGGTTCTATTCTAAGCCCTCAGCAAGCCCTCGGGACGTACTATGTTTCCCCTGGACAGCCTACATCCCTGGAGGGCTAACACGTCCCCTGATTTTGGCCTTGGAAATCTGTTCTCCCAATACCCATTGTTCTTTGCCTTTCCATTTTAGTCTACCTTCGTCTACCGCGTAGATATCCTCCGCCTCCGCCTACAGGGTTTGCTGTAGTCCATACATTACGAATCAGGCATATATGAGTGTTAAAGGACAACAACGCTGCTAAGACATCTCAACTTTATCTGGGATTACTACAAAAGCAACATTGAAACTTCACTACTCCTCTCTCTACTATTCCTCCTTCTGTTTATTTCGCATAACCGTCAGAGGCAAGACTCGAGAGAAAGGAGAAACAACACGATCATGAGTGAGGTTGCGATTTATCTTTCTGTTCAAATTCTATACTCGTCCTTGCCATGGAGCCTTTTGTTTAACCGACAATGCTCTTGGTTTGCTGCCAGACTTGTAGCTGCCCCAAAATGAGATTAGTATCAATGGGGCGGCAGTCCCAATTATACAGAAGTGACTGGGCAATTGGGTTCATTAATTGAAACACATCCATCGCCCACGGAAGAGTCGAGATACGATTGGTTGTGATTTTCTCGAGAGTGTTCAAAGTTATCGTAGTATCTTTCCTAATCATAATGTCAGCGAGCAAATCGAGTAATTCCTATGTTTATAGAGGCGATAGCATACACCGTCCTGGCAAGCGCTGAGGAACACAGAAACAATACACTGGGGCCAAGAGCAGTCACTAAAACGGCCCATCGCTTGCCATGCCGCTTTTCATTGTGAAACTTGTCTCGGAGTTTAGACCGTTGTCGGGCATTATACGAATTCCACTCTGGGTGCATGCGACCGAGAATGTTGTCGATCATCGCGCTTGCATCCCCTCGCCCAACTCCAATAGATCCTTTAGATGACTGGGGCTTTTTCCGTGACTGCCATTCCGCAAGTGCCTCCTTGTACTTGCAGTCGAGAAGGACCAAGGCTGCCCGCTTTCGTATTTGATCCTGACCAATGCGCAGGTCCAGCTCACACATGCAGGAGTAGATATTTCCTAGGCTCTCGTATCCCGAACTGCCCCAGTTGGGATTGGACAGCGATGATCTGTCCCATAGCCCGTTTACCTTCCAGTACGACAGATTTTCCTGGATGAAACAGACAAAATCTTTTCGGATATAGTTGGTAAATTCTGTGTTCAAGGACCCCGTTTTACGAAGACCGTTATGTCCCTTTTCTTCACTGGAAGACTGTGGAGGGGGAGGGTGTATAGGCAACCCATGTTCGTGTGGTTCCTGGAGAAAGTGATTTGCTATGTGATCTGTCCTCAATGTCGAGGGGGCCGTGCACTCGGCTGATGGTCGCAGGAGATGTGGAGGCGAAGGTGAATCTGGCGGCACTGTCGCAACATGTCAGTTCTTAAGAACGCCGGCGCAACAAGCGAATGCAGAAGCAGAAAGGGAAACCTTACAGGGAGAGCCACAGGCTCCCAACGTCAACCCGCCGTCTCGTAACCCAAGATCTAGGAGTTCGTATCCCGTCTGTTCATTCCATGATTGTCAGCATTTTAACTAAGCTCATCTCCACAAGTAACCGCACGACGTGGGTTTAAGGTTATTACGACATTTGATGTGGCAATGACGAGCTCGTCAGGAACGTATGTTTCGGTTCCAAGTTGTCCAATGCCGATGTCTTCTAGACGATAGGACTCGGCAAATTCCGATATAGCAAGCATCTGCTGAGGACTAATCCCAGGGCCAAAACCATAATTGCTACTCAGGGATGCTGCTAGCAAATAACAATCCTCTTTATCCAACGTTCCAGTGTCACGACTGCGCCAAGATAAATCAGTCTCAGGCTCTGTATAGATAGATACGACGTAGCGCATGGGTGCCTCACTGGTCTGGTCCTGCGCTTTCCAACATTAGAATTGGGCTTGAAACATTTTCGCCTCCAACAGTAACTTCGTGCCACATAATTCGGAAAGGCTGCAGCCGTCGATGGAATTCTTCCATTGAACTTGCGTCAGTCTTATTGAGAAATGTCCTGACTGCTTCAGCAAAATGGGGTGTGGGTGAACCTGATGACATCGACATTTTGAGAGCTTTAAGTTGCGGGAGTATCCCGGGGAATCTTCAGCCAACTGCATATATATGTTCCCTCTGATGAGATATTAGGCCCCCATAGGCTAGTTGTCAGCAATACACTATGTAGCATGGATATTTCGTAGTTCCCACACTCTACGGCGTATGCTAGCCAGTTAGATTGCATATGGGAGGTTGAGAACTAGGTACATATTTTCAAAGGGGGAGCTATGTCCACTCTAGGCTAGTCCAATGCTACGACAGGTCAATTTAATTTGGAGGTATCATCCATACTACGATAATAAGCAGAGGTTAAAAATAGGAAGGGAAGCCAAACCAAGAACAAGGAGGGTGTGCGAATATTATTATCTATCTCATGTAACTATCTGTTGTAAAGAACAGGATACAGGCCCTAGCCGCCTAATATAATCTCGGGATACTCTAACAACTTCACGGTAGCACCCCACTACAATATGTACGATTTTAGGCAGTTTAAAGAGGGGTAGGCTTACGCCAACTTCCTCAGCACTACTGCGTAGACAAGGATCATAATCCATATGCAGTGCCAAGTTACCACCATATACGCAGTGTTACAGGCCAAGGTAGAAAATGAAAGAGGAAAAAGGAGGAGAGCAGAAAAACAGCCCCATTTCGCCGTTCTCCGCCAATCAAGAATTTTAGCAGAAGCACCCACTGAAATTACCGAGGCTCCACCACGGGGCTCTCAGCTTTAGACTAACTACTTCAGAATTCACAACCTCCACCCAGATCTATCCATCGCCACGATCCCGATTGTGACAGGTAACTTGGAAAGAGATGTGGGGAAAAGGCAATTAGAGAGAACTCAGGGAGCAAGTGTTTACCAAGAATCCATTTGTACTTTTGTAATGTTACTCCGGACATGCCTGTTGTTCCAAGACTCTAAGCGAGCTAGCTAAATGAGACACGCCTAAGGCTTACGGAGTACAGAGGGACCACCTGGGTAGTTGATGGGGGGTCTTATGTAATACTAAGCCAGTGTGCCAACTCCTATCAGTAACCTCTGTCGAGTCTCTCAGTTGGCGGGTACATTATTTATATAATTATTATTGTTAAAACAGATTTTCCTTATTAAGTTAACATAGGAGTTAGCGTAAACCTTCCCGCACTTAACAATGTATATATGTCACCAATACTACTATAATATATCTTATATTTAGTTATATTATTATAAAATAATTAATTCCTTTTCAATTCTACTTTTTATATATAGTGAAATAACTATTTAATTAACTTCCCTCCTAGAAATTGTTAACAATTTCTATACCGAAACAACAGATATATATATTCCTTACTACTATATATGAGAGTTATTATTTGCACACCCCCTATTTACTAGTTGCAGACCTTTTTGAACTACTATAACATTTTTATAGTAATTTATGTTTTTTTTATTACGTGTTTTGCGGTTAGAAAACGCATCTAGAAGGGTGCATTGTAAGGATATTAGGTAGATTATAGGTAGGGGAGGAATAGACGGACAGATGGATTAAAAGGGGGGACATAAATAGAAGTGGAAGAAACCATTAGAGTATTAATAATTATTATTTACAAAAATATACCAGTGACCTCCGCCAACTCTGAGATTGACGGAGGTTATTGGTTACCAAAAAGGAGTTGGGAACATTGAAAAATGTGAAAAGAGCATATAAACATTTTTCGAACACGGGTATGAAGCAACTTGAGATAAGAATGATTCTACCTTTAGTATGGAAAGCAAATCTGTACAGTTTATTGCTAATAGGTCATTGAAAAATATTGATAATATTGATAATCAGATTCAAATAATTTGGATCGACATTCTATCCTGTCTATATCTAGCACGAGTGCTACGATACTAAAGGCCGCCAGATGTGAGTCAGATCTCAACCTCGGTGGTCGCTCTGCTCCAATTGTAATTAAATCTGGGAGTTTTACTACAGAGAGAAACGCACGTTGCATTTATTGACAAGTGATAAGTGTACCACAGAATCGCGATGAACAGAACACGGCTGAGGAGGATCGTGCAAGGAATGTGATCTTACGACGAAGTAGTGAGGGGAGAGCCGACGTCTTTCAAGACGGTAGCAAGCTCTCCCACATAGCTTGACTCAGCCTTCATATACTTCTTATCTCCCAACCCAAAAGACCAGGCAACATTCCTGGTTTGTTGCTTGTCATATGACGGCGCCGCCGCAAAGAAGGCGAGGACGCGGTCATTCACCACAGGCAACTGGTTCTCCGGGAGGTTCAGGGCATAGAATGCCACACGTGTGATAACTCCCGTGTCATACTTCATCGTGACGGCAAAGGCAAAGCCTTGAGGATTCAAAAATGAACGCATATCACGAAATTCTTCCTCAGTGGGAGGTTTGCATTGAGCCAATGCAGTGTACTGTGCAGCCTGGGTCTCAGAAAGTGGACCCGGCGCAGTGAAATACAGGTTCATGGTAGATCCTTCGTAATCAACGGCGAGGAACCTCACCAGCTCCAAGCCTAAGCTACGGAATGTTGGCCTATGGGCCCGGACACAGGGTGGAACTTCTGGCGCGTTTAGGATGTCGTCGACTGGTCGTCGACCTTTCAAATTCACCCAGGTTTTGGCCAAGCCTGTTTCGGGGTGAAAGTCGCACCATTGTTGAGTATCTCCATTGTACAGTGCACTCCAAGATGTGATCAGTCGTGCCATTTGGTTGCCTGGCTCAATGTAGCCGCCCTTTGTAGCGATTTCAATTGTGTCCAATCGCTGCTGAAGGTAGAACCGGTAATTGACGGGATCATTCTCTCGGTTGGTGGTACGCCAGATCACTGCGCCGTCTTGAAAGCAGTTCTTGAAGGTCTTTAGAGCTTCCAAGATGGATGACTCTGAGTAGGAGGCACCGATGGCGTTGGCGGTGCTCTTGAAATCAGTCAAGAACCGCACGGGGTCAAACTTGCTGGGGACTTCAACGACAGTCATGGCCACGGTAGTAAGAGTGGCTTATCTTAGAAGATGAAATGTTAGGAATGCAGTATGCGTTGACAAATTCTGAAAGGGCAGGGTGGTTCTGGTTCATCTTATATATAAATCGCTTTACTCCAGGATGTGACGCGTGTGTGTAGTCAGTATGAGATTCCGACCAGGGAAGGATTACTCCTCAGATTAAATCCACAAAATCAAAATTTAATACCGTCCAATCAAAGGATACGCCAAGTCTGATCTTTTGTGTTTGGTCTGCGGGGAAGTGTTATCCGTCCTTGATTGATAATAAATTAGTCAATTTCAGCTACAAGATGTCACCTCCAAGGATGTAGCCCTGGGTAAAACGCCAGAAAATGTTCTTGCGGCGTATCTTTGGAGTACCCCCAAGGTGGCTTGGCCCCCGCATACTCGAATCCTTCTCACTAGCTGCAGGAAACTAATGCAGCTTCCGATGGAGTCCCCCCGTATTCCTCAAACAACACGGGTGATTCATGATTTGTGCATATTGCATTCTTGATCCTGTATCTACAGTAACAACGCCAGGATCTGTGAGATAGGCTAGTGCCATCCTTTGCGCCAAGGTGTTCGGTCAAGTTATGGAGAACGTCACCTCATTTCGACATTTTCAACCAACTATGAGGGTAATTTTTTCCACGAGGCTCGGCAATCCATTTTGCAGATATTGAATGGCAAAGAGTGTTTCGACGGCACCGTCTAGTTTGTCTACTATTTTTGTTTTCTTTTTCTGCTGCTTTTACGTCTCGTGTCCGATTCTGGGAAACATTTAGCTCCGAATATTTGCCGAATTGAGCCGCCGTGTGTCTCTTCTCGGGCTTTCCCCATTCACCAATCTCACGGTCGAAAGAAAACAACTTATTTTCTATTTCAAAACCCGCCTAGCCCTATATAACCTTTCTAATTTCTACCCCTTTCCTGGCCATTCCCACCCAGTGTATCATCCCAAGCCCGTTATCTTGCGACAAGAACTTTGACACAACACAATGGAAACTAAAAACGACAATTACTGGTTGGCTACAAACAGCCATGCCAGCGCACGGTATGGCTCTCTTTTCATGATGAAGACACACACTAAAGACCTGAAATTTAGTTTAAACCTCCAGCACTTCTGGAACCAACTGTCCTGTGGGTATTTGATTCATCCTGATATTGCGCTCGCTGGTAGCGCCAGAATTGCGGACATTGGGACTGGCACGGGGCAAGTTCTTTCGTCGTATTATAAGAAAAGTGATGGTTTGCTAACTTGACCGCAAAGGATATGGCCGATCTCACTGTCCACAACCTTACCTTCCACTGTGCAATTGGATGGATTCGATGTTACCGATGCCCAGTTTCCACCCAGAGAGTGGCTTCCCAGCAATGTCAGATTAGAGACATGGAACGTTCTTGAGTCTGTACCGGAGCATCTAGTCGGACAATACGATGTGGTCAACATCCGATATTTTGCGCTGGTGGTTCGCAAAGAAAATTTCAGCAATTTGTTGAAGAATCTGATTTCTTTGCTTAGTGAGTTTCGAATTGATCGCCGTACCAATTTTTCAAAGCCGCTCATCAATTCCTTCAGAGCCCAATGGATATCTCCAATGGATCGAAATCAACATTGCGGAGCAGGAGATTATTCCCCTCCGGCCAGATATGCCCATGACAGCCACCTCGTCATTTAGCGAGGACGGGAAGAAGGCCATTGCGACCTTGGGAGTCAGCTTCGAGTAAGTCTCCTTCGATAAAGGGTTACGAGCTATATCTCCATTCTGATATATTTGCAGCTGGTTGAAAAGCCTCCCGAGCACATTTGAAGAATTTGGACTAGTGGAGGCAAGTCAATTCAAGCCAGATCCGATCCCCGCGTTGCGACCGATGTCCTCCCATCTTGCCATTGGGGGTTGGGAGGAGTTTAGTTACAACGTTCTGGATAAAAAGGGGCCCGCATCCTCTGCTTGGAAGCGGACAGAACCTGCGCCAACGGTTGTACGAGGTGCGCAATGAAATTCAAACCGGGGGCGCAATCGAGCAATTGCATTATGTCACGATTGGCAAGCGCCCGGCTTGAGTGGCTTGGGCGGAATCCGCCCGGCGGACGGGCCGCTCCGGCCTTCGATCCTTCCAAGCCAAGGTTAGATTATCCGTTTTGTAGTGACCAATCAAGAGTCATCAAGTGGAACCGATGCAACATGTAAATTTAAAATTTCGTTGACCCGAGGTCATTGAAATCTGAAACTAGTGTGTCAGCGCTGGCTAATCAAGACCCACCGTAGACACATCCGCCCTCAATCATGTATGATAGACCTCCTTCACCCTGTATTCGACCCGGCCGAGGATCCTATTTTCATGAGTAGTTCTTGATGACGTTCCTAGGTCCCGAAAACCGGGCCAGATTGGTATGATATATTGAGTGGTGCTGTCAGCTCCAAAGCCGGAAAGACAACTTCAAAACCCACTTAGATAACAAATCCATTCACGTTACGTGTGGCAAACGCAAAGAAGATGAATTCCATTCCACACGAGCGCGATAAGGCCCCCGATTTCTCTAATTTTCCAACTTCGAAAAAACGAGCTTTCGCTCAGTCGATGGACGAGAGAGACCCCCTAAAGCATTTTCGGGAAGGATTTTTCATTCCTAGCAAAAAGTCTCTGACCAGTAGCAGCTTCCAATCATCAGGTATTACTCCCCTCCCCCTCCATTTCATCTGAAGATGCTTAGCAGAGCGGATAGATTCATTACGGGAAACTGAGTCCGGGGTTTACCTTTGTGGTAATCAAATTGGTCTACAACCACGCCAAGCACCCCGGCTGATTGAGCATCACTTGAGAACATGGCAAGCCCAGGGAATGTATGGCTTAACGAAGAAGATAAGCGACTCTCCATTACCGACATGGGGCGAAATGGACCAGGTTGCGGCTCGCCTGATGTCACCGATCGTTGGAGCAAACCCATATGAGGTATCCGTTATGGGGGGCCTTACAGCCAACTTGCATATTCTCATGGCTAGCTTCTACCGACCAATCGGTGAACGGACCAAGGTGTTACTAGAGCGTGATGCGTTCTCTAGTGATTATGTAGGTTAATGCACACTTCCATCAACGCACCACGCTAACGCAGATTGCCAAAAACAGTACGCTGTTCAATCACAGATACAGTGGCATGGACTCCAAATGGATAACATGGTTCTTATTGATCCAATCCCGGGTGATAATTTGGCCCTGTCCACGGCCAAAATTCTTGCCGTAATCGATGACCATGCATCTACGGCTGCATTGATTATATTATCTGGCGTTCAATACCTGACCGGCCAGGTCTTGGACATCGAACAGATCACGTCCCATGCCCACTCCAGAGGCATCATGATTGGGTGGGATTTAGCTCATGCGGTTGGTAATATCGAACTTAACTTACATGACTGGCGGGTCGATTTTGCCGTATGGTGCAATTACAAGTACATGAACGCTGGCCCTGGGGCCATTGGCAGCATCTTCGTGCATGAGACGCACGGCCAAGTAGATCAGACGAAGGGGATGGAGGGCTATCGCCCTCGGCTGGCAGGCTGGTGGGGCAATGACAGCAGTAGTCGGTTTGCCATGCGAAATAGTAGGTTCCTCCTCCCTTGGATGTTTTAGATTTGGGAGAATCATGAAGCTGACGCGGTTGTTTAGCCTTTGCCCCAGGCACTGGAGCTGCGGGATACCAATTATCCAATGCGTCGGTGTTGGATACAGTTGCTCTTATCGCATCCTTAGAAGTCTTCAATCAGACTAATATGGTCGCTATCAGGAAGAAGTCCGTTCTGCTGACCGCATATCTTGAGTTTCTGCTGGGTACTATCGATCCTCTCCCGTTCAGGATAATTACCAGTTCAAATGCAACGGAACGTGGCTGCCAATTGACTTTACGATTCGACGACCAAAACGTGTTGAGCCGAGTCATGATGCGGCTGACAGAAAAGGGGTATGTGGTAGCCCAAAAGCAGCAAATGATGCGGGCGGCCCCCGTCCCCCTTTACAATACCTTCACTGAGGTCTGGGACTTTGTGGACCAGTTGCGCCGTGTTCTGCCATCCTGCATGGTTGGGGTCTGATTTGTAATTATGTTTGGATATGAAACTAGTTAGAAAGCGTCGACGCGTGTCCAAGGATTGGAACAATAATTCCTGCCCCCAAGTGCGATATCTAATTAAAAAGGGCCATCTAACCTCCCTGTACGGCGATTCCATCATCCTAAGGCTCTATGGCGATCATTACATCCAATTCCCAGAAAGACGACCACACCCCTGCGGGGGACAGCATAGAGATGAAAATTCTCATTTTCGGCGATCAATCGACCGAGACCTTCGAAGCACTGTCTAGCCCACAGGCTCTCAAAAGCTCTGCCGTGCAAGACTTTCTTACCAAGTGTAACCTTGCACTTCGTCGAGAATTTTCCTTGCTTCCTCGAATCGACAAGCAACAATTCCCCAATATACCATTGCATGCGGATGCACTGCAGGACTGGGCACAGTGGGGAAAGACACATCCTGTTCTGAGACCCGTTTTGACAGCGGCATCGCAATGTGTGCAAATACTGCAGTAAGTAGTTCGAACTTACGACAACCTGCTAGTCTATGGGACCTCAATACTGATTATTTACACAGAAGTCCTGATACAGAAGACGTCGACTATTCAAAACATTGCATTCTGGGTTCATGCACAGGTTTGCTGGTAGCCGCTGCTATAACTGTGGGCTCGTGCAAACCGTCTACATGGGTTCAATTGGCTGTACACATTGTTTGTATTGCGTTCCGCATTGGAGTTTATACAGCAAGTGTTGGTGATCGTTTGACCAGCAGCAACGGAAGTTGGTCCCATACTATCTACGGAAAGCTTGACCCACAATTGCTCTCCAAGTTTCATCAAGTCGAGGTATCTTTCTTGCTCTCCCCTTCAATGTCATTTTTGGGTGAAGACTTATAGAGACTAGGGCATCACTTTACCCAATTCCGCATATATAAGTGCGACGACCCCCAGCTCGACGACAATTTCCGGCCCTCCACAGACATTGAAAAGACTTTTTGCGTCGGAATTATTCCAGTCCACAGGGCAGAAGTCTACACCACTTCCCGTTTTTGCTCCGTACCATGCATCTCATCTCTATAGAGAGGCTGAAATTGACTGGATCATTGGAATCCAGGATCTGCCAACGCGGCAACTAATTGGTGAATTTGAGCTAAGATCTCACATCATCTCCAGCAACAATGGAAAGCCCTTCACCGCTTCAAACATGCCTGATCTTCTCGGCCAAGTCGTCCATGAAATTTTGAAAAAAGTCCTTCGATGGGACTTGGTTGTTGAGGAGATTACCACTCTCATTCCTGTCACGTCTACGGTTAGCATCAATGGGATTGGTGCTACGGGCCTGGCAAAGAGCCTTCTGTCTTCACTGACAGCGAATGGGGTTTGCGACGTATCCTTGAGTTCAGTTTTGCATGAACCCAATATCAAATCCTCAATGAGAGATGAGCAATCGACATCTGCGGGGTCTAAGATTGCCATTGTGGGCATGTCTGGCAGATTTCCCGAGGCAAAGAATACCGACCAGCTTTGGGAGGTTCTGCTGCAAGGGATCGATGCCCACAAAGTGATACCGAAAGACCGTTTCGATGTTGACACACATCTCGACCCCAGCGGCAAGCAGAAGAACACCACTAACACTCCGTACGGCTGCTTCGTCGAGGAACCCGGACTGTTCGACCCGGCATTTTTCCAGATGTCACCAAGAGAAGCCACTGTCACAGACCCGATGCAAAGGTTAGCGTTGGTGACTGCTCATGAGGCGCTGGAGATGTCCGGTTACGTACCCGACCGAACGCCATCTTCGATGTTGGATCGAGTGGGTACCTTTTATGGCCAGACTATCGACGATTACCGCGATGTAAATGCAGCGCAGAACATTGATCCATTCTATGTAACAGGTGGCCTTCGACCGTTTGGACCGGTGAGTAATATGATAAGTCCGCCCGATAACATTCATATACTTATAAGTTGGTTCAGGGACGGATCAATTACCACTACAAGTTCACTGGTCCCAGCTATTCTGTCGATACAGCCTGTTCCTCTAGCCTCGCATCAATCCACGTTGCTTGCAACTCTTTGCGTATTAAAGAATGCGACACTGCCATTGCAGGTGGAACAAACATCATCAGCGGATCGGACATGTACGCTGGGCTAAGTCGTGGACAATTCCTGTCCAAGACCGGCTCATGCAAGACTTTTGACGATGCCGCGGACGGTTACTGCCGAGCCGATGCTGTTGGAACAGTCATCTTAAAGCGTCTGGAGGACGCCGAGGCGGATAAGGATCCGATTTTGGGAGTGATTTTGGCTTCGGCTACGAATCATTCATCTCACGCTGTCTCCATCACACAGCCTCACGGGCCGACCCAGGAACTTCTGTACCGCACAGTTCTCAGTCAGGCCCGGCTTCGTCCATCAGATGTCGACTATATTGAAATGCATGGTACCGGTACCCAAATTGGTGATAGCACAGAAATGAGCTCTGTCAGCGCTGTATTTGCCGGTCGCACCCAAAAAGAGCCTCTCAGGGTGGGCTCGGTCAAGGCAAATATCGGACATAGCGAGGCTGCTGCAGGCGTGACAGGGGTACTCAAAGGGCTTCTTATGTTCAAAAACAGTGCCATTCCTTCACATGTTGGGGTGAAAGGACAGTTGAATCGCAATTTTCCCTCCCTGGATGACAAAAACATTCGCATTCCTTTCCAAACTGAGCCATTTACCGAAAGGCATGACAGGAGACGACGAATTTTGGTGAACAACTTCGGTGCAGCTGGAGGTAATACATCACTGCTCATGGAGGAGCCACCAACCAGGCCACAGGCTGAAGCAGCCGAAGACCGATCATCTTATATCGTCGCCGTCTCAGGTAAAAGCTTGACTTCGTTGAAACGAAACAAGGATCGACTATCTGCATTCTTATCTCAGGACAAACAAGTGTCGCTAGCGGACTTGTCCTATACAACGACCAGTCGCCGAATGCACTATCGTCATCGTTTCATGGTTGTCGCATCCTCCACGCGGGAAGTCCAACAGGCATTATTGGACCAAAAGGAAGTTTCCACAACAGATGCATCATCTCTCATCTTCACCTTCACAGGCCAAGGCAGTATATACAGTGGCGCAGCCCAAGAGATTTTTTCCACCTCTCGTCAATTTCACTCTGATATGGTGGAATTCGACAGTCTGGCTCGGGCTCACGGGCTACCCTCCTTCCTCTCGTTACTGGATCCAACTGTCGAACTGGCTTCACTTTCAGCCGTTCAAACTCAGCTGGGGCAGGTTTGTATCCAAATGGGCCTATACCGCTTGTACAGGTCTTGGGGAATTATGCCGCGCGCTGTGATAGGACATAGTTTGGGTGAATACGCTGCCCTGTATGCCAGCGGGGTTCTCACAGTCAGCGACACGATATTGGTTGTCGGTCGGCGTGCAGAGCTCATGGAGCAGCATTGCACCCCGGGTTCCCATGGGATGCTAGCCGTGCGAGCTCCATACAAAACTGTGCAGGATTTCATCCATCACACAACTGTGGAAGTGGCGTGCATCAACGGGCCGAGCGATGTCGTGGTCGGGGGTCCCGTCGATGAGATTAAGTGCGTTGCGAGAGAACTCTCCGACAGTGGGATCAAGTCAATCCCATTGCCAGTGCCATTTGCTTGCCACTCGGCGCAACTCAATTGCATTCTAAAACATTTCGAGGATGTCATCCAAGGTGTGGAGTACTCTAAACCTGAAATTCCGCTTCTTTCCCCACTCCTAGGAAAGGATATCAACAAAGCCGGTGTCATCAATGCGCATTATCTGGCTCGACATCTTAGGGAAAGGGTGGATTTTGTGACGGCATTGAAAAACTCGTCATTCCTCTCGAAAGAGCCCGGTGTACAGTTTCTGGAATTGGGCTCTCATCCACTTTGCTCAGACATGGTCCGGAATATTCTAGGCCAGACGGTGGTACCATCCTTGCGAAAAGGAGGTGGCTCATGGAAGGCAATCACAAATTCTCTCGCTGCTCTCTATATGCAAGGGGTTGATATTGATTGGGGGCAGTATAACAGAGATTTAATTTCTCCCTCATCATCCACCTGCTTGTCGACTCTACCTTCATACGCATTTGATGAGAAGAACTATTGGATTCCGTATCAGAACGATTGGGCCCTTACAAAGGGGGATAAGCTCTCTCAATCAAAAGAACCGTTGAAGGGGCCGTCTACATTCTCGGTACAGCGTCTTCTTAGAGACAATCTCGATAAAACCCCTGCTATCGCAGAGTTTGAGTCTGATCTTATGCACCCGGCCCTGCAGGATGTCATTGTAGGGCATGTCATCAACAATGTCGGATTATGTCCTTCGGTAGGCTCCCTTGGCCTTCCCTTCTAAATATGGCATTTTAAGCTAACCAACACAGGGTGTCTTTGCCGATATGGCTTTCACGGCAGCCAAGTATGTTTACGACAAGACAAACATTGAGTTTGATGAGTTTTCCATGGACATTGTGGATATGGAGATTTTATCCCCCATTTCTCTTGAACTATCTGAGGAAAAGTCTGCTCGACCAATCCGGATTTCAGCGACTTTTGCGCAAGACAAAGTCTGCCTCGAGTTCCTCGACAGTACGAAGGCAGACGCCACATCTATCTCCTATGCCAAATGCACCGTGATACGGCAGGATACCGCCAAAGTCCGTCGACAATGGAACCGGAGTAAGCATTTCGTATCAGCGCGAATTGATCATCTTCAATGTTCAAGCGATGTACATCGATTACACCGCCGCATGATATACAAGGTATTTGGGGCCGTTGTTGAATATTCAGAGCGGTTTCATGGAATGGAAGAGATCCTCATGAACAGCGATAATTACGAAGCAGTCGCTAAAGTATCATTCAAGCCCGACACCCTTGTGGAGAACTTTTTCCGAAATCCATACTGGGTTGATAATCTCACCCAGCTCTCTGGCTTTGTGATGAACGGGAATGAAACAATGGATTCATCGAAGACAGTGTATATCTCAAACGGGTGGGAATCGATGCACCTTGCCGCTCAACTGTCAAGCAAACAGATCTACACCGTCTACGTGAAAATGGAGCCCAGCGAGGGCTCAGCCGTTAGTGGCGATATGAGCATTTTGGATGACCAGCAACAAATGGTCGGGGTTGTCAAGGGCATCCGATTCCAAGCAGTTCCTCGTTCTTTGCTTAAGCTTCTGCTAGCGCCGTCCAAGGGGGTAAGATCTTCTGCCAATCCCCAACAGCCACCGAAAAACGATGTGTCGAACTTTAGCCCATCTTCTAGTGGGGATTGGACATCTTCTTCCACAACGCGGAGCAGTGAATCTACGAGACACACCTCGCCTGAAACAGCGCGTCCTACAGAAGCATATTCACTGGCGCAAATTGTTCTGAGGGTCTTGTGCGAAGAAATGGATGTCAAAATCGAAGACGTTGATCACGGTATGACGTTTTCGCAACTGGGAGTGGATTCTTTGATGTCTTTGACTGTCATCGGCCATCTAAAGGAGTCGTTCTCCCTCGACATCTCACCGACACTTTTCCAGCACAATCACACCATCAAGCATCTCATCGAGACCCTCAAGAAAGACACTACCTACGGTGATAACTCGAATGAACCCGAGGCACCAGGAAGAGTTGATGAAAAGCCCTCGAGCAATGGCACTCGTCACTCTGCAAGTCAGACATCTGCACCCCAGCATCGCTCCACGTCTATTCTTCTGCAGGGCAACATCCAAACAGCCATCAGCAGCCTCTTTCTTTTCCCCGGAGGATTTGGTACTCCATCTACATTTACTCCAATGCCATCCATCCATCCTGAGCTGGCCCTCTTCGGGTTAACCAGTCCATTTGCGAACGCCCCCCAAGAGTTTACCGTCAGCATCCCCGAGATGGCGGCCCTTTACCTGACAGAGATACAACGTCGGCAGCCCCACGGTCCCTATTCATTCCTAGGGTACTCGGTTGGAGGTATTATTGCATACGAAGCATCTCGCCAGTTAATTCTGGCAGGTGAGTCTGTCGAAAGACTCTACCTGGTGGACTCACCATGTCCCCTCGTCATTCCGCCGATGCCTCCCAATCTGATCAAGTTCCTTGATTCAATTGACCGGTTCAGCGGGGAATCTAAGTCAGCCGACCACGACATCTCAGCCGAGCCTATGAAACCGATGGGGTCGCTCCATGTCACGAAGACCCTCATCAGCCTCGAGACCTATATGCCGGAAGCTCTACCCCCCGGGAAGTGCCTGCCTCGAACAACGTACTATGTTGCCAAGCAAGGCGTGAATAATCAGTCGGTTGTGAAACTTCCAGATGTTTCAGATAGCGATAGGAGGGTCATGACGTGGCTGTTGGAGGATCGGACCGGGAATGGTGGGACAGGTGATGGATGGGAGTTGCTGGTAGGTAGTGAGCAACTGAAAGTTTTTCCGATTGAGGGAAATCATTTCAATATTATGAAGGAACCCTATGTGAGTTTTTCATTCATCCCCATCTGTGCAATTTTACTTGGTGTTTCTGACTGACCTGTTATTGCAGATTTCTGCTTGGGCCGACGAACTGAGGTCAGCCTATTGGATTTGAATATAACTCTCCAGCGGCGGCTGAATAAGGCCACCTTGTATCTTCGGATTGATTTTTCATTGTGTTTTCTTTCCAAACTACATTCAGATATATTATTGAAGACCACATCAATTCTACTTATATTTCCTAGTCGTCGACCATTACCCTCCACCGTACTAATACTAACAGAACCAAGCACACCACAGAGCAAATAGCTAACCCATGGAGAAACAAACGACAGAATTAACTCAAATCCGTGTTCTTCCTCTCCAACATCTCCTTTCTCTTACCCGCCACAATCACCGCAAACTGAGCCTCCGTCATCTTGGGCTCCGGTATCTTCAGCGCCTTCTGCACAGTCTCCCTCGCGAGAATCAAATCATACCATTTCCGAATCGCCGGCCAATCATCGAGACTGAAACCCAGAATGTTCGGCGACGCCCGTACCCAACAAAAACTGGCAATATCCGCGATTGTGAACTTCTGGCCCGCGACATAGGGCAATTCCCCAAGACGTGTGTTCAGGACCATGTAGAGTCGTTTGGTTTCGTCGACATAGCGCTGGATACCCCAGTCGGAACGGACCGGAGCGAAGCCAGTGAAATGGTGGGCTTGGCCTATTTTGGGGGGTTAATGGTTATTATTGACTTCATCTTTATATTTCCTTAAAGAATACGAAATATAATTTTATAACGCCACATACCTTGCATAGGACCTAGCCCCGCCATCTGCCACATTAACCAGCTGAGCTGTTCCGAATACCCTGGGGTGTCTTCGGGGGCATAACTAATCTTCCTCTCGGTATCATACTTCTCGACTAGGTAGAGCATTATCGCGCCGCTTTCGAAGACTCGAGTTTCTCCGTCGGTGATTGCGGGGAGACGTCCGTTGGGGTTGAACTTTAAAAACCACCTGCGATATACTTAGTATAGTTTGGTCCTGCAGTTTTATATTTATCATACTCTTCTTTTTGTTCATTAGACTGAAGATCAACGGGTCGTGTCTTGTAGGATAGGCCTAGCTCTTCGAGGGTGATGGAAATTTTGAAGCCATTAGGGGTGGCGGAGGTGTAGAGTGTGATAGGCTCTGAGTGGGCCATGGTTGTTTGTTACTTTGTTCTCTTTTGTCTTTTGTTTTAGTTAGAATCGACTGACAGAGGAAGAATGATTTAGGTGAGTAGATGCCGGGAAAGATGCCATGGTGTGACAATAAAAGAGGGGGTTGTACTCTTACTTATGTTGAACAAAGAGAGAGCTCTTACTGCGGGGGGCATGGCGTCAATTCCCTGTCAATTCCTTGTCTGGTCTCGGCGTTTGGTGTTCCCGAACTCCGAGGAAATTAGGATACACGCATATCTTGCTTATATGCAGAGTGACAGTCCACACAAAGCCCTTAATGCGGTGTCCAGGGGATTTGATAACAGCGGGTCAATTGAATTATGAGTGGATTGATGGCGGTAATCAAAATTCCTGCCCTTTCACCCCTATTTTATAGTTCCTTTAGCGGGGTATGGCATTAATACCGTTGATGCGTTCCTCGGATATAAATAGAGCTGCTCAGGCCGATCCCTCTTGTAGTCAGTCGGTCACTGAACTCTAAGCCTCATACTTTTGTTGCTTTCTTTCCAAGCACTGTCAAATTCAAGTCAATTGCATGATGCCAGCCGATGAAAAACCGCGGTTTCGCGTGATTATTGTTGGCGGTGGTATTACTGGACTCACCCTGGCCAATTCTCTCCAACATGCCGGGGTCGAATTCTTAGTATTAGAGACAAGATCCGAAATTGCTCCTCAGGTCGGGGCTTCAATTGGGCTTGCGCCAAATGGAAGTCGGATTCTCGACCAATTGTTTTGCTATGAGGACATGGAGAAGCTGGCAGAGCCAGTGCAATCGGCGGGATATCATAACGCAAATGGGGAAGAACTGTGTCCAAGGACTGATGGCTTCCAACTCATCCAGGCTCGGTAGGTCCTTTCGTGTTGGTGGTTGTTTTAGGGTTTGCGGAATATCTTCCCCAGACTGACCTGAATAGGACCAATTATCCAGTGTGCTTTTTGGATCGCCAGAAAGTGTTGCAAATCCTGGCGGAACATCTTCAAGATCCACATCGTGTTCTTCTAAACAAGAAGGTGGTAAAAATAGATCATTTTCCCGAGAGGGTGGTCGTGCACTGTACGGATGGAACTTCCTACGCCGGTGATATTGTGGTCGGTGCCGATGGTGTCGCGAGTCGAGTTCGACGAGAGATGTGGCGAGCAGCAGAGTCAGACATATCCTTAGGCGAGAAGAGTTGTGAGGAGCAAATTCCCCCAATTGTCTTTCATTGGCTAACCAGTCATGGCAATCTAAAGCTATGTCGGCGGAATACAAGTGTCTTTTCGGTATCTCATCTGGCCATCCAGAACTTCGTGCCGGCCACTTGAACATCACGCATGCCAAAGACGTGTCAAGCCTTGTTATAGTCGGCAAAGGAGGCCGAACTTTTTGGTTTCTCTTTAAACGGATGCCCCAAATTTACAAAAGCCAAAATATTCCGCGATTCACAGCTTCCGACGCCGAAACACTGGCACAGCAACATTTCGAGCTCGGAATTCAGCCTCGAGGTGGGCTGACCTTTCTTGATATCTGGCGTCGACGAACTACCTTCACTCTAATGGCCCTAGAAGAAGCTGACTTCACCACCTGGACTTGGGGGCGATTTGCCTGTGTTGGGGACAGTGTGCACAAAATGACCCCTAATATGGGTTCCGGGGGTATGGCCGCCATCGAAAGCGCAGCTGCTCTGGCTAATGTGATACACTCTCTGATCACTCAGTATAAATCTCCAGCGCTGGATCATGTTCAGAATGCACTGGCCGCATTCCAGGAGGGTCGGAAATCCCGAGCTTCGGAGGCAGTTCGGGCATCGAACGAACTGACGCGCATACAGGCCATGCGCGGGCTAAAGGAGCAACTTATTGTCAAGTTTGGCATTCCCTATGGCGGCGACCAGCTGCTCAACAAGGTCTGTGATACGTATATAGGGGCCACGTCCTTGGATTTTCTCCCTCTACCTCCGCGGGCTCAAGTGACGAACATGCCTCTGAACCCTCCTTCTGCCCTTTTACTGCAGGAGTCCAAATGGTATCGAGCACTCAAGGCCCTCCCATTTTTGCTCCTTTCTGGACTCTGTTTTCGGGCCCTGATCGCACTCATTCCCTTTGACGCGCTCAACAGTATGGTCAACTCGCGAGTTATCACTTGGGGTGAGTCGTTCTCATTTAACATCTTGGATCGGTTCTATGGAATTCCGATTCTGGATGATCTTGCACGACCGGCCACAGTGCTCTTCTCACCGTCCTCGTTTGCATACGATCCCGTCAGCTGGGTTCAAATGTTTACTTTCCTAGCCGACATTGGGCTCGTCTATGCCATAGTTCTGATAGAATCTGCCCGGCGTGCAAATGCCATGAGTCTACTCCATTTGTAAGTCAGCCTTTGATGATTTCGTGAAGTAGCAGCACCCATCGTCTAAACGGACATACTTACAGCCCCATGATCTTCGGTATGGCCTCTTTCCGCGGCATCGGGGCCATCATGCCTGTATATTACTTTCTCCACTGTGTCTTCTGTCCAGTGCAGGAACTCAGCGCTGCTGACTTGCGTCTCACCGATCTCGCCTACACGAAATCCATCCTACCTATGATGCTCATCGGATTTTATGCGCCATATTTCCTTGTCTACTTGGGTCCCACGCTGACCCATCGCCACATCGGAATCTGGCTGTGGCACATGTTCCCCATATGGATATCCCTTGGACAGTGGATCCTAGCCCGCACCGTGATGGCTAACACCATGCCGACAGATCGTCTTCATCAGCCGATGCGAGATATCCGCACCATCCGCGTCACAATCGGCTCTCTGGCCCTTATCTCTGCCGGTATCTATATTTACTGCGTAACATCGACTAGTCTGTCCCTTTGGGAGGTCTTTGTACCGCGGACGAACTCTCTCCGTACCTTCGATGGGGCAGTCCGGGCATTTCTCCAATGGGATCAGATATACTTTGCTGCTGCCTCTCTTCTCTGGATCACGTATCTCTTCGGAATGTTATACAGCACTGGGTATTCGACGGTGCATTGGACTGCGGTGTTCGGGATCTTAGTCTGTCTGTCGGCAGTTCTGGGAACGGGCGCGGCAACGGCTATAGGGTGGCTCTGGCGAGAGGAGTTGTTGGTGCGACGCAGGCCATTTCGGATTGATTCTCGGAAATCTGTGGATTTCAAACGTCATAGGTGAACACTTTCAGTTCTTGCTCTATATTCGAATCAGTGGAATAGAAGCTCCTTACTAGATACTTGGGCATGTCATTTTAAATTGGAAAGTCATAGTTGAAGCCAGTCACTGGAACTAGAAGTCATATACCGTGCATTCATTTTATGTATTAGCGAATTTCGGATAATCTGCTAGTATTCACCAGGACCATAGGCTATAAACCAACACTCTATGCGATGGAAAAGTACATTTGTTTACGCACGACCCTTGCAAGTCCCGATCCTTTTCCTTAAGCTTTTAGAAAACTGCAAACGCTTTAGCTAGCTTGACTCGACACTGGCTTGGTCCCTTCACACTTATAATCACTTTACTATAGCGATTAACCTTATTATAAGACTAGTCTTGTTAAAATTATAAACGTTATTAGGGTCGATCCTAAATTGAAGGATAGTTTTTATATAAGATCGAACCACCCTCGAATGATTTTCGGGCTTCGTATTTAACACGCTCGAAATTATAGCGTCTCGAGAATTAGGAGGAGAGTAAAGGGTATCATTTTATAAAATTATAAACCTACTTTTCGCCAACCGAAATAACTAGGGTATTTCCGCGTTGTTAAAGGAGAAGATCGGCCGTTTCTCGTACGATAGAAGGCTAAGGGGCTACTTTACGAGAATCTATAGAGATAATCCATTTTACAGAGATTCCTCGTCAATTTCTATTAATTTCTACGAATTTACGCGAGAAATCGCGCGGTAAAGGGTGCTTTTTAGATGACGGAGGGGACTTAACTTTAGCACTTTAAAACGGCGCACTACTGCATAAATAGAGATAATTTGCTAGAGGATCGGGGGCGAATTGGTGGCATAGTGGGTGGTGGAATTGACTAAGTGCTAATTCATGGACGCGTTCTGGGTGGGGTCCACGGGTGGACCACTCCCTTACCGAACACGTTAGCAGCTTTGTAGAGAACACAGGTCTAACACCTCTGGTCTTGGCAAGTTGCAACAATGTAGTTTTCGAGGTATCCAGCTCAAAGCCTGGAAGCAAGGACTACACAACCCCCGTTTTACCCCCTCTTCGTCGCTGACCAGAACTGCGTAACTGCCCGTCCCATCAGCAACCGTCCTCACTCCTCACAAGAAAAAGGCAGGCACTCACCATAAGTGAACTTCAGCAACGTCTCCGGCTGCTCGGCATACAGGCTTTCGATGTTCTTCCTTGACGTATGGTCCACGTCGAACCCGAGCAGATCTGCCAGCTGGAGCACTTCCTCCGCGGAGAGCTGGAGAGCGGTGTGGGTGCCCCATTTCAGCGCTGTATATATACACGTCAGCCCGAGTTTGGCGGTGAACGGATCACAAGAAAAGTATCAATGTCAGTGTTCAAGGACGGGAGGACAGTAACGTACGCCCAAGGTTGATCCACACCCCACCAGGCTTTAGCAGACGATGTATGTTGCTCAGGAAGTCAATCGCGTTCTTGGAAATGTCGATGAAGAAGAGCGTGACGACGGCGTCAAACTCACCGTCCCCGGGGAACATCTCCAAGAAGTCGCCCTCGACGAGCTTGACGGCCTTGTTTGGCCAGTGGTCCGGCACCGTTATTGCGGAGTAGCGCGAGGAGGGGTTGGCCTGATGCGTCCATTTGGTCACGAAGGGCTGCAGGGTGTGCTGGTGCAGCGAGCTCGTGTGGTTCGTTAGCAGGTGGTAGGCCAGGATGGAGCTGTAGTCCAGCTCATTGGCCGTGACGTCGTACCCTGCGCCGATGTGAGGCCGCGCCTTCAACTCAATGAAGTAAGATGGACGCACCTAGATCAGCGAGATCGCTTGCCAGCCTGCCCATACCGCTTCCGGGTACCAGCACCTTGTTCCCTCTCCCGTTCCCGCCAAAATGTTGCTCAAGCCCACCCAGAACAGGCGGAAACACGGCCTGCCTCTCCTTTGCGCCCTGTGTGCTCCAATCTCGCGAAAGATGTCCAAATGCCAGGTCCACAACTCCAAACTCCGCGTCTTCATTGTCCTCCAGCGCTCGCGGGCCGGTGTGGTAATCCTCCCTCGCAATCTGCGCGACCTTTTCCGAGAACCGGGCGTTCACTTCAATCCCCTTCCTAGCTTTCTCGAAGTGTGCAGGATAGCCGAGCTTGTTGCTTATCGCCTGCTGCGCGGGCGTCTGCTTGGAATACCGCGCATGCTTCCGCTGGAGCACTTGCTCGGCGAGGAACGGATACTGCTCGAAAGAGTTGATGCAGTGCGCCAGTCCATCGGGAAGGGAGGGATATCTCTTCCTTCTCCCGCCTTTGGGTGCGCTCACGGGTTTGGCGGGCTCGGTGGAAGCTTCGAAGACTTCTTTGGAGATTGGTGCTGGAGGGGCGGCAAGCGGGGAGGTGAGCTCGACGTGAAGGGCTTCGGCGCGCTCGGAGAGGGAGGAGAGGAGAAATGCGATGTCGGACAACGAGGCGGAGCCACGGATGGCGAGGTAGAGGGGGAAGACGATGCAGAGGAGGAGAGCAAGGAAGCGGGAGAGGTAGAGAGAGGTGCGCATCGTTGTTCTTGTGGCTTCAAGATGGACGTGGGTGAGGAGTGTTGGTTCTTGCTGTTAGTAGCACAAGGGGAGCGCGGAAAAGCGGGAAAGGTACCACGAGCGGATGATACAGTAAGACACTGTGTAACTAGGGCAATTTAGGGGCCAATTCGTGGTACTAGAGACGTCTAGTTTCAAGGGAACCAGAGAATTCATGCGCGAGCTCCTTAGGGGTTAATCTAAAAGGCGTGGGGTCTGCTCCGCATCAATAGTTGTGGCCGATCATAAGCATGCTGACCAGGCGACTTCTTCCATCATGCACAGTAAGCTGACTATTTAGGCTATTATTTAATACTGCGACTATCGCGGCCTACTCTCTATTCCCTTCCTGGCTGAATTATAGCCATGGGCCGTTCGATTTCGTTCCTCTGCATACTCGCCGTCCTCGCCGTCCTCCCCAGCGCCCACCTCTCATATGCGCACGAATGGAACGGGGGACAACCAAAAAAGTGTAGCAAGCTGCTGACACGCAAAGAATGGCGGACGTTGACGAATAGCGAGAAAGCCGAGTGGGTGGGAGCTGTCAAGGTGCGCCCTCCTTCCTCCCCGTAGGTAACGCGTACGTTGCTTATGCCGAGTAGTGCTTGTCAAGCATACGACACCAACGGCTATCCTTGACGAAGGACCAGACGGTGCTTGAGGAAAAGAGGAGCCTATACGACGACTTCTCTTACTCGCACGCATCAGTGGAGCACAGCGCGCATAGGAATGCCTACTTTTTGCCGTGGCGTGCGTTCCGTCCCTCCTAGCCTTCCCCAAGCGCATACTTACATGAGCGCAGACCGCTGGTTCACCTACCTATTCGACACCTCCCTCCGCGACAATTGCAGGTACAGTGGGCCAACACCATACTGGGACTGGTCGCGCGATCACGCAGACCTGTTCAGCTCGCCAGTGTTCGAGGACTCACCGGAGTACGGGCTGGGCGGAACGGGGGACTGCGATTCCTCCCCCAAGGCAGACTGTACCGTCACCACTGGCGCTTTTGCCCCGTCCACCGGGAACTTCGAGCTTTCCTGGCCGATCCCACACCCGCTGCGGAGGAATTTGACGCTCATAACCGGCTGGTACCCCCATGAGCTGCCTCAAAACCGCACCCTCGGCCCGGACTTCGTCCGCAACTCGACCGAGAAAACCACGGGCGACTTCTTCAGGTTCCAGTACGCAATGACACTACTGCACAACCACGTACACAATTTCGTTGGGGGCGACTTGGCGGGAGACTGCCCGAAGGTCCTACCGGAGGAGGATTGCCATGGCATGGCAATCAACTTCACGCCTAATGACCCGCTCTTTTGGCTGCATCATGCGCAACTTGACCGGTTGTGGAGTGAGGTGCGCCCCCGAACCCTTACTATCTTCCCGCTCCATATGTCTGCTACAGTACAACGCTACTGACATGAGTTGTATAGTGGCAGCGCCACCACCCATCAAACTTCGCCGCCTTTTCCGGCATTCCCCTAACCCCGCACAATATGACTGACCCACGCTACGACCTTGACGCGCACGCAGATCATCAGATGCCCTTCGACGTTCAGAGTGTGCCCGTGGCGCCGAGGAGGGTGTTTGATACGGAGGGTTGGCCGTTGTGTTATCGGTATACGGACGAGGAGTGACGGGTACTAAACTAGACCGATACCATATCTTAGAGTTCAGTCAGATCAGGGTCACATTCACTCGAGTTGGGGTTCCGCCCCACCTTGCTTCCACTTGCCTGGCTTCTCATTCTTGGTAAAGGGAAACGAGAAGCGAGGTGCCTTGCCCACTAGTTCTGCGCACATAGTTACGTACTCTCCCACACAAACCCCAAAGAATAGTTGTCTAGTTCCATACGACGCATAATCTTTATATTCCCATCCTATACCCACTATATTATTAACTAGACTCCTGAATCCTCGTATACATGTCCGATGTCCAAGCCTTATGCTGGTTTTCCATCCAATCATGCACCTGTCTCCAGTCCCGGCAGGTATGCACAGTTCCTCCGCCGGTAGCGACTTTATCCCCATTAGCCAATTTCATGCTCGTGCCGCCCGGCTCCAGGGTTGTGTCAGCAGCGCAGAGAATGCCCTGCCGTAGGTAATGGAAGCAGTGCGCCGTATGGTCCGACCCGTCATCCCCGTTGACAAGCACCGCGCGTATGTGGTTCAGGCAGTGCATCTGGTGCCACATCGACACACCAAATGCGAAGTGCTCTTCCCCTAGAAACACGAAACCCTTGCCGGGAGGGCGGATTTCGTTCCATTCAGCTGTTGCCGTGATGCCTTCCATCCCATAGTGGGAGGGGTCGTCGTGGAAGGCGGCTTGGATGGTGCGGATATTTAGGGGGAGCTCACGAGGTCGGTCGCCGGTGAGGTAGGCTACTGTGCGTTAGTCAGGAATGCGAGGAGAATCTGGGATATGGCGCACTGTATCCCCGCGTTCCGCGTGTTAAGATGCGGAGTGAGAAAAACAGGGCGCCCAAATTCAGGACGAGGCATACGATCAGCGCTGCGAGCAGGCCGATGGAGGGGCCACGTAATTGGGGTGCAAGGGACTTAGGGAACATCTTGGTGTGCCGGTAGGGCGGTGCGTTGGGGTAGCAGAGGGAGACGGGATTTTGTTCAGCATCAGGAGCGGGCTAATAGTGTTTAACACATCTTTGGCCGTATCCGCTCTGGCTTGGGTGGGCAAGTCACGATGGTCCCGAAGAGCGGGGAAGGACGAGACGCAACTGTCGAGATGCTCTATTCGCCAGAGCCCTTACTCGAAGGATTTTGTCGATGAAGTGGAGAGTGGGAGTAAGCAGAGAAGCACACGCAGGGCAGTTTGTGGCTCCACAAATAATACTACCCTACTCATCACGAAAACCTAGATAGACACCGGGATCACCCTTGGGGTAATTAATGACTACACCGTGCTTTGGGCTTCTTGCTCGCCAGGTGGCTAGTCAATTAAGTTCGAGGGGGTTCGCGGGATGGGTTATCGCGCCCCTCTTACAGTTAGGACTAAAGAGGTAAATGGTAAGAAGTAAGTAAGAATTGTGGGTATTGATTTGCTGCATGCCCCACTCCCGCTTCGGATCGACAGAAATTGTGGGGCGTGCACAAGTACTAATTATCTATATAGCGGATCACACCCTATGCATTACAAATTTACAACTACATGTAAAGCATGCGCTACTCCTCTATTTTTAGTAGTGATCGTCAACCAGACGAGGGGAACATTTGAGTAGGCACTTTGAGTCGGCACTTCAACCCGCTCCTAAATTCAGTAAGCACACTTGTTCTCCGTCGGATCGCGGAACGTATAAATTCCCAAGGGCATGACGAGCACTAACAACATCTCATCAACGACCCACCTCTTCGCTTCCCCCAACGAAAGCATCCGCTCACCGCCAAACTCCAACAATGCATTTCACCCTCACCCTGCTTAGCCTCGCCAGCCTCGGCCTGAATATCCTCCCTGTCCAGTCCGCAGCGGTTCCCACCGCTGATTTGGCTCGCCGCGCTGAGGAGTCAATTAACCATGTCCATATTGCTGACACGGTCGAGAAGCGGCACCGCTATCAGTTGGATGAGGATGAGAACGCACTCGAGAAGCGGCACACCTACGGAGTGGATGAGGATGAGAACGCACTCGAGAAGCGGCACACATACGGAGTGGATGAAGACGAGAACGCACTGGAGAAGCGGCACACCTACGGAGTGGACGAAGACGAGAACGCACTCGAGAAGCGGCACACCTACGGAGTGGATGAAGACGAGAACGCACTCGAGAAGCGGCACACCTACGGAGTGGATGAAGACGAGAACGCACTGGAGAAGCGGCACACCTACGGAGTGGACGAAGACGAGAACGCACTCGAGAAGCGGCACACCTACGGAGTGGACGAAGACGAGAACGCACTCGAGAAGCGGCACACCTACGGATTGGATGAGGACGAGAACGCACTCGAGAAGCGGCACACCTACGGACTGGATGAGGACGAGATCGAGCACGTCTAGACCCTCCTCGGCTGTGGATAACAGAAGTCTCGCATGGAGCGAACTTTACAAACGTCTATAACGAGCGCCGCAACCCACCAACTTTGCGCCCTCTTTGAGGGTATTCCGTTCACCACGTTTGTTACATAGCAGTATACATATATATAAACAGAGTATATCAAGCGGTATCTCGGCTATCTTTTCTGCATGTACGTGTATTATGTCCAGTCTCTCTACACATTGTACGGCGCGCTAGAGCCGGGGGACTAAGTTCCGATTGCTCTCTTCCTTGACGCTCTTCACGAGCGATCTGCTTTCGCTTTGACACTGCCTCGTTAGCCTTCTCAAGGCTAGCGATCCGATATATATCTACGTTGATCTAGGTCGAGTAGATACCTGACGATTACCTCGTCTTCTGGCTAGGTAAGCTTTTTAAGTTGGGATAAAAGTCGCGTCGGGTAGGTACACCAGCGCGTCGGCGGCGGATCGTTCATTCAGACACGCTATAGATAGCAGTAGTACTACGATGATTACTCTGGATTTAATGGAAATGAATAGAGGAGCTAGCAAGCTGGATATCTGCTTGATTTCAAGCTAATAGAGTGCCGTTGCGTTGAGCCATTGTACGTTAAGATGAGAGAGGGGCGCAAAGTTGCACTTTTAGAAGCGAACCACACATGATAATTGCAGGACATGACAGTTCTCCCGCCTGAATCTACAGGTACTCATCTGGCATCGGGATAAGGGTCTCGTTGTTAGCCGCACACATAGCCGGATGCTCCTCCGGAAGAGCCTTCATGTCAGCCATCTTGACGTCGGAGCACTATCTTTGCATCAGCATCAGCTCTACTATTGCAAGCCGGAGTAACTGACATAGTGTTCCACATTCCCCGTCTTCGGATCCCTTGCCTCGAAGTATATGACTCCCATCTCGTCGACCTTGGTCTGAAATGGTATCGTGACATTCACACACAGCTGCCCCGAAGGCTGGATGGGCACATCCTGCAGGATAACGTAGGGGAAGTCATCTTTCTTCCTTGGCACTCTATTTCGGGTATAGAGGGCCGTCACAAGGTCCCCAGGATGGCCGGAGAAGGAGAGGAAACTGCGGGAGTGGCGGGAGTATCGTTGGGGGTTATGCACTATCTCCCCTTCTCTGTATCAGCCTACGCTGCTGCTAGACCGGAGACAGTGAGGAACATACCGCAGAAAGGGTTGTACCAATCTATCTCTGGCCGGGTCTTGGGGTTTGGACCGCGGGTCATCCATGGGAACTGGACGTGGAAGCCGGCGTGCGCGGCGGATGTGAGGTTGATGCTGATACTGAGGGCAACCAGGAAGGTGATTGCAGCGAGGAGGCAGGGCATGGTGGACAGAGGTCAAGTGCAGCACGGTGCAGAGAGCGAGGGCAAGATGAAGTGTGCTCAGACGGTCTAACTCCCTTCGGGCCCTTCCTACCTGCCAGAAGGAGCCGTCACGGTCACACCCCTAAAATGGCTGGTCGCCGAGTTGGATGGCGTCAGATGGTACACGTGGGCAGTTATAGAGGTCGACCCGTCCCCGCCTCCTTGGACGCGATGATGAACGCACAGGGGTCTGTTTGGCCATACAGAAGGGCCGAGTTTCTGATGCAATGTAACTTTACTAACTTTGGCGAGCGCGGTGAACAGCAAGGCGTACCAGGCCTCATGCAGTCCTACTTTCTGGGCGGTTACCTGGCACAGGCGCCATCGCCTGCTTTACCGTTACTTGCTTTCACCCACGGCGCGCTCTCTCTCTCCTCTCGCTCGCTCTGCTCTTCTCTTTGACCGCCCCTCGCCATGTCCTCCTCCAAAGCAAATCCCAGCTTTTCCCAATATGCGCCCCTTTCGCTACACGATGATGACGAGGGCTCCAGCGCAACTCCTGAGAAGCGCTCCTCCGAGGACGACTACTCTGCCCCCTTGTTGGAAGCCTCTGACAACCTCCCCGCCCTCGCGCCATCCAAGCCCGCCGAGCTGCCCAAGCTCATCCTCTACTTCTCCTTCGCCCTAGCGCTGCTATCGGCTGTGAATGTCGCTCTCCTTCCCACTACACTATCAAAGTACCAAGCCTACCCCTTCTCTGACTCTGACCTCGAGGCCCTCCCCTATGGCGACGCTAGGCTGGGATTGGACAGGGCGGCGAAATTCATCCCCCCTCCCCAGGTCTATCACCACGCTTGGCCGGATAGAATTGCACGGGTGAGCCGCCATTTGAAGAATGCCGTGTGGGGTCAGGGGGTGCAGGTCTATGTTACTGTCGAGGTCCGTATGCCATACTTGCTCCTTCCTCATTCTCTTCAATAAGCCACCCACATATTCTCCGTGTCTACCACTCTGTGTGCAGTTGCTGACGCAAGAGAAGGACTCGACAATCATGCGCTTCCCCATCCCCTCCACCGGCGTCAACGCCTGCGCACTCTCCTGGCGGCCGCCTCCCGAGTTCTCTGCACGTGCTAAGGACCTCATAACCAAAGGGGATATAACGGAAATTGAAGTCTGGCAGCTCATCGCACCCTCGGCCACCTCGGCTACCGTCTCTTCCACTATGGACGAGCTCGATTATGATACCTTGTCATATTCGACCCTTCCCGTGCGCGGAGAGCTGCTCGGCGTCCTAGACCTCACAGCAAAGCCGAACAGCACAACACTGGAGTTCGCCTGTCCCAGCGGGGCGGAGAGTCTAGTGGTGGAGATGAAGTGCCAGCGCGTGGCTTGTCATGTGAACTTTATGCAAATTAATATAGCGCCGAGTTTTGGGTTTGAGTTGTTGAGAAGGAGGGAATGAGCGGGGCAGGTTGGCTATATTGCTTTAATCCAGCGTCATTGTTCACGTACAATGGATCCCGTCTCTAGGTATGTCTGGCGACTCTTCGAATTAGTGGTCACCTGTAGCCCCAGTACACTCACCTAATCCAGCGGCCTACTGCGCTGAGGGTTCTCCCGCACATGGAATTGGACCTATATGTTGAACACTGGTGGGCAGGGCCAATCTGTTAGATATGTTGTCTGATTCTAGGAATTCTATAGAAAGAGGGCAATTCAGGGACTGGCCCCCACTGAGTCAATCTAAAAAGCGGGGTAGTGGGGCAGTAGCTTGGGAATTGATAATAATGTGACATCCGTATTCTTTTACTATTGCGATAAAGCCTCGGCCCCACTAGCCTGCCGCTTTTGAATTTTACCTTGATAACCTTGGAACTACCCTATCCACTGAAAGATCCTAGATAACCCCCCCAAACTTTAGCGACTCTAGGCATTCTAATACCTAACACTCAATATCATTAGCCCCCATTGACACTACTTAGAGTCCCCTAAAAATGATACTATTCAGAGTATTCTATCAACCTTTTTTTTATGATTTTTTCAACTTTAATAGCTCAGATAAACTTTTTAAAGGTACTCTTCGAATTTTATTATACGTTAAGCGAGCCCACATAAACAGTCAATCCTAAACAACAAAGAACTTGAAGTTTTCAAGGAAATTGCCGGCAGAATATCCCAGAGTTATCTTGATCTGAATACTCCGGTAGATGCCTGAAAGAGTGGGGAGGGGGCTTTTTCACAATAGTCAAAGAATATGTCACAATATCAAACCCCAGTAGCTTACCCCCATACTAATTTTCCGGTAGGGGTGCTCCCAGGGGACCCTCTAAGTCTGACACTGTAAGATGTCCCCATCCGCAACTCTTCAGTTGCTACAATAAAGGCTATAGCTCCAATTTCCATCACCTAGTTACGCAAAACCCACTCGGCCGTCTTGTGTCCAACACCCGTCGAGCACAACATGTCCACTCAACTCGACGCCGCCTCTATCGCCCGTGTCTCCTTACACGACCCCACCCACTTCAGCATCCAGCACTCCCAAACCTTTCACCGCCTGGTGCTCCTGCAGCACTGGAACATTCCCACTGACTCCAAGGTGCTGGAACTAGGATGTGGGCAAGGGGACTGCACAACTGTCCTTGCCTATGCTGTGGGGGAGCAGGGGAGAGTGGTGGCGGTTGATCCGGCGGAATTGGATTATGGTGAGTCCTCTAGCTTTTCTGACCCTGCTGCCTGTCCTGGGGATGCGAGCGGAAAGCAGCCGACTGATGGCTCCTTCAGGTGCCCCGTATACTCTCGGCCAAGCACAGGGTCACATCTCGCAAGGCCCGCTGGGTGGGCGGATTACTTGGGTCCAACAAACCCCCCTGGACTACCTCTCCTCTCTCTCCTCCCCCTCTTCCACCTCCTCACCGCCCGCCGGCGAAAGTAAGGCCTTCGACGCAACAGTGCTCGCCCACTGCCTATGGTACTTCGCCTCCCCCTCGCTCATCCTTTCCACCTTCCGTGCCCTCAAGCAGCACAGTAAGCGTCTCCTCCTTGCTGAGTGGTCGTTAGTAGCGACACACCCCTCCGCCCAGCCTCACGTATTAGCTGCGCTCACCCAGGCAGCGCTGGAGTGCCGTAAACCCAAGAACAGCGACTCGAACGTCCGCACGGTGCTGGGGCCAAAGCGGCTTACCGAGCTCGCCCTAGCTGCCGGGTGGCAGCTGGAGAGTGAGACCCTCGTGCAAGGTGGGGAGGGGTTGTTGGACGGACAATGGGAAGTCTCTGCTTGTCTTTCTTCCTCTTTCGAAAGGGAAGTAGAGGAGCAAGTGAGTGATGAGAGGGAACGGGCGGTGGTTCTTGCGTCACGGGATGCGTGTGAGGCGAGCTTGGAGGGTATAGAGGGGGGTCGGAAAGGAGTTAGGGCCATGGATGTTTGGGTTGCTAATTTCGTCTGATTGGGCGAGCTGAGCGTGTCCCAGCCCTCTTCCAAGCCCGATCTCTTAATCTAGGACGGGTGTCAAACATCGAGTTAGAACGTTTGAACGATGTAAATCGAGATTTGCCGTGGAAGATTGCTTGAAAAATATGTCCTGCGGCTTGCGGATGCTGCCTCGGACCGACCTTCATAGGTCAAATATCAATTGAGGGGTTTGTGAATAGAAGCCATTTCTCGTCGTGAATGGATACCGATTGACAGTGGTTTGCTCTTCTCAATGCATTGATTTGGATATGCAATGAAAAGGTAACGAGACTATCGGAGAATCTCTTCGGGCTCACTACTTTGAAGTCATTACTCGATTGGTAGTACTTTAAATGGGTGAGCGGTGGTGCTGTGGGAATCGTAGAGGCCTGGCGAAGATTGCGGCCTAGTCACCCTTTCGACCGAATCAGTGCCTCTGGTTGGATGATGGAATGCTGTCGGAGTCTATGTATGTTCTATTAAGAGAAGGGCCTCGAGATTCACGCCTGGCTACAGTGTTGAGAGCTCCAGGGCTGGTTGTCAGGCTTACACTAGCTATTGACGATCGCGAAGAAGAGCGCAATAATCCAGTCGCTCGACAAATCAGCCCATTTAGACATCCAAAAAGACTAACTGAGAAGAATAACTGAGAAGTCTCAGACAGTACCACCAAAAAAGACATTTAAAAAGACATCTGAAAAGACTACCATAAAAGACTACTAAAAAGACTACTAAAAAGACTACTAAAAAGACTACTAAAAAGACTACTAAAAAGACTACTAAAAAGACTACTAAAAAGACTACTAAAAAACGACTTGACAAGGCCGCATAAGCGGCCGACTATTCTTGTCTTATATACTTTCAGAAGTAGGTACGGAATCAGCACTTACTTAAACCCCAATGAAAGGCTCAGTGGCATTCGGCGACCCTCGCTGTTCTACTTCATCACCTCCGCTGCTCCCTGGTGGAGGGCTTGTAAAACCCTGTCTAGATGAGCCCAGATTTTGCATCTGTATGCCAAATGACTCCTCAACTCGGCCATTAATAGCCCGACTCATGCCACTCGAAATGTCTCCAATCTCTCTTTCAAGGTCGGTTTTGACATCGTGTTTCAACTGCTCCTTCTTCTTGTCCCTCTTGACATCCAACCACTTGAAACATCCAGCCAGGAGGAATACGCTCGCAAAAAGTGAGACACCTAAACTTATCGCGCTGATTATAATAGCCCAAGGTGGGGAAGGGCTATATGTCTCAGCAATTCTAGAAAGTATTAGCTAGAACTAAGCCTTTTATACAATGATGTGAAATAAACTACGTACCTGAATGTGCAAGAATCTGCATATATCCCATTGGTCCAATTTGTGTTCACTCTCACAATGAACTGACTTCCATCAAAAGGGTAAGATGGATTGATAGGTTGCCTAGGAATTTTAATATTTGTCGATGATCCTCCACATTGCGGGTGTGGTTTATCCACTTCCGCAACTATAGCTCCGTTTGAGCGAAGATCTGCAATCGGGCGGACAGCAGCATAACATTCCTCATATCCGGGAGTGCCAGTGAAGGTCCAAGTAAGAAAAATGTCTTTGTCAGGAGTAAGAGTGGATCCGCAAACATCGATATCGACTTTATTGAGATAATATTTTGGTTCCTGGCTTGCAGTATTTTGAGAAAGCGGGTTCAGGTTATATTGCGACATTTGTATTATATTAGGCTGTAAAAACTAGGAAGCCGGAAGTTAAATATTCGAAGCCAGAAACATGTTAGATTATATATGTTAACTAGGTGGCAAATGAACACTTCTGAGACAAATACCATGGTTTTCAATAGACGTCTGAATGATGGGCATATTATTTAATTGGAGACAAATTTTGGCCAATTTACTACTGGTTTCTCTACTTCCCAGAGTGGCGTCATATAGGCTAGTAAACTTATTTACCTCTTTCCTCGTGGCCGTTTGCGGAAGGTCTGAAAGGTGTCTAGCCAGCTGGGCACCTTGGAATTCTCACCTCTGCCAACCACCCGGACTCCGTCCACATAGTCGAGCTGGTGTGATTGAAATCCCGGCCAATTAAGCAGGTAAGAGACTTGCAAATCAGCGTTCTGTTCGTTTGCTCTCTATAGGGACTTTCTCTCGCTTCTAGATTGGATCTGTCGTCTACAAACGCGGCCATAGGTACAGCTGCCAAGAAACATATTGATTACTAGCCTTCTCAATAACCGCGGCCTCATGGACATAGTTACTCTTAGAAACATTTGACTATCGATTTTGAGAACAGTTTCGCTAACTACAAAAGAAGGGTTGTGAAAAGAACAGCGACAAACTAATAAGCAGTAGCTTGATATAGATAAAGTCAAAATTGAGGTTTTTGCCCTACCTCAATGAACGCCATTGCAGGCTGATGAGCTGGCCACGCCACTATCTCCCTGCCTTTACTCGTTCCTCTATGAGCCTCAGTGTAAGCATACCAGTTCGACCAACCAGTTGAAGACACGGCAATGTGTAAGTCACATATTTCGTGATGCTTGTCTAAGACCGGAAGAGTCTGGATCCATAGCTTCGTGACCTGGCTGTCTCCAGACATTGGCACAACGGGCGGAAATTGCAATCCCTTGACTTCCGACAAGTGCTGATGGGGAACCTCCACTTGCGACCAGTCTTGTTCCGCAGTCCAATGCAAAGATTTGGAGGTGCCTCTGTTATCCATCTCGAGTCTTATTGAATGACTATATACCTCTTCAACTCTTATAAGCATTCCGAGGACGACTTCAGAGACCGGTTTATCCCCAAGTTCTCCTGTCTGACGTATTTTCTTGATGTTTTCTTTGCTTTTTCGCAATTCTGCACGAGCATTCGCGTCAATTGTCGCTTCCACCTTCATACCCATATAATTTGGGTCAGCAGAAAGTTGAAAGATAGTCCCGACGTGCCCGTAAATATCCTTTCGAGTTATGGTTGTCGTCTCTTGAAAAGATTCAGTTTTAAATCGGGATTTCGGATTTCGGCTCAATTCAGTGACATGGACCACCCATTCAACAGGCTTGTAGACAACCATTTCGCCACTGACATTATACCAGGGTGTCGAAAAAACTCCATATCTCCGGGTAGTGCCCCCCCAAAGCTGGCAGTGAGTGGAGGCTTTATCAGGAATTTTGGCAGATGAGGCAGCGTGGACTCGCTAACCCCGAACCATTCCTGGAGGCCATCCTTGTTTATTTGAATGTTGCCTTCAGTGGAATCATGGAGAGGTATGGATATTTTTGGGATGTCGCCGTAATCGTAGTAGTATTGGCCGGAATTGCGTTTTTTAACATCAGGGAAAGAATGAAAAGAAGAAAAGCGAATCCTAGGCGCTTCAATCAGTATAGAAGCTTTCTTTCTAAAGGCGCTCAATCGGGCTATCCCGAACATATTGCGATGCTTCTGGGACAGCATCAATCGAGATTTTGTCCAAGCGAAGAGAACTAAGAACGGTTGAACGACTTGTTCATTATTTAAACCAAGATTTGCAAATCATTTCGCCGCTACTCGAGCTAGCGAATTCGTTCTAGAGTGGTCACTCGTGCACTGCTGAGAAAGTGACTACTAAAAACTTAATCTCATCCGTACGATGGTGGCGTTGGCCCGGGCTTGATCCTTCAAACATAGGTTGACTTGGCTGGTGACCACATATATAATACCGGAGCGGCCATCGATAACAATCATTGGCTGGGTCCGTTTTAACGTGTCGTCTTGGTACGGTGTTGCTCACTGCAATAGTGACGCAATCATTCCGCACGAGGCGCCGATTAACGTCTGCAAAGTAAGCTCAGCTAACCAAGGTCACCGCTCAGTACAAATACTTTATGCTCAGTAAGCGTCCCCTGTTGGAAGCCAGTTGGATGAAATAGAGCCTTAACTACGGCTACAGTATGATGCCCTGGGGAGTGCAAAGCAGTTGGAACGCCGGCAAAGGGCGGTCGCTCTAACATTGCCAGGTCGGTTTCACTCCTAATTAGTGTTTGCCTTGTTTGTATGTAGACCTTTGACTAGGGAAGTCAAAAATGAAATTTCGAAATTTCGAAATTCCTGAAATTTGGCAGCTTGAAAAGAAATTTGAAATGAGCCTTGAAATCCTGAAATCGGACTTCAAACAATTCCTGCAGTCAGTAATTTAAACGCTGATCTCGATTCTGCAGGATGTTGGAATTCCTGGTATGCAAGAATTGCATTGTGATTCATAGTCCATAAGGCACTTTGAATTAGGGCTAGCGTTGAGATCCTATTCCATGTAAATTGCTAGGAATTAACTGGGATTCTAAATACTTACGATAGAAGAGACGACGTCATTCTAGGGACAGGTTCTATAAGACTTCAAAATTTCAAAATCCGTAGGAAGGAACAGAAGAAAGATCGTACACAAAGCAATAAGACAGCGATAGATAGTAAATTATCAGAAAGAATGGAGTTATCGAACGTGGGCTAGCCCCATACTACTGGCCTATGAACACAACACATTTACGTAGCCGTATCTATCAGGGTGGTACCTTGCTGCACTAAGGTATTCTGCTGCTCGGTCAAGGTGTGGGCATCCTTGCTAGTAATCTTGCGAGTGGAACGGGGGTAGAACTCATCAAGAGTACGCTTAGGAATACGGTTCAGGAGCTCCCTGGGGTAAATGCGGAGTAGTGCCAAGTTTGAGAAGCCTGGCAAGTACAAGAGCAGTGAGATGGTTGTTGACTCTGAACGAAGAGGCGGCTGGGTCTGCTGCCGAAGACAAGGACAATCTGTTTGGCGACGAGGACGACCCGGCTAAAGAAGCTCTGATTATGATGAAGACTCTAGGTATTACGTGTAGTATTTGTTTTGATGGACAATAAATACCGTATTTATTTATGCTCTCCAGTATGTGGGTGTAATGCCATAGGGAGGTATAGGAGACCTCATCCAAAACAATGACATTCGAAATCTATTACCTTCGGTATTTGGATTGGCACCAGCGGACAAGAGCAGCCAACAAATTCTTCACGGACTTACAAGAGATACGTTGCAGCGGAGGATGCAACCATGACCGTAAATGCAATCAACCGCCAGTTCAGCTTACCAATAAATGATCGACGACTGTTAGTGTATGACGGCTACAATATACAAGAACATTATTCATTTGGCCTACAACCTCAGAGCTTATCTCAACGACTTCTTTCCTCAGGTTCGACAGGGGGTGTTATCGTTACAACCAATAATCCGAAGGCGGAACTGGGGGGAGCTAAAACGCATGGAAAAGATTACTGATATCAAACGATGTCTTGAGATTCTTGACCTGGTGTCCGAAAGACCGGACTCAGTGGAAGGGACGTTTATTGTACTGATGATACTCTGTCCACTTTGATAGAAATTGAAGCTAATAGCCAAGGCGGTAAAATTAATGTATAGTAAAATAGGGTTTGAGTTTGAGGTTGGGGCGGGTGGCGACTGCCGTAGCGGCCGTAGTGGGGCCGGCCGCCTGACGCGTGCCGGTTGTAACCATTTGATCGCGGGGCGAGTCTTGTCAAGGCCTAGGCTCAACTTAATATAAGTATTGGGGTTTCGAACCAGAGATATTTTCACGGTGATAAAATGAGTGCTTCATAGGCATTGGATGAAGAAGAACGTGGATGACGCGCGGGGTTTATGTTACATGGTGACATCAGGTCTATTCATACCGTTGCCTCTCTTACGTGCCTTGTGGCCGCCTCTCCGGGTGGTCGAAGCTGCAACCAAGCCATGACGGAAATCTATGATAGAAATCCATGGCCACTCTCCAGCTGGCATTGGAAGAAGTTTAGGTTTTAAGATAAACTTTAGTTAACATACTACTATTTTAGTTCTTTTGGACAAAATCATGATGTAGAAGACTATGAGTATAATATCATACCTTTTCCGTGCATCTCCGCTAATTATACTCAGTCAATATGGGGTATACGAGATATAAATATAAGTAATATTTAATCTGTCCCTCTGCCCAACAATCTTATCTTTCTTCACCTTCTGCTTCTCTGATGAACGTCAAGAACATTATCGTCTGACCTCTTAATATAATCCTACTTACAGTGAACCCAAAAACCACAACAAAATGGTGGCTGCCAATACAGTTGATTTCTACGCTAAGGCAAACTACGAGAGCCCGGCGAAAACCGCCAATCTCAGAGAAGTCGAGCATCAGAAATTAGGAACTAGCTATCTCTCCGGCAAACTTGGAGATGGAACGAAGCTACTTGTGTGGAATCACAGCGACTACTCCGATAGCAAAGAATTGCACAGCGACCAGCCAAACCTCCCAGCCGACAAACACGTGCAGTGTTATCAAGTCCTTGCAGGCACCACTTCTGTCGTTAGGGTCCGTTTTAAGGATGCCACTGGCGGGGAAAAGGGTCAATATTCTCTTCTATTGAAACTCGCCCAAATTGGTGATGTTACAGTCTGGTCAGACGAGTCGGACAAATACTCGATTGCCGGTACTATTCCCCGGGATGGTACAAAGGTAACAACCGCCTTGTATGTCCGGGATAAGAAGAGTGGTGTATATGTTGTCATCGGATCAATCTATTTTCAATGGGACAATGACAAGCAGAAAGTTGTGATTTTGGATCAGGAAGGCTGGCCGAAGAACCAGCTCAAGCATGAAGACGATGGTGACAACAATTTTACCATCACCTTGATTTCGACTACGCAATAATCTTCAACAAGATATTCGCTGAGAGGTTGGAGAGGACAGAAGATATGGGGACACTGTCAACTTGATTGTATATGTGAAAGGGATGGTTGTGTATTTCCTACTGTGTCTTTTCCTGCCTTGGTATGGGTTTTGTCCTACAAGTGGGTTTTCCCGTACTGTTATGCAAATGCAGAGGCAATGAATCATTCGAGAATGCTTCTTTTGATATTGGAATAGGATTGCGATCACACCAAACTCAAAGTTTTTATCTCAGCTTTATAACAACATACTAGGTCGGTTACTTACTCAATGATGCCTGGACAAAAAAAAGGCTATGACGTGTTGAATCCGTTTTTGGCACGATATATTCTATGCAAAATTTTCTACGGCAGTCTGTTTCTAGGTGTAGTGCGCTTCGCACGTAGGAAAGCAGCTTGATCATGAACATTACGTTCAGATGATTTTAGCTAAAGACGAGAAATAGATCTTTTCCTAGACTCGTAGTCTTTGCATCCAGGTTGAAGGCTTGGAAATACCCGTTTCATCATTCTGTCTGTCACATTGGCTTCATCGATAAGGCTACGATTCTCTTCCTGTGCACATAACCGCATTTTCGAAACAACTCCATTACATGATACCTGTGGAGAAGAGTGCAGTAAATTTCCCAAACCTTTTAGGTTTTCAATGATTGCGAATTTTTCGTATCATGTGGCATAGTCGGAGACTCTCCAATTCTGAACCTGAGGCCATGAACTTGAGCACTGTAATGCTTTTTTAAATGCAACCATAGAGCTAGAACCGGCAATTTGAGCTAAAATTGTGTAAGAGGCATGGGTAACCTTGCAGTTTAGCTCTAGCACATTGGCAAAATACGAGACTACGCGAGTTACCAATCAGAAAATCAGAAAGCTATAGGGATCTAGCTAAGTCATTGTTGTCCAAACCACCGCGATTTCACATCACATGTCGAGCCTAGCACTAAGGTGTTTAAAAACCGTTCCTCGCTGAGGGTAGGGTAGACTTCGCCATAAACCGCAATTGGGGCCAAACCCTCGCCCCAACCCCCAAACCGCAACCGCACCGGCGGATTTTACTGGGCCCGATTGGGGCCCCAAAAAAACCAATAAATAAACTATTTTGCATAATTTTACATAAGATTTATCATAATTAATTACCATATTTTTATCACCTACGACCTTAAATTACTACTAAATTAAAGATATATCTAGATTTATATATGTATAATGTTTACCAAAATTACTAGTAATAAATCATTTGGGGCCCTAAGAACCATTGTGGGTGCATGGACGTTTTAGACCCACTTAATCCCGTGTGGGGGTGGGCCTTGGCAGGAACTGGGGACATAAATTGGCATCAAGGCATCAAGATACAGTGTACAGACTACGTACTCCGTATACAGACACACACATTCTTCCCGCTCACCCGCTTAGACTGCGCTGCAAACCCCAATTGGGGGCGAAACCTCACCCAAAAATATGGCGAAGTTTTTTGGTTTCAACCTGCCCTTCTGTGAAATTGCTCCTTTTTGGACTGGCACTGGGCATGAGCTTTTTGATGTGGCTGGATGTGATTGAACAGGTAAGAAATGACACCTCACTTTCTTTTTGTACTACTAACAGTAATTTACAGTGTCAAATTATTTGGGCCATGCGGAATTGCTTCCAAGGACAAGATCCGGAACAGCCTGGGGCCGGACTCAATTTCAGAGATGAGTGTGAGTTGCGCGATTGCAGCCCTCAAGCATAATGTCAAGTGCCTTTTGCCTGTTGATGGGAAATCAGAATGTGCAGTATGAGCTAGGACTGGATCGGGAGGTGACATGAATTGAATACATAGTAGTGAACAAAAGCCTATGAGTCCCCGCGTATGCAAAGAAGACCTTTCAAGTTTAGTACTAAGATTAGAACGCGAGAAGTGGTTCTTCACTATAACTCCTCACCTCTCCCTAGCTGTCTTCTTGTTTCTTTTCTAGCGTGACATGTACCTTATGTCTCATTACTATATGGGGTAGTTGGAACTTTCCATATCAATGTGAACAAGTCAAACATCAGGAGTTGGAATGGGCCTTGAGAATCTGGCAATCTGGCAAAGATGTCACTTCCTTCTACCACCACTCTCACCCGTTCCCAATTCCAGTACCTCCTCATTGTCAACATTTGCGGCCCAGCATAATGTTAAACCTTCGAAGCTTTTTCTGTCCACGTCCATCTTTCTACTCCTAAGGAAACGTTGCACTACCCCATTCTTGACACCATGGTGGAAACAGCACTATTCTTCAAACTGATCCAAGTGACCGAGATTTACTTCATTGAACACCCACTCATGTTCCCAATGTACCAATTATGGGCTGCGAGATCAAATGTGGTTTGGCCGAGGTTCCCAGATTTGTTATCAATGCCCACAATCACCTGGATATCAGTGGTTGTGACTGGTGCGCCATTAGGTGAGGTAATCCAGTATTCTGGGGATGTTGTACTATACTGCCAGGTCTTGTTGACCATAGCAGTCGTAGATAGGATTCTAGGCACCGGATCATCGGTATGAGTCACCCTCCATCCGGTGTCTAATGTTTGACCAGTGACAAATTCAGAAAAACTATAATTCCCCAGTTGAGGACATCCAAAAGTATACTAATGTCTCATTAGCGCTTTGTCCGGATAGATTTTCATATCTTGATTTCGCTGTGGTACTTACGAGACCGATGGGTCTGTTGGCACTTCCTTCAAGTACTGCCCCAAATGTAGCAAGGGCGCCTCCAAGACTGTGACCAGTAAAAACGATACTGTAATCTGGATATTCAGCAGCTACATGGTCGATAGACGGCATTATGAATTGTGAGAAGTTCCCCCAGGCGTAATAGAAACCACGATGAACTTGGCAATTTGGACAAATAATTTCATCGATAGGCACCTGCTGATATTCAAGATCTGTGATGATGTTTCCTGGCGTTCGGGTGCCCCGGAATGACAGAACGATCAGCTTATTGGTCCTATCAAGTGCTAGGAAGCCAGTGGTGTCACCCGGATTAAGTCTATATAACATTAGCCTTCAAGTCTATGTCGATGTGATAGCTGCCATACCCCTTGAATCCAGTTATGATGGTTGTCTCTGTCTGCTCTAGGGTCGGGCATACACCTGGATCGCATACAACCCCTGTCCCTTTTGAGTTAAAGTTTGCTGCACAAGTAGCTGCAGCGCAATATTCAGAAAATAGAGTCAAATCGGCTAAAATTGCAGCGGAAACATCTAGGTTGACGGTTAGTATTGAAAAAGTGAAGTGCCTTTCCACTGACCTTGGCCTCCCGGACAAGCATGTGCAGGCATCATTGCGAAACCCAGTGAGAAAAGAAGAACACCATAAAGTACGGTTTCCAGAAACATTTTTGAACAAAGATAATCGTGACTTGGTACCTTGGAGGAACAATTTCCAATAATTCTTGTTGAAATAGTACATATAATGTTGGACTGATGTGGTGCTAGAGAACCATGCGAAAAGTGGCTAAATATACTTGAGGCACAAAGCCCGGAAATAATAGGCTCAGAGGAGGTTGTGGAGGCGACTACCGCGCCTTGGTCAACAGACATTGATGTCACCAGGCTGTTGAAAACTCCTCGAAACTTTGCACTAACAGGTTAAAAGCATGGGCTCAATACACGGTTGGGATCGCGCTTTTGCGCCTTGTACTGCCTCATGACCTCTCTTCCGTTCGGTACTTGGGGCTTCGTTAGGCGTTTTCTACGTCTACGTGTGCTAATTGGGAATAATACAGTGGGTGTTGGATCCCAATTTGATCCTTGTTGATGGAGGCTCAACATAATCGACTACGCCTTATCTTTTGGTTTAGGATATTTTGAGTCGCTTTGATGAGGCGCAGGGCGGAAACTCTGTAGAGTCGATGACTTTTACGAAATAGCTTGGAGGCTTTGGCTAAGACGTAATTATCGGAAAACTGTTTCTGGCAAAAGACAAGCCTGGGTTTTTTCAAGTACAGTACCCGCTCTCAGTAACTGTAATATATGGTGTACGTACCAGATGTCTGTTGGAATCAAAGACTATCCCATCTATAGACAACTAAAGGCGTTCGTTATAATCCAAAAGTGTAAGCTGCCGGACAAGCGATGTCAGGTTTCATTGACTACCAAGATTTATGGTTGTATAATGCTCATTTTGAAGAACCTTGGCTGATTATATATTGTCACCAGAGTGAAAGCAGCTTTTGTGATGACTTTATGATGAGTTTACAATGAGCAAGAACTGTCACAAATGATGATGCCTTGTTGATATCAGCGTACAAACTGCGGACACCTTAGTGTTTTAGACATACACCTGATCTTTGTAACTAAGATATGACTTATTTTGAAACAGTGTAATATCAAGCAGCGAAAATACTGTATGAACCTCTGCATTTGCATCACGGTATAGGGAAAACCCAACAGAGTAAGGAGAAAAACCTATACCGAGGTCCACCTTAAATTAGACGAAAAGCAGAACAAGCCCTTTGAACCAATACCACGACTAGAGAGTGATTATTTTGACATCATCTACGTAATGTCCGTCGAAAACCACACTGAGATCAAAATGAACCCAGAGTTCATTCGAATTCTGCAGGTAAAACCGTATTTCGCCCTTGACAGCAATTAGGTTAACCTGGACGGAGATCCCAGTCTTAAGGCTTCCGGTCAGAGTGCCCAGGCTAATTCCGAGTACGGCAACTGAAATTGAGGCCTCGTAAGTGCCAGTATCGACGTAGCCGGAGACCTATTAATTAGCATGGTGTAAGCGACCAATATTCTAGAGTAGAAAAAGAGATTGAATATTCACAGTGAGAACTCCGAAAAAGCTGATTGGCCCGAAGTTGATACGGGCTTCAGGTTGTGGCGATACAGCCTTGAGAGAAGATGCAGTAGCTTCTGCATCAGATATCTGTGTAGCATAATAAATACCAGTTGCTGGCTGGTTGAGTTTGACAACGGCGCCTAGAGTCCACAAGTGTGAGTATCAAGGACGTATTTCAGTAATAGCAGCCTGATCACCTTCAACATAGCCGGACATTTTGTTCTTGCTTTGCAGAATATCGGGATTTTGTTGACTCAAATGGTTTGGATTAATGAAGAAGTGTTCATGAGTTGAAGCAGCCAGAAGCCTGCTGACCTGCGTGACTTTATAGTTTAGATCTCGCTAAGAGGCAGGTCAATCATCGCCTTCATAGAGGTACTTTCTGGGTGGAAACGGCCGAGAACTGGACCCAGCCTTCAGAGGGCCCTCTTTAGTGCTCCCGCAAAAAACGTTACAAAGAATCATTTCGTAGTGATATAACCATCAGGCGCTGCCCCAACCCTTGTGCCCGGAACCGAAATTGTCTATTTCTTGCTAGATGCAGAGTGGCTGGATCTAGAACAGTACAAAGTAGCAATAGTAAATCGTTTATTATGAGGGTGGCGATTTAAGTTCGTTTCCCGCAACGTAAAGGAATCAGGCGCGCGGCGCAAGGCTCAAATCCAAGGCCTAGAGGATTTCTCTTTACTTGTGACACTTTCTTTCAAGGCGACTGAGTTTGTTCTATCTTGATCCGTCAAATTTATCATTCAAAAGTACCTCCTCGAACTATGTGCATGATAGTGTTAGCAATTCCGTGGAAAGGACTTGCTGCTTTTTACTAATTATTTCATCTGGAGGAAAAGCCCATAATGGTATATTAATATTCAAGCATGTGGACAGAGTATTCAGTATCTCTCCAAAGACATAATGTAGTGTAGGCCTATGTCCTCGCCGAGGAGTCTTCAAAATTTCTAAGATGTTCAAGCAATGGATTCATCAGATAGTGGTTAGGTCAAGGCACTACTACATTACTAGTTGTCGGCTGCTATTCTATTGACAGCCATGAAAATGATTTCCAGTTCCAGTCATTGACGCAATTTAAGCACCACTCTTTATTGGACTATTGAGAAGAATTCGGTATACGTCACAGGATATTCTTAAGAACAGCTTCTATTTAATCAAGCTTAAGTCATGCATTTGCGCTAATGCTTCTACGTCCTCAAAGCCTCCTCCGCTAATAATTTTAACTGACCTACCTTATGGCAACATGTCCGCTTTCCATCCAACCAAGTTGGAGAATATTCAATACACTCCCGAATCCATGTCTCCCAACCTACCAGAATTAAGCTCTTCCCAGGGAGACTCGACAGCAATGGACGCCTCTCAATACCTTTTGAGTGATATACCAAAAGACTTTTCCGCCAGCATGCCTTTCTTTCCTAACAATACAGGCACTGGATTTGATTTTAGTGATTCCTCGCAGTTCCAAACGATGGAAGACGTTCAATTCCCATGTGACAATGACCTGATGGGCACACAATATGTTAACGGCATTGGCTCTAGCTTCATTGTCAATGAGTATGATGCCCATGGCGAGATGGAACGCAAATCCAACCACCAGGTCCACAAAGGTATCAAATCAGATGCTACAGCGGAATTCTCTGCTGAGAATTCAAGCTATGGCAGTGAAAAATCCCGTAAAGGATCATTCCATCTTGAAGAGTGTGAAAAGAGGTGAGCTTGTGCCTTTATTTCAGATATTTACGTGTTAGTTCTAGCTGAATCTCTAAACATTGGCCTTGGAAGTCATGCTGCAGAACTTCGGTGCAAATGGGAGGGATGCCAATATTCTGGTACCTTTGGACGACAGAGCGACTTGTTGCGGCACTTGAAGGCGGTACATATCAGCAAGGCCATCCACTGCTGTCTAGGCGATGGTTGCCAGAAGTGGTTCAACAGACGTGACAATATGAAGGAACACATTCGCAGGGTGCACCGATATGGTCCGGTCTCTGATAATCTTCATTCTTCATGACGCCGTTATTTTCCCTTTTATTTATGAATTAGGTGCGGTGGAGCCTCATTCATGATCAAGTATACATACTGTACGCAAGTTGAAAGTATCTACACTTGTATATTTGCCTGCACTTGTCATGCAACCTCTAAAAACATAACATCCTGATGTCAGATAATTTGATGTTACACTGCCTTTGTGGCCTTGGATAGACTTCCCACATGTTTAATCAGGGCTCTTAAATGGTGGGTGCATTCAGGCGATATTATGGGGCAATCCTACCCCCACATTGAGGGGTTCCCGAATGCAGCCGGGACTGGGCCGGAATTAGAAATAAGACTCCGCACTCAGTTTGATCCTCAGTGTCGGGTGACTTAAATATCACGGGTTAGGCTCATCAAACCTGTTACCCTCATATACAGCAAGTCATAGGATTATCTACAGACCCCGATTAAACTTTCCGTTCCGGTTTTCTGATAGCGGGTTTGGTTATTTTTCAGATAATCTTACCTAAAGTCGATGACCAGAATGTACTGTGCAACATTCCACATTCTGCTTAGATTATGGCCCAAAGGTCTGCTGTTAAAATAACTCCAACAGCATTCTCAATACAAAATCTTGATGATTTAATTCGTGGGTACCCAAAAACCCAAAGGTTCCGATACAAAATCGGTCTAGCTGTTGAATATCTTGTTATTCAAAGCAGGCTTGAATTGCTACCCGGTTATTAGTCCAATTGGTGTCCATACCGTGCGCACTGGAAGAGCAGACTGGTCATTTGTACGCTCTATGAAGCCAATCAGGCGCAAGGCTATCTCCACCCTGTAAGGCGCGCAGCAAAGACTGTAAGTGTGCCAAACATGTCAATCTAGGCCACTATGCGCCTTGGGGCTCACATCGCCACCGCCCACTTCGTCATTCTGGTAAGAGCAGACCCTATCTGTATCCATCACTGCTCCTCTTGGTCTCTGAGCTCCAGCAAACACTCTGCAGTCCCCCGCCTTACTCTAGCGCCTGTGCATGCTTAGCAAGTGAGGGCTTTTGATGGGAAAGATAAAACTATAAAGTCGGCCTTCTGCCACATGAAGCAGCATACGGAGTCCAATACAGGCTACAAAGCAATTGAAAGTCATAATTTGTTTCTTCTAAAACAATCAATTACCCACTTCTTTGTCTTCATCATGAACCTTCTACTTACTTTGGTTATGTTTACTGCGGCTGTCTCTGCCTGCAGTGGCCCTGCCTTCCGGTGTAAGAAGGCCCAGGGATCTAAATCTGGTGACTATAGCAGAACTAGCGAGATCTGCGCAGAAATAGGTAATGGCGCAGATATGTGCTATTGCTATGGGGCAGCTGAGGATTACTGCTCCCTTGCGAGTGGTGCCGATGTGAAAACGTTTCAAGATGACTGTGAAGCGGACCCTGGATGGTATTATGCGGCCTGTTAAGCCCATATCCAGTTAATGCCTCGGCAGGCAATGGTCAGTTACCGAAAGCCATATTACCTATTCTAGCTTGCTAATTGCATAGAACAGGAATGTCAGAGCCAATATCGTTGCTTTCTTCAATGCAAATATCTATCCCATCCTCCACGGATGAGGAAGCCGCTCTTTTTCTCCACGCTGTTTTACTGTCTTTTTTGAATATTTCACGCGTGTATTGGATAAACCCTTGCCGAGAATCATTCGAGGACCGAGCAAGTTGTGTTTAATCGCCGTTCACCATTAGGGTTGATCACAAGAATTGACACATTGTTCAATGATATATCCATTCTAAATATGTTGCACGTAGTCCTACGTGTCTAAGAGGGAGAAGAGAAGGGAGTGATCGACAGTAGACATCGCCAAAACCCAAAACCCAAAACCCATCCCGACCCAACCTGCAAATGGGTTGGGTTTGGGGGCGAGGTGGGTAACCGATGGGGCCCTATCGAAACCCATATGAGTCGGCAAATAGTGCAAATATAGGAAGAAGCATGACTACATATTTTATATAGCTCCAAGCTGTATTTTCTTTTAGTAGTTTTCTTACAAATAGCAGTTAGGTCACCTCCCCGCGCCCCCCAAACCAGGAAACTAGCAGCCAACCTATCATACTGGGTTTTCATCGAGCATTTTAGCTTTATGGGACAATTGTGGCGAAAAATAACTATCAGTGGTGCCGCAGGTGGACATGTCCGCAACGCAAACTTGCGTTCGATTTTGCCGGTTCAAGAGAGCGCGCACAGCTATAGATGTCCCTTCCAATACCAAAACGTTCTCCGAATATGGACAGTATTTCGTATTTCCCGTTTCCACTAACCTACTAGCTGACCATGGGATCCCGTCTCTCAATTAGCGCATACGCTTTGTCGTTCCATTTGGCCCCTTTCTGTACATTCCATTTTCTTAACTTTCATATGCAATCCCCTAGAAGGACTCGTATAACGCCTTTATCCAAGTCTCCTTTATTCTTCAGATTGATGCCCAGTATCCATGTATTACATGATAATTTCGCTTACTTAGGTTAGCTAATATCCATGGATATACGAGTGAGGAGTTCTTTATATTAGGAAGCTTAAGCACCCCTAATATTTTTACTTATAGTACTGACGTAAAATAGATATTAAAGCTAATGATATCAGATAAATGTGCAGGACCGTAGCCTTTTGAGGCGGAGGGTACGTCAGAGAAAGCCCTGGACGAATCAACCGCAGGTGGAGGTGTGGGAAGTGCAGAGTGGGCTTCGAATTGCCGAGGTGATAGATCAAATATCAGTTCATCTAGACTTTGACCTTTCTCACGGTGACTTCGCTCGTGTCGACGTAAAACATCACTGGCATTGTCAGTGACGGTTATGTATTCTCTTCAAAACCTAAAGCGTGTACCTTCGCGAGTATAACTTGCCACAGAGGGGATATCCAAATGGTTTTTCCTTTTTATGTCCACGGATGTGTCTGGTGAGATGTTCTTTCTTGGAGAATATCTTGTCACATGTGTGACACTTTCGGTCCTGTTGAGGCCCTGTTCGGTTCATCCTAACGGGACGCTAGGGAGCAAGCGCAGCGGTGTGATGATTTCGAATTCACTACTCACTCCAAAGGGTTGGCTAAAACGACCACTTTCTTTCAGTCCCCTTGGTGTTCCTTTGGGTGGCTGCCAGTTCGAGCAATGCAACGAATGTTGTCGGAGAGTAGAGTGGTTTCCCCCACACCCCGCCGTTCATTCCGGCACTCGTCGATGAGCCCCACGGTACCACGAACAAACCCAACTGCAAATTATCTAGGAGATGAACGGAGAATATGAAAAATCGTCCAAGCATAAGCTCGGAGCTTTGAGGTGGGTGGTTAGAAAAGGAACTCAGGGGCCCGTCACATCGCCTCGAGTCTGCAGGGAGGGTCAAAAGATACTGGAAGAGAGGGCCCGCGGACCTTCATGTTGCTTATAGCAACAGCAATACGGCTTGAAATACAGCATGTTGCTAGAAAATATTACGCATGTTCCCTTTTTGCCATATTCCCCAGGCCTCCAACCGAAGCGCCAAGTGATTTCTGGCCTCCGCAATGTTTATCCTCCATCTTTTAATCTTCTCCGAAATTTATCCCTCTCTAGTTCCACATTCCGAAGTACATATGGATCAATTCAAAATCAATGATCATTTCTCCATCGATCAACTCGACTGGGACAAACAAGATGAAACCCCAACCATCCGCGCCGCGGAGAAATCCGATCCTGCATTTCTGGAAGCCATTTTGGCTTATTACGCAACATATGGCAATGATGAAAGCCTGCCTGATCCGAAACGCCATCAAACAGAGAAACTCTCACCAAATTACACGATATCGGGAGCAATTCATGGTCTCTGGGAGTCTCCCTTAACAGCTGCTATTCGCGCCAATCTGCCACACAATGTTCGACTTCTTCTGGCTGCGGGCGCAGATCCTAACGGCATTCAACTGAGGGATATGGAGGACTATTCAGTCCGGTTCATTCGTGGTCGCCATTTTAAAGACGATGTATCTAGCTTTCATATGTGCGCTCGTCGTGCTCTTGTTTTAGAACAAGCACAAACGAAAGGCATCAGTCGCCAGCTCTGCCCTTTGACCCAGACGGAGCTCGATGAACGGCGCCATGGGTTTCCTCGTTTCTGGACGGAGCCAAATCTCCCCGGTCAAAGACTTAGGATGGACCGGGCTTTGACAGGACTAGAGGTTGCTGCGAAGATAGGCAGTCTTGAAATATTTGACATCCTTCGTGCGGCTGGAGCAGATGAGTCTGCGTGGGTGGAACCCACGTTGGATAACGAAGAAGTCCAAGTGCAGGAAGCAAGCTACTCGGTATCAACTCTTTCCACATCTTCGCCTGTCCATGAGGCCATTGAGTCTGGCAATCAATCTATGTTCCGGCACCTTCTCTCCTCCTGCGGGTATTCTCCCAACTATCTTCCTCGCGCGGCTCCAACCATCAGTCTCCCACCGCTGTCATATATCGTCGCCCGTTGTGATTTAAGCAATATCGGCGTGCAGCGCTGTCTGGTAGATCTACTATCCCACCCTCAGCTCAAGCCCAATTTGCGCACACCTATCTTTAACGTGCATGTCCTCCACTTTGCAACCGCACATCATGATCCAGACCTTCTTTCATGGTTGGCAGCTTCCATCCCCGGTGGACTTGGTAGTGCGGGGACAACGGCTCTAGGACATACGCTACTCCACATTGCTTCGTTGCCTTTCACTTCTAATCAGACTGCACTTTATAATCCAGATGTCGCGGACAGTATACATTGTGCCCGCACCCTTGATTCTAGGTGGTTTCCTTATAGAATGCCAAGCCCTCTGCATATCCAGTTCCCAAAGCCACAGGAAGGCTCCCGAAAACCACAGCCACTGACGGATTCCCAGCAACAGGCACAAAATGCAACTATTCGGCTTTTATTGGAATGGGGAAGGATTGATGTCAGGGCAGAGGATGTCGACGGCAATACCGCTTTACATTACTTAGCTGGGACTATAAATGTTAGTGAGGATATTGTTGAAATGGTTCGACGGGCGGATGGAGGTGAAGAAACATGGGAGAACGCGACAAACTGCCATGACATTACTCCACGACAGATGTGGTGTAAGTGAGATGTAAGAAGTAGGACGGATAATGTCGTGGGACAACTATCCCTTCGTTCCTCGGAGCATGTCTAGGAAGTTTGACACTTCCTTTGCCTTTGGGGGGGGGGGGGGGGGTGAATGCCTGCGGGCGGAGCCATGAATCCGAGTGGGATATCACTATGATTCCAGTCCTAGTGGGACGCTTTGGTCCGAGATTCTTCTGGAACTTGCACAGAATCCGCCCACTCCACATAAATCGGAAGACGTGGGGGCGCCTGGGGGCCTGGCGTAGAAACGGTGGTCACAACCTTTGGAGTTCCGTTGGGCTCGAGGGAGATGGTGGTTTTGGCTGTGGCTATATACCGACACTGATGGTTAGTATATCACCCTTCCTAAAAGTGCTTTTCGCATAACTCACGTTGTGTGGGGCATTGGTGAAACCACGGCCAGGCCCACCACTTCTTCTTCTGCATCTTTTCGAACTTCTTACGCTGCTTAGCGGCGGCCTACGGAGGTGGAATTTGTGGGAGTGCCATTTGGCGTGCACTCGTAGGGTAATTCTTTTTAGATAGTATTCACTAGTATCCCTGGTTATATATAGAAAGTCGTCTGCACAAAGTATGCTTTGTACCGCCTTCGTATACACCTAAGAAGACATCAAAAAGACATCAAAAAAGCATATCGGAAGGTTCTTACATATAACATCCCCGATACCATCTTGGTCTAAGTAGATCAGATCAATGAAGTCTTAGGTCGTCAAGGACAGAGGCCGCATAAGCGGCCGACTATTCTTGTTTTATATAGGGTTACATGTAATCGAAGGATCCACCAAAAATCAATGTGATCTATAAGATGGGCTTGAGCCATAATTTCATCCTAAGTGATTACGATCGTAAGTTACTTACCATAATCGTTGTCTAAATTTACTACTAGGTATAATAATAGTGGCAAGCCCAAACCAGTGTTGGTGGGCTTGGCACGATTACAGCGTTTTATATATCGGAGATACCTTATTACTTGGCACATTATAGGACAGATAATATATAGACGAATTGCTATTTATATAGGTATCTTTAGAAAATATAAAACCTCTTAACAATTCTAGCGACTCATCGACTCATATAATGTGGGTAGTTTCTGCATTTAGAGACGGCTGTGGTCGAAGCTTTCTCCATTTTAAACTAGAAAACCGTAGTTAACAGGACGATAGGAACAAGGTGGACCACAACAATTATATAAGCATATATAGCTATTTACAGGCCCATGTTTACTATACGCACTGCGAACCCAACTAACGGTAATCGCATGCGAAAGGCATACCCCCTCAATGATAAGACTAATCAGAATTAATAATGCGCCCCAGATGGCAGTTAATCTGGCTATCGGGAGACGAGCGCGAAAGATAAGATATCTGAAGAGAATTCTACCTAAGGTGGTTTATTTTAAATAAAAATCGGCGGCCTTGGCTAGCTTTAACTCATACACTTCCCATGCCCCAGTCTCACCTGCTTTTCAGCAGGGGAGCGAGTTAAGTGTCAAACAAGAAATAGGACAGATATGGCCCCGCTAGGCCCTAAACAAGTACCTTGGTTTTTGTTATGGTCTAGTGGTAAAATACGCTGTATTTTGTTTCACATTAAGGATTAGGGAAATAATAAGTTCATCCAATCATAGCATTCAATTAGACCCAACTTCGACTGAACAAGATGATCACGGATATATCGGCCTCGCATTTGCCGAAGGTGGGGATGTAAAATAGACAAGTTGGCTTTCTGTACCATTTCTAATAGGAGTGCATGATATTTTGAGCTTATAGCATTAACGAGTGTTCTCGTATGAAGGGCTTATAGTACGGAAATTAGATGACCTTTGCCCATCACAGATTTGAATCGACCGCGATTCATGTGGGTACGTAACGACCTGAACTAACACCTTGCCCCGATTCATCATTTACTCGGCCCTTCGCTTTCGCCCCAAAACCCCCCGAACCCCTTTTGGGAGTTTGGAGCGAAAGCGAGGGTCTGAGTACGTACTCTATGACTCATTACAAAATGATATAAATCCGCAAAATCCCTAACATGCATGAGACTACTGTGCCTACAATTAATTACCCGCCCGTCGGAGGGAGTCTTCATCCGCACACTTGACCCAGCCGACGTCAACACCATGACACCAAAATGGCAAGTCACACGTCTCCTCCACGGAGTCCGAGCCATAGTTGGCGGTCAAGGTCCCCCTTTGGTTCTCATCCCAGGCTGGCCACAAACAGCAGAGGCGTTTAGCGATATCTTTGAGCCCCTTTCAAAACATTATCAGTTTTTCGCGCTCGACCCCCGGGCTTGGGTGATTCGCTTCCTCCCCTCAATGGCTATGATACTGCGAACGTGAGCAAAGTCATGGCCGAAGCGATTCACGATATCTTGAAAGAAAAACCGTACCATCTAGTTGGCCATGATGTGGGCGGATGGATTGCTTATCCTTGGGCCGCTCAATTTCAATCGAGAATCAAATCGCTCAGTATCCTGGACGCAGCAGTGCCGGGTTTCATGCCCCAGCTTCAGTTTCCGTTGCCTCATCAGACCAACATGCGTCTTTGGCAATTCTCATTCAACGCGCTTCCTGAATTACCTGAAATTCTGACTCGCGGTCGTGAGCGGGAGCTACTGACCTGGTTCTTTAATTTGAAGACGGTTCATACAGATGGTCTACCCAAAGATCATTTTGAACGTTATATCCAAGCCTATTCAAGACCAGGAGCGATGAGTCGGGGGTTCGAGTATTATCGAGCTTATGGAACAAGTGCGAAACAGAATCTGGAATATGCAAAGACACCACTCGATATTCCTGTCTTAGCTTTAGGTGGGGCTAGCTCTGTCGGTTCGGATATAATTCATTTGGTCCAAAACTTCGCGACCAACGTTTCCGGGGGCGCTATTCATGATTGTGGGCACTTTCTCCCCGAAGAGCAACCATATGCTGTCGCGCACAGACTGCTGGAGTTTTTGGAGGCAAACCGAACAGAGTGAAATTCCATTGGACGCACCTTCCAACATATGGTGATTGGCAGGTTTTCACCGGCCATCCATGGATAATTGGCTCTAGATAGCCAAAGATCTCAAAGTGGTTATCCATAGATACAAAAGCCATGACTACCATATCTTTTTGCGGCAAGCAGTATTCAAATAGTGCTCGCCATGAAAGCCATAGCATAGCGCACCTCAAATATAAATCGGGATCCATGTAAGGAGAACAAGACCGTGAAATTGACATGGTTGATTATAATCTGCCCGATGAGTATTCTATAGTAGATTGTCAATAGGTGATTGTAATTACTGTATTTTATCATGACTCATCGAAGGTACATTCCAATGTAGATGCAAGGAGCATGCTGGGGTATCTGTTTTCGAATATATCAGTAACAAAAAGATCATGCAAGAATAGCATCCATTTTTGAAGATAAAGAAAAAGAACATTCTTACTGGAATCTATTTAATATGCAAAAAAACAAAACCAAAAACATACAACAGTGAGGATTCGCTGGTGGTCACCCACCCAACTACTAACTCACCGGCGTGTGGCTTAAGTACGGCTGAGCGGACGGGAAGCCCTGTTTTCCACACCCTATGGTCGTATGTATCCGGTTATGTCTTAGAGAAAACTATAGAATGAAATTGATTTATGTAGGATCATTGAGATGGTTATAGCCGAGTGTCGCCTTAGATAGCGTAGGAGTAAACTTCATTCTCGTGTTTTGGACCAAGATGGTATAGAGATGTTATATGTATATCATAATGTCCAAGGCACCTCGTAGACGATCTATAGTCACCAGCTTGGATAAGAAATCAATTCGACAGAAACGAGATTTTTTTAAAATTTTTAAAAAACGGGGCTTTCAAAATCGATCGTCAAGGAAAAGAGTATAATGACCTTCTGGGAGTCAATCACCTTTCTAATGACACAAGCCAACAATATGATCGTTGGGACGGATAGCGAATACGACGTATTCTGTCATCCAATCAGGTGCTAGACGTATCCGTAAAAATATACAAAAATATATAGTATTATAGAATTACGGATTAAGAAGACCAACCTGAAAATATAAAATAACACAGTTCATCCTGAGAAATGATGTTTCTAAAGATCCAAATTGTGTGCCTTTTTTTTCAAATATGATCTTTCATTCAATTCTCTTGTTTGGGCTCTTCCGTGCAGCCTGGAGTGCACACCTACAGGATCCAGGCTTTGATAAATCGTTCCAAAGCCCCCCTGCAGAATCTCGTCCAAAGTTTCGTTACTGGTATTTGCTTCTGTGACTACCTAACAAATTATTGAATGTCACTGACCTGCCATAGGATTCCTGACGCTAGTGTATCTATTCAGAGTGTCCGGCGCGATGTCTCCGATTTAGCTGCCGTTGGTTCTGGTGGACTCGAGCTAGTTCCCTTCTACTTTTACGGCAATCCAAGCGACTCACACACACCTACGGACTGGACAAAGTTTGGATTTGGCATGAAGCCTTTTCAGAATGTTTTTGACCAAACTCTCCAAGCCGCCGTTGATAATGAGTTGCTCATGGATTTCAGCCTCGGTGCTAGTGAAGGACAGGGATCACCTGTGAGAGCAGGGACAGAGGGCCTCTCTATACACCTGGTTTGGATTCGCTTTGAACCTGAAGGCTCTGTATTACTAATTGATACTGTATAGCAACTCGGAGTTGAATCCGTAAAGGCCGGTGCCTCCTTTTCTGCGCCTGTCCCTGGACCACAAGAGCTGACAGGTTCCCTGCGGTCTGGGGGCGGCTTTATGCATGGTTTGACCGACCCTGACCGAGGACACTTGAAGGGAGTCATAGCTGCGAAAGTACATTCCGGTATGCTGGCCCATATATGCACACTCGGATCTCTTACTGACTATTCAAACAGAGCATGAATCAAACGAGACAATCGCTAAACCCTAATTGGTATATTTGGATGAAGAGTCGATCGTGGATTTGACCCATCATGTGCAGAACGGAGCACTCTCATGGGATGCCCCTCCAGGGAATGGCATGTGGAGGCTTTTCGCGTTTTGGGAAGGCCACACGAATCAGTTATCCTGCTCTAATGGTGGTAATGGAACGACGCCTGTCGAAAAAGGATCTTACGTTGTGGACCATTTCAGCAAAAGGGGGGCGGAAGTCCACACAGACTTTTTCGAGAATCATATCCTGAACAGTGAGAATATTAGGGCGAATTTGAAGTCAAATGGGAACTACGGTATGCTAAGAACCCCTTTCCCCCCATATACACCAACTAAACTTTTAAAAAATCAGCATGGGAAGATAGCATGGAATTGCTGTTTGTTGTCCCATGGACACGCGGGTTCTTAGAGCGTTTCCAATCCACCCATGGGTATAGCCTCGTCAAGTATTTACCCCTCCTCTTTAATAAGGGGAATTCATGGACTGCGGCTTCTTCTCCCTACACAGAGGAATATTCCTACGGAAATTACACCGAGTCTGGGATGAGCATCCACAATGTCAAATTCCGTGAGACTCTCAGTGAGTGTTATCGTGACTATCTCGGATACCATACAGCTTGGGCACACTCGTTGGGGATTGGGTATTCAGCTCAACCCTCCTACAACCTACCCCTTAGCTTTGTATGTGATACACCCCTCAAAACACACTTGGCCCACCTTCTAATTTGACCAGTTAAATGAGGTTCCGTCCGTCGATGCGCCGGAAGGGGAATCACTTGGATTTAAGGACATCATAGATGCATACCGTACACTATCGGGACCCGCACAGCTGGCCGGAAAAAGTGACATTTCCTCAGAATGTGGCGCAGAATTCAAACCAGCCTACAGTCAAACCATCCCGGAGCTACTGAGGTCGGTTAAAAGGTCTTATGCGGGAGGACTAACAATGATGGTTTTGCATGGAATGGCATACAGTGGAGCTTATGCTAATACATCGTGGCCGGGCTTTCAGCCATTTGGCTATCAAACTACCGACTCCTGGAGCAGAATTCAGCCGGCATGGAGGCATCTTTCAGATATCATTGGGTACATGGGTAGGACACAACATGTTCTCAAGATGGGAATACCGCGAGTCGATCTGGCAATCTTTGATTCAAGGACCGAGTGGGAGACGTCTGTCATCTATGACTCGGACAATCTTCAACAAAGAGGTGCGGCTATGATATCATGCTTTAGTTGGAGGAGAGTGCTGACCATACTTTCTAGGCTTTACATACAACTTTGTTGGTCCTGACAATCTGCATCTTCCTGCTGCCCATGTGTCGCAGGGAATTCTTGCACCAGATGGACCTGGCTACCAAGCGCTTATCTTTCCCAATACCACGCGTATCAACGACAGGGTTTTGTCAAAGATCAGAGAATATGATGAAGCTGGTCTCCCTATCATCTTTATCGGAACATCACAATATTCATTACCACGAGCTCCGAGCCAAGACGAAACTGTATCAGCGCTCGATGGTCTGATCAGGCACGGAAAGAATATTCACCACATAAGGTCCATCAGTCAGCTACCGGATATCTTGTCGCAGCTAATGATTGAACCGCGGGTTTCCTTTGTTGCACCTATAGAATCGGTTTATTCAGTACAGCGGGCCGATCTCAGTACTGGAGGGGAATATGTCTGGCTGTTCAATGACGGAAATACCTCCTCGACATTCGTTGCCGAATTCCATGTCGATAAAGGCCTGAAGCCATTCTTACTGAATGCATGGAACGGCGATATCACACCGCTTGGAAGGTACCAGTTGACAGACACTGGTATCCGCATTCCACTGACTCTCAATCCCGATGAGACCATTATCATCGCTTTTACGCATTCGGAGCTGGAAACGTGCATCTGGGTAACAGATGTTACAGGCGCTGTCGAAGAAGTGAAATACATGTCTGGGAAACAACTCGTGGCGAACCTAAAAGGCCCGTCCACGATACTCCTGAACAACGGCACTAGCTACAAATTCAACGTCACGCCTCCGGGCAATGTCAATCTGTCGAGATGGGACATCGAAATTGAAGACTGGCACGGGGACCCCAATAACACAGCCTCCATCGAAACCTTGATAACATCACACAAATCTCAAGGCCAAATCCTACTACCCTGGAAAGACCTCAGAAAGTCACTGGAGAATGTGAGCGGGGTGGGCACTTACACCACGACCTTCACAGTCCCGGACATCCCCAACATAGGGGCATATCTCTACGTCGGCCCAATTCTGAACACGATGCGTGTCTGGGTTAATGGTAATCCTCTGCCTACCTTTCCGGCTGATAATGCAAGAACGGATATCAGTGGGTTCATTTCTCGGGGAAAAGAAAATGAGATCAAGGTTGAGGTTACTACGACTTTGTATAATCGGATCAGGGCAGATGCAGACAGTCTCCTTGCTATTGGACTTCCATTGTCGAAAATTGCACCGACTTATGCAAATGCTGAGAGGCAAATCTATGGGCTTTTGGGGCCTGTGGGCATTGATTGGGTGATCGGCGAGAAATTAAACTTAGACTAGATGATGATGTATTGGGTTGCCATTGTTATACAGAAAATTTCCTATCCTTGCCCTTTGGCTTTTATCTGTGGTTCCTAGGGTGGAGAAAGTTCCATTTAATTGAGAAAATATCTACAACAAAGGTTAGATTCAGTCTAGCTATGGCCTTTTTCTTCGCTCTTTCCCCCATTAGCTGCAATCCCTTTTGTGAATGGACATATTTCTCTCTGGATCGGTCCTTTCCTCGTCACATGAGAGGGCGAACAATGCATGACAATCGAATTACCTCTTAGTCTAATAATGTCATTCATACCACAAAATTTTCAATTCCGGTTTACAATTATTGACTCGTCGTGTCAGTTATTCTTATTCCTATTTTCAGTTTTCTCAGTGGTCCACAAACTCGTTATATTCAGTCGATTTTCAGGTGTCCTTCAAACCGTGGTGACTTCAAAGAAATAATTACCCAAAAAGTGCCCAGTGAGCCAAATGCCACAGTAAATGGAACGGAAGCATTCTGAAGATCACCAGAATGACCCCATTGAAACAGCCACGCAAAGAAAAAATAGAACGAAGGAACCAGAAAAATAAAGCTGTAAAGTACCAACATCAATGTCGACCGACGCTCGACAATGTACAACCCCCAAAAAACCTCGCGTGCGGAATCCTGTTCCTCAATACGCCTATCCCGCTTTGGAAGCCTTTCATCAACAACAGCATACTCAGATCCTGCATTGGATGACATTGCCTTCGATATCCTTTTGGAGATACGTTGGAAAAGCACAATGTACCAAACTTGATCTAGAAACCAGTGATTGAACTCGTGTGGGGTGACAGGTGGTTCAGGAGAGATAGGCTTTGGATAAAAATGATACGATATTTCCTGCGGAGATGGAAATTCTGGAACTAAAGGGGCATAGCCATCCTGTTTGTATTTTTCAAACTGCTCCAATTTTAGTGATTGAAACAAAATTAGGTTCATTTAAGATATGAACCTAGACGTACCTTGAAAAATTCGCAATGCGAGTATCTGTGGACCCCAAACCAGGTTGCGAAAAAACCTCGATGACGGTAATACGAGGTGCGAATCCACGAGAAAAATTCTTCATCGTTCATAGCATTCACGGATGTTTGGGCAAGGCGTCTTGACCTCCGAAAGAGCGACGAGTGCGTGACAACGAGAAATACATGGAGATTCATTTCTCTTTCTGGTTTTAACCGGCAGGAGGTAAATCGAGATACTGCTTGAGGTGGACACGGCGAAGAATTATCATCACCTCCCTGGGTTTGGGATCCCGACTGACCTGGCTCAACTGGCGCAGGGCTTGGGGTCTGAAGCCCTAGGCTATTCTGGGTCCTATTTGCTGCGTCTAAATTTGGGGAAGCATTGATAACCTGCTTGGCAAAGGAAACAGGGACTTCGGCCCAACGAGCTCGGCCACAACCCTAGGCTTGGTCCTTAGTGATGAAATATTAGAGAGTCAGGTAAGCTTACGCAACGCCACTGCATGCGAACCTCCTCATTTGCGAGAGGGCGCATGTACGGGCTCAAGGGCCACCAATCCCATGTTTCTGATGTGAATCCTTTCCATTTACCCTTGATACTGTTGATGATCGAACCAGGATCATGAAGAGTGAAGGATATTTGGTCATGTGCAACGTGTTGCAACTCACTCACTATCATCTCAAGGTCCCGTAGCTGCTTGCTCGTTAATGCCCCAGCTCGCCGCTGCTTGGAAATCCATTTCATCAGAATGGATCGCAGGGATGGGAAAAGAAAATCAAAAAATTCAGTTTGCATGATTTCAAAAGCGTTCGTCTTGAAAATGATAGTCTCTATACTCTGGAGATCATTCACTGTTGTCGGTTGCTGTGTCTCTAATGCATCTTGAATCGAATTCGCGTCAGAATCGGAGTCAGAATCGGAAACGACCTGCTCATGGCCCTCCGGTTCCTTTGGTGTTTTTTCCTCTGAACCCATTTTGGAGACGTTCTCGAATAAGGCAGGCTTAGTTGTGTCTTGCCCCCCAAGATACTCCAGTATTTTGGCTCTTGAGCTTTCCTCTTCGACCTGTCGAATATCAGATTCCTCGAGTCCCGAGGTGCTTGCAATGCCGAGACTCAGTATAGTTTGACTTGCGATTCTAGACGACGATCCGCGAACAAATCTGATAACTTTTGCATGATCGGCCAGTTTTGCCTCGTGAGACAAATGAGATGCAAAAAGTCGAAGAACTTTCCCCAGGTTTCTCTGGATACGAACCTTCGATATGTCGCTCTCAAGCGCAATCCTGCATAACTGTTTGAAACTGTCCATCTCCAAAAGTAAATCCGTGAAAAGTTTAACCGCAGACCAGACAGTGGCGTTATCAAGCGTTGTAGCAGAAGATTGACTTGCTGCTAAAGAGAAGCTGCTAACGATAGACCCAAAGTCTGACATGCCTGAACCGTCATCCTCGTCATCGAATATCCATTTGGCGAGTTTCATCTCAGAAATTTGCTCAAGCAGTTTAGCCACTCTCAGTGTATCTGGGTGGTCCTCTCGTAGAAGCTTCTCTCGTGTCTGGTTGACCTTTCTCGCTAGTGCTTCTGCCTCTTTCCATTGGTCCGATTCGAATAGCACAGATGCCAGATCCTCCATACTAGCCAGCGTATATGAGTGGTCCAACCCGAAGATCCTTTGACGAAAGTCTATCACTTTGCGTAAAGTCTTCTCAGCATCTTCCAATCTTTTCTCACTTCTATCAATGAGAGCCAAGGTATTTAAACTCGACAGAACCGCCTGATGATCCGCGCCATATACATCGGTCTGCTTTTCGAGTACAGTCGTCTGTATCTTTCTGGCCTCTTCAGACCGGCCTTGGCCAAGAAGAACCAGAGCCAACTGCGCCATGCTACCCAGCGTGCTTGGATGCTCTGGCCCATGAAATGTCTGGCGATATTCTATCACTTGGCGGTGGATTGCTTCAGCCTTCAGTAGCTCTCCCTGACTTCTGTAGATCAACCCTAGAAAGTCCATACTCGAATGCACATCTGGATGGTCGGGACCAAGTACCCTCTTTTGAATTTCGATCGCTTTGTTCTGGATGGCTTTGGCATCTTCCCACCAGCCTCGATGCCAATAGGTTTCTGCCAAGTTTACCATACTTTTCAGGGTATCGGGATGATCAGTATCAAGAATTCTCTGACGGCCTTGAAGCACCTGAGTTTGGAGAACCTCTGCTTCGGCCCATCGTCCCTGTTCTCGATATATTGCTGCCAAATTATCCATTGCCAATAATGTATCCCGATGCTCAGACCCCCGACCTTTATTGAAGATGTCAAGGACTTTGATGTAGAGCTCCTCAGCCTTTGTGAATTGCGTCTGGGCGTAGTAGACTGACGCCAGGTTTGTCATACTAGCTAAAGTGCTTGGATGCTCAGCAGCTAGAACACGAATGCGTGTCTGGAGTACTTCCAGGCTTATCTTCTCCGCCTCTTCCAATCGACCTTGATTTTGGAAGATCACTGCCAGGTTGTTCATACTAGTCAAGGTGCTTGGATGCTCCGGGCCTAACGTGCGTGTGCTTATCTGAACCACTTTAGAGTTCATCTCCTCTGCATCTTTCCATCGCCCTTGACTTTCATATGTTGCTGCAAGGTTACTCATGACGGTCAATGTGTCTGGGTGTTCTGTGCCAAAGGCATGCCGGGCTATCTCAAGGAGCTTCAAACTCGGTATCTCTGCTTCGTGCCATCGCCCTTGATACCATTTTGACAATGCCAAGTAGCCAGTAGCTGAGAATGAAGTAGGGTGCTTCACGCCAAGCACTCGGCTGCACCGCTCGGCTTGCACCTCTGCCAAATGCTCTGCCTCTTTCCATCGACCCTCCAGCAGATATGCCAATGTCAATGTCATCGAGACATCTATCGTTTCTGGGTCATCAGGACCTAATAGGTGTTTCTTCACCTCCATCGCTTCTAAAGCCATGTGTTCCATGTCTCCAGTTTGGCCAATCTTCCCAGCATAACGTGCACCTCCATGCATGAGAGTAGCCCACTCCAGAAGTGAGTCCTCGAGGAGCGGATTGGGGCGTTGGAGCATTGCAGCCTTCACATGTGGGAACAAGGACCGAGACTTTCTCTGGCTCTCGAGGTCACTCGGAAATTCAAGAAGAAGATTTCTGATAAACTGTGTCTTCCACTGATCGGCTTGCTCGTGGGCTTCAACCCACTTTCTCACTTCATTTTGAACTAAGCTGCTCATCCCTATTGTTTGTGTGTCTTGTCTGATATGTATCAGCGTAAAATCTTGCAGTGTTGCAATCTCGTTGTCAAAGTGGTCGTTGTTGAAGAAAACCTGTGTTACATTTCCACTGACAAAGGAGTGCCTTTTACTCAGGCTACGAAGTAAGCCTTGAGAGAACTCCTGTGGGTCAAGGAAGCTCATTAAACAGAGTAAGTCCCAAGCTGTCGAGCTGTCCTGCCTTATATGATTGAAGGCAATCTGTGAAGTGGCACGAATTGTACAATGAATTAACGAATCATCCGTATTTGACAGACAGGCATTTAGCTCTTCATGAAACTGCGATAAACTTGAACTCGAGTGAGGAGATCTGGATTTGATAGAAGCGGCTGCTTGTACAATTGCAAGTGGTTGGAAGCCGAGCAGCCTTGCAAGAGACATAATATCATCTTCCTTGGCAGGTCTCCTCAGTTTCCACTGGAAGAGGGTCATTGCGAGAGACTCCTCCATTGGCCCAATTTCAATAATGCCGTCAGGAGCAAGTTTCTCTGCGACATTTAGGTTTCTCGTGGTCACAATTATTGAACCGTTTGCACTTTGAGGAGTATAAGTTCGATGGGGTTTAGATTGGCGGCCATTGTCATCTTTCGACCCACCCTCTTGATTTCCCGGTGTAGACATTTCGAAGAAATCAAAATCATAGTCCATACCATCAAGCACCATGACCCATTTCTCTTCGTTCACCTCGAGCCAATCGTGGACAATTCGGAAGATATTCGTGTCTGGATCATTGCGGTGAGGGATGTCAAACTGGTCAGCTATGTCGCGGTAGCATTGATCCAATCGAGCTGCGCTACTCGCATAGATCCAAAATATCAAGGTTGTAGGTGACAGATGACGAATTCGGTATATGTATTCTATGGCGAAATGGGATTTTCTGTTCAAATTAGTACCCGCTCGTTGTCAATGGATACTTCGATTTCGTTAACATACCCCGCACCACCACACCCAACAAGGGCTATCAAAGACCCTGAAGCTGAGAGCTTTTCAGTAACTAAGTCCAGCAGCTGCTGGTTAACAACGAAATCACCATCACGATGAAATGGGACTGTGAAAGCGGACTTGGTGGGGGTATGAGGTCGCTCTAGGAAGTAGTCGCAATTAGAATATTATGAGGGTGTCCTCGCATGCTATTTTATCTTACCTATAGGACCGGGGGCGTATATTTGTCCGTGGTTAATTCCAACTTGAAAACCGCTGTTTATGTTCCCAAAAGAAATGCTGGCCATTATATCGGGAATGAATGATTCAAAAGAGGAGTGGGCTCGATTGTCTGGAGCCTGCGGAGTCCCAGCAGATGGTGAAAGTCAGCCCATTTCTGACACATCAAATTGACTTGCACGTGCCGCGAGGAGGGTCAATGTGGCGGCGTCGCTGATACCCTCGTATCGAACGCACCTGGGCGACGCCCACAAAGAATCAGCACGGGCGGGGAAGGACACGTCAGCGCTTCAGGGGCATGCAGGATATTCAGGTGCAAAATAGTGGTGTGCAGGGCATTCAGGTGAAAGGACTGAACGGATCGAATACCAGGGCGCAACGGGAGTATCCGCGACGAATCAAAAAAAAAGTTTAATTATGAAAATAAGAAACATACAATAAGTATGGTGGTGGTGGTGGTCACCTAGCGCTCACGAATCGAGGTCGTAGGCGGCTCGGCGCTATAGCGGCACTCTTTAGGGGAATCAGGGCACCCGTTCACCCAACTGAATATTCTTCATCTGGACATTCAGGTGCAGCAGAGGATGTATTTTCATGTTTTGTGTGAAACCACTATATATATCTTCGCATTTATCTCCCTTCTTCACTACTCTATTATATTTCTCGTGCTCACTGAAAGAAGCCCTATTACGGCCATTAATTAGCATCCATATTGCGTCAAATTTCTACCCTTTTCTTGTAGGTCGCGTTATAAATAGTCCACACTCCTTCCCTTGAATAATTTTTGACAGATAAAAGTATCTAAAACGTAGGTCTTCGAAATTATGGTTACCAAAGCGATGTTATTAAGCTTTAGAGTTTCGGAGCTAGATACTATAGATCAGTACATTGATACACCTAGTCAATCACCTTCGATATAACAAGCGCAAGATCTACTATTGTCTATGTCTTTGTGCGTGCTTATCTGGGTACCCTACCTGGCAGAAACCGAAGCTCCGCAATTTCCAGATTGGTCAACTCTTTTAGACACACCCAAGCTCCAAGGAACTATGAGACTGTGAGGTCACTTTTGTTTACCAATATCCCAGCATCCTCCCTCCCTCCCCCCCGACCCCCGACCTTCAATGGAAAATCATTTCGTCTGCTCTGCTCACCGAGCAGAAAGAGCAGAAAGGTGACCAGGGTTGAGCATGGAGAAATAACCTACGTTGCCAACAACGCCATCGGTCAACCAGTCAGGAGGCTTCCACCACCAACAACCTGATCTTTGCACTGTCGTTCAGCGAAATGGCGCCGACCCTCCCAAAATTGAAACTAGAGATGATCCGTGATTTGATATTTAGCAAGTCCTTCAATCCATCACAGATGGCCCAGTAAGCGGTTTGGGTCAGGGCTACCTCCTGCTCCGTATGCTCTGACACCGAACGGCTATTCACTTGGAGTTTCTACTCCATGGTACAGTCGATGTCGAAAATAGATTACCCTCGGACTCTGGCGTTTTTCTCGGCCCGTACCAGCGTATAGGTTAGCCTATATTGGGAAAAAAATGTAAAAACTAATTTCCCAAGAATAGACCCATTGAAAAACAGAACGACTGAATATCGTAAAATACTGTATACCACGCGTAGCTCCTATATAATGCTACCTTGCTGCCCCTTCATTCCCCTCTCATTCCCATACTGGCATATATCTTTGAAGAGACGGACTGAAGAGTAGGGCGACACGGGCAGTTCCCTAGAAACCAAAAAGAACAGGTAAATTACCAAAAGCAAAAACATACAACAGTGAGGATTCGCTGGTGGTCACCCACCCAACTACTAACTCACCGGCGTGTGGCTTAAGTACGGCTGAGCGGACGGGAAGCCCTGTTTTCCACACCCTATGGTCGTATGTATCCGGTTACGTTTTAGAGAAAATTATAAAATTAATTTATGTAGGATCACTGAGATGGTTATAGCTGAGTGCCGCCTTAGATAGCGTAGCCAGTGTTCGCCATCAGACATGTGTTATGAAAGTAGTAAGTCGGGTGGATACAAGCGGCCTTGTTTAACTGTACTGATAAAAGAAGCACCATGGAAGAGGACCCAGACGCTGGTATGAACCTGAATGTCGTGAATTGGATCTTCATGTACTTGAATGCACTGCTTACACCCGACTCAACCACCGAGGGCTTTGTGATTGAGGAATTGTGCCGAACTTCCTGGGCTCTATGAGAAAGTTTCATCCATCACTGTGTCAATCTCACTTGAAAATGTTTCTAGAAGACGAATACCTCCCTAATGCCATATTTTTGGAGCACATAGCCTACCTGGAGATGATCAGTAGCCTACCTGGAGATGATCAGTTTGAATAATTACACACAGAAACGGGCAAATAATCCCGTGGAGGGTATTCGAGAAACAAACAAAGCCCTAGTACGACATCGAGACGTAAAATCCACGCAATATGATGGTTGTTAAAGATACCCCAGAGAGGGTGGTTTGGATAAATTTTGACCAAGCTAAGAAATACGATGAAGGTCAACTCACTGCCAAACAAAAGGATCTTATTGAGCAGGAGGAAGAGGTTGTCGTTGATTTCACAATATGTCTGGTGAGCTGTGGCCCAAAGATATCTATGGTGAATTTCTTTCTAAGTTTTATCAATAGACAGCTGATCATGAGAAAGGGAAGGCGGATGAATCACGCATCTTTTTCTACGCGTAGTGATACTGTTCTCACACACAATATGACCACCACTTCCCATCTTTGCAACCGCTCAAGAGATCTCACCCTGTTAGATCTCGGTAATAGATGTTGGCATAGCGGTTTAAATACATCTTATTATTTTAATCTAGATATTTATATCCATGTCAAAAGGAGTACAAAAATGCCAGTTCTCCGAAGAGACCAAAGAAGATGCCTAAAAACTCCTAATTGTTGGTACCGGCTGCCAAAAGCTACTATTAGTTCAAAGCTACCAATAGCGAGGAAACCAGCGATACTAGAGATAGCGTAGGGACGTACATCAAAGATTTCTATACATGATTGCCCTAACCCTCATAATGCCGCCGGGGCCGGTCTGCGGAATGAAAAACTTCCAATGCAGCATGCTCACCATTGATGTTCACACACCAATCAACCTTACTACATGCTATTCCTCCTTATCAAGGCTCTTGTGATATCTCGACACTGTTACCATCTGTTTATCCAAAATAGAGTGTGAGATATAGCAAGAAATCGCGACCAAAGACCAACTAAAGGACGAAAAGTGACTTACAAAAAGCAACATGATCCTTGATATCCGCCGCTGCATCGTAGGGTTCCCGGTAATACCATGCTGCATTTTCAAGGGTCTGCCCGTCCACCCTCACATGCCAGTAAGAGGCGTAGCCTTTCCAAGAGCAAAAGGTCGAATGATCGGAGTCTTGCAAAATAGAATCATCGATGATTGCTGAGCGGGGAAACTATATTTGAAGTTAGCCAGTATTGCGAATTGAATATCGGAAAACTTACATAGATGTTGTTCTCCACAGTCTTCCAACTCGCTGTCTCTGCGATGATGCGGTCGCCTACTTTGGCGAGTGCTCGGGGCATGGTGATGGTTCGGGAAAAGGAAGGTGAAGCCGGTTTGGGTTTTGGATTATCGAGTGGCGGAATCTCGAATTTTCAATATAGTACGGCAAATTATATGGGAATTCTCCTATATTGTTGTTCTTGAATACAACTCAACAAAACGGACGTGTGCCATCGGAGAGGGACAGTGCTCACGCTAAGAGCGGGCCAATGCGAATCCCCCGTTGGCGCCATTGCAACCCTCCGATTCAAAGCTCCGACAGCGGATAGGATGGGAACGACCTGCAGGCACCTATCTTACAGCGCCTGGGGATCGAAAAGGCTTAAACTAACAAATCTAGCACTCATATTGCGCGTTGATGGCGCCTTTTTCTCACATGTCACTTTTTCAACTGGGATAGCTTAATGGTGCGAAGACGCGGAAGTAATCTAAGGTTAAGCTAGACTTTTTCGATGGCGCTATAGTGTGCTTGTGCGTTGCTCCATGCGCGCGTCTGGGTGGTTAATATATTGCTTGATGGAAGACATATATTAGAACCATTGAACATGTTCTGAAAAGCTTCACTTTTTGTTTAACACCTGTTACTCGCGAAAGCACAGGCACACCATGCCAGGAACTGAAAAACCTGTCTCCTCGGAGCCAGCCAGCAAAGAAGCTACGAACTATGTCGTCGAATCCAAAGATGTGTTCGATAGTTCCGTCTTTGACCCCGTTTTGGCTAAAAAGCTGGCACTTATCAACACTGCCATCGACAAAATTGGCATGACTCCATTCCAATGGAAGCTTTTCTTCCTCAACGGCTTTGGCTACACGGTTGACTCAGTAAGAGCCTTGCATTCATGGTCAGACAAAAAGACCGCTAACAATATCTTCCAGCTCTTGGTAATATGTCAGTCCATAGCAATGCCTGCAGTTACCATGCAATACGGCAGCCCAGACAAAAGCCTGAAGGGGATTGCCCTGGCGTCCCAAATCGGTCTTCTGGTGGGCGCGGCTATTTGGGGTTTATCGGCAGATATCATCGGTCGCCGACTTGCTTTCAACTCTTCCTTGTTACTGGCGGCGATATTTACAATTATCGCGGGTGGGATGCCCGGATACATTTCGTTCGCGACATTGTTGGTTTTACCCTGCTTCATGCGCCGTAATGGTCTGTTAATGTTATTAATAGGGTTGCGCTCTACTCCGCGGCCGTTGGCGGGAATTACATCCTGGACTCGGTTACTCTCCTGGAATTTCTGCCCGCGAATAAATCCTGGCTGGTGACCTTCATGTCCATTTGGTGGGCAGTGGGATACACCATTACAGGCCTGCTTGCATGGGCATTTATGAGCAACTACACATGTTCCTCTTCTGCTGCGCTAGGGACATGTGCCTACCAAGACAATATGGGATGGCGGTACTTGCATTTCACCATTGGTGGCGTTACGCTCGTGTTGAGCTTATTGCGAGTCCTTTTAATTCGCATCGTGCAAACGCCTCGATGGCTTGTTTCTCAAAATCGTGATGAAGAGGTAATACAGTTCTTGAGAGATTTGTCGGTAAAATATAACCGACAATTTGATCTTACTCTGGAAGAACTCCGCAGCGAAGGGGATGTGAAGAACACGGAAAAGTCAGTCTGGTCCGTGGTCCGGATCAAGGCACACTTCAGTGGTCTCTTTCGAACCAAGCGGTTGACTTGGTCATTCTTGGTGATCATGCTCAACTGGTTCGTGATTGGGATTGTCAGCCCTTTGTATCATGTTTTCCTTCCATATTATCTCAAATCCCAGGGAGTGAAAGTCAATAGCAGCTCCAACTATCTTACTTGGAGAAACTATGCCATCAATCAAGTCGTTGGCCTGGTTGGTCCTGTCATTGCTGGAGTTTTGGTTGAAACCAAACTGTTTGGCCGTCGAGGCACCATGGCTTTGGGCGCACTCTTGACCATGGTTTTACAGTTTGGGTATACCCAAATTAAGACCCCAGCCCAAAACGTCGGCGTGTCTGCTGCCATATCTGCTGCGACGTAAGTGATAAGCTCATTTTTTAACTTTTTTTTCTCATCATGTCTAACTAGCTGGTCACAGGAATATTTATTATGGAACTATGTATGCGTACACTCCGGAGATTTTGCCGTCGGCGCACCGCGCCACTGGGTATGCCATCTGTGTGATATTCAACCGCGTCGGAGGCATTGTCGGAGTTATTGTGGGAAGCTACGCGAACGTCGAAACAACCACGCCTCTTTTCGTCTGTGCTGCTCTGTACGCGCTTCTTATCATTCTCAGCGTGCTACTGCCTTTCGAAAGTCGCGGGAAGAGAGCGCAATAGGCGGAGAAAGTGAAATTGCACGGAAGAGCTGGGAGGGTATGTTAGTGATGGACGAAGGTTTGAGATTGCTTCGTAGAAGATAGACGGTGATACTTCACTTGATTTTCAGGGTGTGAGATAGATAATTAAGTTACGAATAAGCGGAATGTTCAACCTGGCCATTTTCAATCTAGATTGTTAGTAAAAACCAAGAAACCTCAACCAGGGGCAATCAAACATCGATAATAGTTAAATTTGAATTTCCATTTCTCGTATTCAGCTGCAGAATGGCATTGGGGGCTATTATGGCGTCATTCGTATCTTGATAAATCTTTTCAAGATAGGGCGCACATACCTCAACAGTTTCTGCACATACCACTAACCTCTTTGTCCCTGGCCTATGGTATTAGCCTTGAGTTAAATCATATTAACCAGGGAACAGACCAATAAACATTAATATATATCGCATCAATAATGCAATGCGTGATAAAAAATACGATTTAGCTTCATTTGAAACCCGTACCTGTTCAAGCACGACATTCTGTGTGTGGTCAAAGACCTTGCTGTTTATAGCGTCGCAGGGTACCAAGAACAAGAATTTAAAAAAAATGCCAAAGTCATATCCAACACAATTCATTCTGGAATTCCCAGATATATCTGTCTCGATATGAGCGCCCCGAAACCCTCATTGCGGGCCGCGTGCGATAACTGCTACCAAGCCAAAGTAAAATGCGTTCCAACACCATCTGGATGCCAAAGATGTATTAGCTTGTATTCTCCCTGTTTTCACAGTCCCCCCGGTCGACCGGGTCGAGTTCCAATTGCGAGGAATCCTCTATTCAACCCAGAAGCGTCAACCACGTCCACTCCGGTTCAGGGCGAAGAGGACGATGAGCCTGGCGACTTACATCTGTCACTAAAGGGCCTCACTGGCGACGATGTTCTTCCTGAAACGGCAACACTCGATACACCATTGAACGGATGGGTCTCTATGGACCCTCTTTCAATCAGCGAGGCTCTTTATGGAGAGTCAGTTATCGCGTTTCCTGAGTTCGCAACGAGACTACCGTTCTCAACGCCCACCGATCGACAATTTAACGATTTTGGCAATGATAAGAAATCTTGCGCATGCTTTGGATCAACTTTGCAAGCCTTGGAAAAGGCCCAGAGAACTGATCTACAATCTTTGGGCCTGGATGTCGCGCTCCGACATAACAAGGATGCGCTGCTTACAGTCTGCAACTCGATTAAATGCTCTATTTCGCATGACAGCACTACCCGACTCCTCATTCTAATACTTCTTCGAAAATCCCTCAAGCTTTACCAAATACTCTTCCATCTGCGACTCAGTGCGAAGTCTATCAATACACCAGAGATGCATCCCGCGTCAGCCCCATATTCTATACACGTGGCCAATCCGGCTTTATCGATTTCACCTACGTCAAGTGGTCAGTCCGATTATTTCAACCTTTTGGTTCATCCACATGCAGAGAAACACCTCGAAAGTCCACCTCAGGCTACTCGACTTACATTGGGCTCGTACCAGTTAGATGAAGCAGATGAAAGGTCGTTGAAAAAGCAAATCTTTCTTCTTGATGTTGGAAAGGTTCCCCGATTGTTGGAGAGACTCGATCAGAGGGCTTGCAATCTTGATGAGACGGACGGGTTGGACCTTTATAATATGATGCGGAGCTCATTGATAGCTGATTTTCGGGTTGTAATGACAGACATACATTCATAGTATTTTTGAGATAGAATTATAGAACTAACGAGGCGATTTTCATGGAATTTCTTCGTCTGTATACTGAGAGGTACCCGGTACATTCTGCTTTCTATATAATATCGGTCTAAGACAATGTCACTTGAACATATTTTGATCCCATATACCGCTGTCAAGTATCCGTCTAATTCAATTGCCCACACAAAGATGTCATCTACCTACGTCCGTCCACACAGTCTGCGGCTCGAAGCTCAGACTTTGCCTGACTTGAATCCATGCTTGAAGAAGCGAGTGGCATTCATAAACGCCCCGGTTGCAAGTAGTACAATGCCTGTGAAGATTAGAGTTCCTGTAAAGTCCAAGCGCTCTTCTGGATGACTCTCGCTGGATAGAATGGCACCCGCAATGGGAGAGCCGATCAGCACACCCAATGACCCAACAGTGAGAGCCATGCCAACTCGCACACCGATTTGACTGAGATCAGGCGTTAAACCAATGAGAACGGCTGGTGGTAGCGCCATCAAGCCTCCCGAAAAGAAGGAGTACAGGAAGGAAGTGGCGATGAGATTGGCTTGGCTTTTAACTGACACCCAGGCCAGCACGATAATACCAGATATATAGCCACAGGGTACGATGACGTTCAAATTACCGATTCTATGACTGTTAATTTCTGGCTGAATAGCTGAAGGGAAATATAACCTTACTTGTCTGCGATAGCATTGGGTAGCATTCGTCCGATCATGCCTCCTGCATTCATAATGCTCAGGATATAGAATGACAGCTCGGAGTCGACTCCGACGTTAAGCGCATAGCTCTCCGCATAGAAAAACGGAATGAAAAACGCGGTGAATCCCAAAGCCAACCCAACAACAAAGGTCGCGTAGGCAGGATCCTTGAACGCTGCAAAGTCTACCAAAGGGCCCGACCGACGAGGCGGCAATCGTGGTCTGAGCAGGGCAAGTCCGATGCCCAGAGTACCCAGCATGATAAATGCCATAGCGCGAACGGCCCAAGGGAACCCGACTTGCACAATTAGCCGGCGAACAATGATAGGATACAAAATACCGCCAACGCTGCTCCCGCTGGCAGCGATTCCAGTTGCAAGACTGCGTCGAGTCGAAAAGTAAGTGCCTACCAGCGATATGGCGGGCGTGAAAAGACATCCAGATCCAATGCCAACGCAAAGGCCTTGAGCGAGGAAAATCTGATAGTACTTTGTGCTCAGGGAGGTCATCATCATTCCAAACACTTCGAGAAAGATACCCAGTGACAAGACCGGGAAGAAGTACCCAGCATCGAATGCACGTCCGCATAGAACTCCGACGAAAAGAAGCAAGAAGCCTTGAATAGAACCGATCCATGAGATGGCGGAGGGGGTGGACTCAGGTAGGAGTGTTGTTGTATAGTAGGCTTGGAAGATGCCGAATGAGTTTGCAAGTCCCCTAAATTATCAGCACAATTGGTTTTAAACAATCTTAAAGATAATGTCACTCACCAGGTATTCAAAACAAGCAAGAAGCTTCCTGCCACTTGTAGCCATGCTTTACGTCCGCCATTTGGTGGAGGAGGGACCAAAGGACCTGGTGGTGGAGATGGGCTGGCTTCTTTCTCTCCTTCCGCATCAGACGGTTGGGTGCTGTTTGCCTCAATATCGGGAATTTTAATTGACAGCTTGTCTTCAACAGAGTCGGCCATTCCTTTTTTTGTCTTCAATGCTGAGTTGCTGTGTTCGGTCGGGAAGTTGAGAATGCGGGATGGGATAATGAGTTGAACTACAATCCGAAGAAATATATCGAGAAAGGTCCCGCAATTACGTTTCCCAACACAACAGGGGAAATACGATGTCACAAATGATTGCATGAATGTTATCATCAGGATTCTTCATCGTCTGCATCAGCAAAAGCCCAAAATAGCGTTTGTAGGGCTCCTGAGTAGAGGAAACTCTATCTTGTGAATCGCGAGAGGCCAAAGCGAGGCGATCATCCATTCATTCCTCCATGGGGAATTGTGGCGCTCGAGACAAACATGGCGAGTATCACGGCAAAAGAAACAAACAGAGTATACTGGGTATACTAAGTATACATCAAGTGACTCCCCGATTGACATGCATTCGATTCTTCTGCAATTGAGATCAACATGGCTATCGTGAGAGATCCAACAGTTGGGGCTTTCCTCCAGGGCAACTGGCCAATTTTAGTATTGGTATCTGTCGCTATTACCATTGGCATCCGATTGATCCCTCGTAGGGCCAATGTTCCTGTCTATAGTAGGTATTCGGGCTGGCGAGGTCGCTGGAAAGACTCGTTGCACTATCTTCACGACAGTGCTGGAACGTTGAGAGCTGGCTATGAAAAGGTAACTTCAAAATGTCGTCGCAGAAAATCGATACTCACCAGCCATCAATTCAGTTCTCTCGCCATGGACAGTTCTTTCAACTTCGGACGCCCATTCGGTGGATTGTAGTTGTGCCGCCTAAACTTGTGGATGAGATTCGTACCGCACCCCCAACGCATTTGAGTGCTAAAGAGTCGGCAAACGATGTGAGTAGAGCCTACAGAATGAGGGAACTCAGCTCACCAAAGTGTCAGGTGCTTCAAACTAGATACACAGTGTCCCCAATCGTCGAGGCAGAGAAATTTCATTTCCACATTGTCAAGACACATCTCACGCCCAACCTGGAGAACAAAATCGATGATATTCGCGACGAAATCAAATTGTCGTTTGGTGACGAGATAGGAAACCCAACCGGTGAGATTCCAGACCCCGTCAACCAAAGGCCTTTTCTCATCCTTATGTAGATTGGACGGCGGTCGTGATGTCTAGAGCAGCTCATCGGATCGCAACCCGAACTGCCAATAGACTACTCGTCGGGGCACCGTTGTGTCGGAATGAGGAGTATCTCGATATGTCCATCAAGTATACGATAGATGTATTTGGAGGAGCTGACAAGCTTCGCGCGTGGCCTAAGTTCCTTCGTTCAACAGTCACACAGTTTGTGACCAACGTCAAGGAACGGCAGCGGGTAGCTCGAAAACATCTCATCCCGTACATCAAAGCTCGATTACAGGAAGAAAGTGATGGATTTATCGAGAAGCCTCCTGTTGATTCCCTTCAATGGGTCATGGACGCGGCACCAAATTCCGGCGAAAGAGACCCAGAGCGGCTGATGTTTCGTCTATTGCACTTGAATGTGGCGGCAGTGCATACAACCAGTGTCACTTATCTCAACGCCATGTTGGATTTGGCCTTCCATACTGAAATTCATGAAGAGCTGCGAACCGAGATTGATAGCGCAGTCCAGGAGCACGGATGGTCGGGGCGAGCATTGAGTCAAATGCGGAAGCTCGACAGCTTTTTGACTGAAAGCCAGAGGCTTTCACCTCTTGCCAGCTGTGAGTTTCATATTTCTGGATCAAAATTCACAGCTAACATCTTATTTTCCAGCCCAACTGACTCGCGCGGTGATACAAGACTTTACATTCTCTGACGGCACCACAGTCCCTAAAGGCTCCTACGTCCTGGCACCAATGTATGCGATGTATTTGGATAACGATATCTATCACGATGCATCGACCTTTGATGCGTTCCGCTTTTCTAAGCTTCGAGAGCAGCCCGGCCACGAAAATCGACACCAGTTTGTGACTACATCTCCGACACACATCAACTTTGGACATGGCAAGCATGCATGTCCTGGACGCTTCTTTGCAGCACAGGAGATAAAACTATTGTTGGCTCATGCTTTGCAGGAATATGATATACGACTTGAAGATCCAACTACGCTGCCTGAGGGTTCTTGGTTTGATCGTTCTCGAAAGCCTAACCAAACCGCGCGTGTTCTTTTCCGCGGTCGTTAAGATTTGTAACCCGATGCTGCTGGTCCTTTTGACGTTCTTTGCCTTAGATTGACTTTCGGTGTTTTCCGCTTCTAGAGAGATATTATTCCAAGTTACAGCAAATTGAAACATTTTTTGTTCTAAGTCATTGTGTATACGTAGATCCTAAATGCTTTTACGGGAAACCACTGGCCCCTACAACCAGTGCCTTAGTATGTAATCGACTGAGTATTTCTGTAGGCAGGGTACACCTCAAAATAGAATAGGAAGACCTTTGTGCAAGAAACTCAAATATCGGCCCGAAGGGAACTTCAGGGAACGTACGGATAAGATTCGACACGGACGAAGAGTAGATTCCGATCAAAATTAGACTTTCGGAGGATTTAAACGCCTCGTTTCATCTCCTGTTATTTACCTCATGCTATCCTCCGATACCATCATCAAGCAGTGAAATTACGGCCCCTCTTTCAGGCAGAGGCAATGACACAAGCGAGGCGTAAGATCGTGCGACACGTGGATGAGGTGATAGGATCTATTTGCAACGAAAGCGCTGTCTATACGATTCCTTGCCCCTGGAGGTTGGCTTGACAGGTATTCTAGACCTCATTGTGAAGAACGGAGAGAATGCAATCGAAAGGGCGTATGGCGCAAGGTAGTCCAATGCACAGAATACGAGCTTTGGACTCGAGATGAAAATCAAAGCTAAGAGATAACGATGATAGTTGTGCCGACGGCCAATGTTGCTGATACTCTATTATAAAGCCCAGCGTATGGCCTAAGATCAATTAGGAGCTGAACCACCAGCATCAATACCCTCATCATATTTTGTACATTTTGCACATACCATGCGTCGGCCAAATCAAACACAAGAATGTCACCTGGTTCTCCTCGGGGACCAAGTGGCCAATGTTTCTTCGCTGGCGAAGAGACTATTGTTAGACGCCCCCCAGAGTGTTGCTCAGAGCGATTTTGTTCGAGATGTGAGCACCACGCTGAGCCTCTTAAGTGATCGACTTCGTCCGTTTCATCGGGAACACCTACCACGCTTTGATACTATCCATAATCTCGCAACTATATATCACGAAAGCAATGGGGCGTGTCATCCTGCCATCTCCAGTACTCTTCTGGCCATTGTTCAGTTCTTGCAACTATTTAGATATTATGAAGCAAGGGCTCGTCAACCCGAGAATCACGACGAAATCTCAGTCGTTGGTCTCTGCACCGGATCCCTGGTTGCTGCAGCATATGCTTGCTGCGCATCACTTGACGATCTCAAAGCTCTGGCTGTGCCTACAGTTTCCATCGCCTTTCAGATGGGGTTGCAGGTAGCAACTGCCAGCAGTATGCTGCATGAGCAGGGTACAACACTGGAAAGCTGGTCAACGGCCATCTCGAAAATGAGCGAGGATGAAGTACTTTCGGCTCTTAAGGTCTATGACGCCGGCGGTCTTTTATCTCTCCGCCATCGATGTTTTATCAGTGCCATTGGCCTCAACGGTGTCACAGTCAGTGGATCACCACCTGCCTTGCGTCAGTTCACGGAAAGCTTGACCGAGTCTGATCCCAGCAAGAGGGTGAGAGAGCTCCCGATCTACGGAGCATACCATGCTTCACACATACACGGAGTGTTGGACTTTCCCAGTTTCCTCAACCGAGCGGGTGTCAACCCGGAATTTTTGGCTAGCTTCCCAATGCGGAAGACTCTCCTTTGTCCTTTGACAGGAAGGCCGGTCGATGCTCCAAACTCTCTTGGTTTGTTTAAGAGTGTCGTACATCACACATTACAAGCACCATTGCGCTTCGACCTGGTGGCTGACGAATTAGTCGCCCAAATCAAAGCAAATGGCACCACCTCCGTGGGATTGCATGTGGTTGGACCAAATACAGCGGCCGAGGGCCTTGCATCGGCACTTAGGTCGAGAACGGAAGCTGCCGTCGTTACTCGGGATTTGATCACACTTGATTCCCGGAAGGACCAGTTTCAGCCATCGGGAGCATACAACAATGCCCCCCTTGCTATCGTTGGTGTGTCGGGTCGATTCCCTGGCGCAGAAAGTGTTGAAGAGTTGTGGAGTATTTTGGAGGCCGGTCTTGACATGCATCGAGTGGTAAGCACACCTCGCCGTCAGTCACATTGATGAGGCGCTGATGGGTCAAGGTAGATTCCTAAAGACCGATTCGATGCTGAGAAGCATGTAGACCCGAACGGTAAGGCAAAGAACACCAGTTGGACACCATACGGCTGCTTCATTGACCGACCTGGGGACTTCGATCCTCGATTTTTCAACATGTCCCCAAAAGAAGCCCTGCAGACGGATCCCATGCAACGATTGGCTCTTGTTACAGCTTATGAGGCATTGGAAATGTCCGGATATGTTCCCAACAGAACACGATCAACGGCTTTGAATCGCATTGGAACCTTCTATGGCCAGACTAGTGATGACTACCGTGATGTGAACTCATCACAGGATATTGGAACTTATTTCATCACTGGTGGAATTCGCGCATTTGGACCTGTAAGTGTCCGAATACTTATTCCTTGCTTCTACCTTTCAAGATGACTCACTCTTTCAGGGACGAATCAATTACTATTTCAAATTCGAGGGCCCAAGCTTCAACGTCGATACTGCCTGTTCCTCCAGCTTGGCCGCAATTCAGCTTGGATGTACGTCTCTCTGGAGCGGTGATTGTGACACAGCAGTAGCCGGTGGATTGAGCGTGCTCACATCGCCCGACCTCTTCTCGGGCTTGAGTCGAGGCCAGTTCCTCTCGAAAACCGGGTCATGCAAGACATTTGACAATGATGCCGACGGCTATTGTCGCGCAGATGGCGTCGGAACAGTTGTCATTAAAAGGCTTTGTGACGCTGAGCTCGACAATGACAATGTTCTTGCAGTGATTCTCGGTGCTGCTACGAACCATTCGGCACAGGCAATCAGCATTACGCACCCACATGCTGGAACACAGTCTAACTTGTATCGTGAGATTCTTCAGCAGTCAGGTGTGGACCCTTTCGATGTTGGTTATGTTGAGATGCATGGCACTGGGACGCAGGCCGGTGATGGAACAGAGATGCGCTCAGTGACGGATGTATTTGCTCCTGCTCGTCCTGCCCGACCAGCAAATAATCCATTGTATGTGGGGGCTATCAAGGTGAGTCGATCCAATTCTCATATTGGTGGTTGAATCTGATAATAACTCCGTAATTCAGGCAAACATAGGGCATGGAGAAGCTGTAAGCACTGCGCCATTCTTCCATTTTTATTCGAGGAAGGCTAATTCGACTACAGTCATCTGGAGTCGCATCCTTGATAAAGTCCATCCTGATGTTCAAGAAAGGGGTTATTCCACCACATGTTGGGATCAAAAATGAGATCAACAAGGGGTTTCCAGATCTCGAAGCAAGAAAGTAAGACTTTCCTTGACAATATTTACATGGCCATCTCTGACATTTTCTGACAGTGTCCGAATCGCGACGGCCAAAACCCCCTTGCCGGCACCTAGAGGCCCGAAGCGAACGGTGCTCGTCAATAATTTCAGCGCCGCTGTAAGTTCCTCTACTGAAATACAGAAAGAGTCACATATGCTGACCACAAAATTAAACAGGGTGGCAATACTGCACTGTTGATTCAAGAACCCCCCAAGCCCGGTGCCCGCGAGGAAGAGGACCTTCGTCCCTCGCACGCAGTCACAGTCTCCGGGCATACAGCGTTGGCGTTGAAGAACAACCTGGAAAGACTGATCGCATACACCATCAGCGACCCAGATATCTCGCCAGGAGACTTGAGCTATACGACAACTGCTCGTCGAACCCATTACCCTTTTCGAGTAACAGTCGCTGAGCCGACCATTGAACGAATCCGAGTGGCTCTGCAAAACAAACAGGGACTGGCTCCATATAACTCACTTCTGTCAAGCCACAAACTCTCAGTGATCTTTTTGTTCACTGGCCAGGGTGCAACCTATGCTGCCCTGGCTCAGGAGCTGCACGCAACGTCGACTCAATTCCGCGCTGATATCTCGCTATTTGACGGGATTGCAAGGCAGCAAGGATACCCGTCTTTCATTCCCCTGGTTGATGGGACGGTCTCCGATATCAATCAGCTATCGGCTATTCAAACCCAGGTCGGACTAGTGTCCATTCAAATTGCGCTCGCTCGTCTGTGGCGCTCATGGGGGGTAAAGCCCACTGCAGTCATCGGTCACAGCCTCGGTGAGTACGCGGCTCTTCAAGTGGCTGGTGTCCTTTCTATCAGCGATGCCATTTTCCTCGTTGGCCACCGGGCGCGTCTGCTAGAGACTCACTGTCAGCCGTATACCCAATCTATGCTGGCCGTATCAGAATCATCAGCTGTTGTTGGGGGGCTGCTGTCCACTTTCTCTGAAGAAGTTGAAATTGCTTGCTCCAACAGTCTCCGGGAAACCGTCTTTGCCGGCAAAAGAGAAGTGATCGATAAGTTGGAGGTGCATTTATCTGGAGCAAACATTCGTTGTACTAAGCTGCAAGTTCCTTTTGCGTTCCACACGGCCCAGGTCGATCCCATTCTTGATAACCTAGAAGAGGTTGCCAAGGCGATTAATTTCGGTGCGCCGCAAATTACTATCTTGAGCTCTTATCTTGGCCGTCCTCTCGCTGCGGATGAACGAATTGATGCGAATTATATTCGCCAACACTGCCGGCACACGGTCCAATTTGCCAATGCTGTGCAGTCATCGCAAGATCAGGGCCTGGTCAATGAAGCCTCGGTGTTTATTGAGATCGGCCCGCATCCAATTTGTCTGGGCATGATTCGAGGTGTATTGGGCGACACACATCTCAAGGTTCCAACATTGAAGCGAAAGGAGAAGCCATGGAAAATAATCGTGAGCGGTCTAGCTTCCTTGCATGACCAGGGATTCTCGATAAACTGGTCCGAGTATCACCGCGATTTCGACCACACGCATCGCCTTCTCTCTCTTCCTTCCTATGCCTTTGACAACAAGCGATACTGGCAGGAATACCGGAATGACTGGACGCTGCG